CATTGTGATTTGCAACTGTAGGATCGTTCCCTCACTGTAAATGGGATTGCCAGTGGTGCTGGTGGAGGAGTTGCCGATGGAGTTTTGGAGGAAGTCTCGCACGAAATGCGTTTTTGAGAGATAGCAGATGCACGAAACCCTATGTTTTTCCATACAAAGTGCGTCCCCGAACCTCGATGATCTACCTCGGCGGTGCGACGGGTGCGAGACGGTCTCGTGTGTGGTCGGATCATGCTCGGATATGTTCGGATCATTCTCGGATCGGTTCCGCATTGTAAATGATGTGTCAACTGTTTTTCGTGCATGTGTGGTCGACAGAATTCCATTGTGATTTGCAACTGTAGGATCGTTTCCGCATTGTAAATGGGATGCAAGTGGTGCTGGTGGATGAGTTGCTGATGGAATTGCATTGTGATTTGCAACTCTAGGATCGTTCCCTCACTGTAAATGGGATTGCAAGTGGTGCTGGTGGATGAGTTGCCGATGGAGCTTTGAAGGAAGTCTCGCACGAAATGCGTTTTTGAGAGATATAGCAGATGCTCGAACCCGATGTTTTTTTCCATACAAGTGCGTCCCCCCGAACCTCGATGATCTACCTCTGCTGTGCGAGCCTGGTGCGAGAACTGTCTCGGGTGTGGTCGGATCATGCCGATCATGTTCGGATCTGGGCGATCATTGTCGATCTGGTTCCGCATTGTAAATGGGGTTTCAAACTGTTTTTTCGTGCTGTGTGGTCGACAAAATTCCATTGTGATTTGCCCCAGTTGTCCCCAGACTGTCGGATCTTCCCCATTTGTAATGGGGTTGCAGTGTGCTGGTGGGTGAGTTTGCCGATAGATTCCATTGGATTTGCCAAACTCTAGGATCGTTCCCGCAATGTTATGGGATTGCAATGTGCTGGTGGAGGAGTTTGCCGATGGAGTTTTGAAGGAAGTCTCGCACGAAATGCGTTTTTGAGAGATAGCAGATGCACGAAGCCCTGTGTTTTTCCAGACAAAGTGCGTCCCCGAACGTCGATGATCTACCTCTGCGGTGCGACGGGTGCGAGACGGTCTCGTGTGTGGTCGGATCATTCTCGGATATGTTCGGATCATCCTCGGATCATTCTCGGATCGGTTCCGCATTGTAAATGGGGTGTCAACTGTTTTTCGTGCATGTGTGGTCGACAGAATTCCATTGTGATTTGCAACTGTAGGATCGTTCCCGCAATGTAAATGGGATTGCAAGTGGTGCTGGTGGATGAGTTGCCGATGGAATTCCATTGTGATTTGCAACTTTAGGATCGTTCCCTCACTGTAAATGGGATTGCAAGTGGTGCTGGTGGATGAGTTGCCGATGGAATTCCATTGTGCTTTGCAACTGTAGGATCGTTCCCGCAATGTAAATGGGATTGCAAGTGGTGCTGGTGGATGAGTTGCCGATGGAATTTCATTGTGATTTGCAACTCTAGGATCGTTCCCGCAATGTAAATGGGATTGCAAGGGGTGCTGGTGGATGAGTTGCCGATGGAATTCCATTGTGCTTTGCAACTGTAGGATCGTTCCCGCAGTGTAAATGGCTGCGTCAAGGTTGCTTCTTGCCACGGCTGCATGCGTAATACTATTGTCTTTTGCAGCTGGACTTCGTAAATCGTATTGGCGTGGCTGCATGAAGGCTGCGACAGTGATTTGTCAGCAGATTTTCTCCATTTTGGCGCTAGTAATTTTCCTTTTAAAAATCCTTTTAAAAAGTGCTTCAAAATCGTCTTTTTTTCGCTTTGGCGTCGAGATCCGGTTTTGGAGCTGCAATTTCCGACCCAGTTGCGCGTGGTTCTATTGTGTTTTGCAACTCAGTCTTTGCAGATCGCATTGTAATGGCTGCATCAAGGTTGCTTGGTGCCGCGGCTGCATGCGTAATACTATTGTTTTTTGCAGCTGGACTTCGTAAATCGTATTGGAGTGGCTGCATGAAGGCTGCGACAGTAATTTGTCAGCAGATTTTCTCCATTTTGGCGCTAATGATTTTCCTTCTAAAAATCCTTTTAAAAAGTGCTTCAAAATCGTCTTTTTTTCGCTCTGGCGTCGAGATCCTCCGGTTTTGGACCTGCAATTTCCGACCCAGTTGCGCGTAGTTCTATTGTGTTTTGCAACTCAGTCTCCGCAGATCGCATTGTAATAGCTGCGTCAAGGTTGCTTCATGCTGAGGCTGCATGCGTAATACCATTGTCTTTTGCAGCTGGACTTCGTAAATCGTATTGGAGTGGCTGCATGAAGGCTGCGACAGTGATTTGTCAGCAGATTTCCTCCATTTTGGCGCTAGTAATTTTCCTTTTAAAAATCCTTTTAAAAAGTGCTTCAAAATCGTCTTTTTTTCGCTCTGGCGTCGAGATCCGGTTTTGGAGCTACAATTTTCCGACGCCGTTGCACGTAGGTTTAGAGCAGTGAAGTGTGGGGCGTGAAGAGTGCAGTGTGAAGTTTGCAGTGTGAAGGAAGCAGTGGGAAGTGAGAAGTGTGAAGTGTGGAGTGTGAAGTTTAAGTTTGGAGTGTGAAGGAAGCAGTGAGAAGTGACAAGTGTGAAGTGTGGAGTGTGAAGTAATTCCATCGTTCGTGCGGTTGTATGTTGATAACCTCCATAAAATGACCACCGTGACTTTGATTAGTGTGACCATACCTGATGTGACTGTGACCGTGACTATTCTGATCATGACTACTGTGACCATAGATACTATGACAAAGACTACTTTGACAATGACCGTTGTGGCTGTAACTGTAGTGACAATGAGTATTGTAACTGTTTGGACTGGCCCCTTTTTAGGTAATGACAGTGGGAAGTAGAAGTGACGGCATTAGTGTCCCAAGAATAAATGACTAGAAAGTGAAGTGTGGACTGTGAAGTGTGGAGTGCGAAGTTTGGAGTGCAAAGAGTGCAGTGTGAAGTGTGGAGTGTGGAGTGTGAAGTGTGAAGTTTGGAGTGTGAAGGAAGCAGTGAGCAGTAAGAAGTGTGAAGTGTGGACTGTGAAGTGTGAAGTGTGAAATGTGGAATGTGAAGTGCGAAGTGAGTGGGAAGTGGGAAGTTTGGAGTGTGAAGGAAGCAGTGAGCAGTGGGAAGTGTGAGTTTGGACTGGTGAAGTGTGAAGTGAAATGTGGGAGTGTGAAGTGGCGAAATGAAGACAGTGTGAATGGGAAGTGTGGAGTGTGAAGTGCGAAGTGAGAAGTGTGAAGTTTGGAGTGTGAAGGAAGCAGTGAGACGTGTGAAGTGTGGACTGTGAAGTGTGAAGTGTGAAGTGAGAAGTGTGAAGTGTGAAGTGTGAAGTTTGGAGTGTGAAGGAAGCAGTGAGAAGTGAGAAGTGTGAAGTGTGGACTGTTGAAGTGTGAAGTGTGAAATGTGGAGTGTGAAGTGCGAAGTGAGAAGTGTGAAGTGTGAAGTTTGGAGTGTGAAGGAAGCAGTGAGCAGTGAGAAGTGTGAAGTGTGGACTGTGAAGTGTGAAGTGTGAAATGTGGAGTGTGAAGTGCGAAGTGAGAAGTGTGAAGTGTGAAGTGTGGAGTGTGAAGTGCAAAGTGAGAAGTGTGAAGTGTGAAGTGTGAAGTTTGGAGTGTGAAGGAAGCAGTGAGAAGTGAGAAGTGTGAAGTGTGAAGTGCGAAGTGAGAAGTGTGGACTGTGAAGTGTGAAGTGTGGACTGTGAAGTGTGAAGTGTGGACTGTGAAGTGTGAAGTGTGCAGTGTGAAGTGTGAAGTGTGAGGTTTGGAGTGTGAAGGAAGCAGTGAGAGAAATGAGAAGTGTGAAGTGTGAAGTGTGGAGTGTGAAGTTTGAAGTTTGGAGTGCGAAGAGTGCAGTGTGCAGTGTGAGATGTGGAGTGTCGAGGGAAGGACACGGTCGGGACAGGGTGTCTCTGAACTATAGGTCATTTATGTTTGGGAAACTTCCGCCGCCGGCTTGCCCGGGTCTATGTTATTCTATTATTATATAATGTTGCATGGATCACCCCTTGATTGCGCAGAAGGATCTTGGTTTCGCATTGTTTTGCTTGCCGTCCTGTCACCCCGCACAGTGTGTAATTATTTTCATACTTGCCAAATTCCCAAAAAAATGTGGACTTTAAGAGTGAGAGAGGTGATCAACCTTGGGCCAGAGCAAGAATCATGGAGAGAGTTGTGTATGGGCCTAAACCTTTGTACCTTAAGCTTTTGGGATGTTTGTGGCATGCTTACCTTTTGGATCTTCTTAGGTCTTTGGTGCTCATTGGCCCCTATCAACTTGGTCAAACCTAGTGGCAGGCATTGACGCAGGATGGTTCAACCATGTTCACCGTTCCAGGAAACCACAAAACCCCACCCTCCAGGCCTCCTTCTTTGCACCTCCACCGGGGTCCTCCAAGAGGGCCGCGGCAGAAGCCTCAAACGAGAAAGATAAAGCGATGATTCATGTGACCTGGATGATTTTTATGATAGGATACTGTAAATCGGGATTGTTCTATAGAAGTTCCATTTGTTCCCGAATGCGTAGCAAGGGTTCCCGTTTCACTCTGGGGGTCTAGGGGTTGAGGGTATTTCGCTCGACGTTGCCCAACCGTCCGCAACCGTTCGCTACCGTCCGCGCGAGCCCCGTATGGCAGTGCCCATATACGGTAAGTTCTGCAAAAGGGGTTACTTTTGGAGGTTGCGCATGTCGCGTTGCTTCGTTTCGCGTGGCAGCCGTGGCGCTTCGTGACATTCAGACGTGTTTTGTAACGTGTCGAAAATCGTTTTGTGTGGCAGGCGCAATACTTTTGCGACGTTTTCAGAAGATGCGTTGCAGTTCTCGTGGTAGGCACAGCACTTTGGACGTGTCCATCTTCATTTTGCGTGGCAGGCGCAGCGTAGACGTGTCGTGTTGCGTGCTTTTGCGAATCGCATTGTCTGGGCTGCGTCAAGTGGCGACAAGGTGCAAAGTCCGTGGCAGGCGTGGCATTTTGTAAGATGTGATGCAAATTGACGGAAGCCTCGCGCGAAACATCGATTTTGAGGTAGCAAATTGGGAGGTTCACAAGAAAATTGGAGGAAGTCTCGCACGAAATGCTCGTTTTGATGCTCCCACGTGTCTCGTCTCGAGTCTCTGGTTTTCCTGTGGCCTCGCCGTGTTCTTTGGGGGAGGCTGCAAAAACTTTCCTTTTCGAAGGTTTCCAAGCAGGTTGTCATGTCGTTTTGCTTGGCAGGCGTGGCACTTTGTGACATTCCAACCTGTTTGATAACGTGCCGAAAGTGTCAAAATTGGGGGAAGTCTCACACGAAATGCTCGCTTTGCTGCGCCCACGTGTCTCGTCTCGAGTCTCTGGTTTTCCTGTGGCGTCGCCGTGTTCTTTGGGGGAAGCTGCAAAACTCCTTTTCGAAGGTTCCAAGCAGGTTGTCATGTCGGTTTGCGTGGCAGGCGCAATACTTTTGCGTCGTTTTCACAGGAGGAGTTGTAGTTTTCGTGGACGCCGCAGCATTTATATGATTTCTGTCGTCATTTTGCGTGGCAGGCGCAGCACTTCAGATGTGTCGCATTGCGTGCTCTACACTCTGCACTCCACACTTCACCCTTTACACTTCACATTCCCTTTACATTCCGCACTTTACACTCTACACTCCACACTCCACACTTTACACTCCACACTTTACACTCCACACTTTACACACTCCACACTTTACACTCCACACTCTGCACTCTACACTCTAGACTGTACACTCCACGCTCCACAGTATACACTTTACACTCTACACTCTACACTTTACACTTTACACTGTACACTCCACACTCCACACTCCACACTCTACACCTTACACTCTACACCTTGCACTTTACACTTTGCACTCTATACAATTTACACTCCACACTCCACGCTCGACACTTTACACTCCACACTCTACACTTTACACTCCACACACTACACTCTACACTCCACACTTTACACTCCACACTGTATACTTTACAATTTACACTTCACACTCCATGCTTTACACTCCACACTTTACACTCTACACTTTACACTCTACAATTTACACTCCACATTCCACACTCTACACTCCACACTCTACACTGCACACTTTACACTTTACATTCCGCACTTTGCAGTTGACACTTTAAACTCCGCATTCTACACTTTACACTCTACTCTCCACCCTCTACACAGCTCACACTTTCAATTTTACACTTAACACACCACACGCCACACTTTACACTTTACACTCTACACTCCGCACTTTACACTTTACACTCAACAATTTACGCTTTACACTTTTCACTGCGTTCTCTACACTTTACACTCCACACTCTACACTTCACACTTTACACTCCACACTCTACACTCCACACTCTACACTCCACTCTTTACACTCCGCGCTCTACACTCCACACTCTACACTCTACACTTTACACTCCGCACTTGACATTTGACACTCCGCACTTTACACTCTACACTTTACACTCTACACTTTACACTCTACACTTCTCACTCTACACTCCACACTTTACACTTTACACTCTACACTGTACGCTCCACACTTGCACTCTACACTTTGCACTCTATACTTTACACCCCACACTCTACACTCCACACTCTACACTCCACACTTCACACTTCACACTTTGCACTCCACACTCCACACTTTGCACCCCACACTCTACACTCTATAGTCTTTACTCTACACTCCACACTCTACACTTTACACTCTACACTTTACACTCCAGACTTTTTACACTCCACACTTTACACTCTACACTTTACACTCCAGACTCTACACTCTACACTCCACACTCCACACTCCACACTTTGCGCTCCACACTGTGCACTTGACACTCCGCACTCCACACTTTACACTCTACACTGTACGCTCCACACTTGCACTCTACACTTTGCACTCTATACTTTACACCCCACACTCGACACTCCACACTCTAGACTCCACACTTCACACTTTGCACTCCACACTCCACACTTGCACTTTACATTCGACACTCTACACTTTACACTTCAGACTCCACACTTACACTCTATACTCTACACTTTACACTCCACACTCTACACTCCACACTCTACACTCCACACTCTACACTCCACACTCCACACTTCACGCTGTACGCTCTACACTTTACACTCCACACTTTGCACTTTACACTGTGCACTCTACACTTTACACTTCGCACTCCACACTTCACACTTTACAGTCTACATTTTGCACTCCACACTCTACATTCCACACTCTACACTCCACAGTTTACACTTCCCACCCCACATTCCATATCTACACTTTACACTCCACACTTCGCACCCCACCCCCTTCCGCATTCCACAGTCTACAGTGCACTGGTACAGTAGCAGGGGAAAATGTACAAGACTGTTCAGATAACTTGTTCACAAAAGTGTTCTACGTGACTGCATTCGGGTTCGTGGGCTGCATCTTGTTTTTTTTTATTTGGGCTGATTTGGATTGATTCGGATTGTTGCCAGGGAATGTTTGCATATTTTTGCCATAAAAATTCAAAACATGGTTGGGTTTTTTTGTGTATTGTGAGAACCAATTCTGGGAAGGATGCGGGCGAAAGTCTAAAGAAACATGAAATAACAAAAATTACCATTTTTTGTGGGGGGTGAAACGATTAGTAATATTAACTGAAAAACGATGTTGCAGCTACAAGATAACAAGCGAATATAAATGATAATTAAAAAACAATCTAGAATTGAGGATGCAACATGTGCACACATTTCAAGTCACACCCAATAAACAGAGAAATGGTGATTTGTGAAAACAGGGATGCACCAAACCAGTAATCTCTGACATATTTTAGTTTTGTTTGTGATAGCAAACACAGGTGTACCGATCGCAGCGGAACGTTTTCGGTTTATGAGTATATGAAATTGGTTCAAAGTGAAATGTCCTTGAAAGTGGGTGGCCCCCCGAATGGATGGTTTCACCTCTTATACCACATAGTTTGGCAGGAGAGAATTCGCTCGATCGGTACGTATCATGAACATTCAAGGTTTCATTGATTCATGGTCTACAAACTTACAATTTTACAGTATCGGCATATATGGCCAGAATCTGGCAAACAATTCCAGGAAATGGACATGTGACTTGAGATGTAAGCAAAATATTTACGGCATATTCAGGGATAGTGGTGCATATTTCCAGTTGGTCACAGATCCAATGCCTAACAGCCAAGGAACTCATCAAAAAAATGGAAGGAGGCTTTGACGGGCTGAATAAGTTCGTGCGAGAGACTATTTGGCATGCCCTGAAGGCTTCTCACCAAAACTTCGAGACCACCTTTAGAGGTTTCTTGCATGGATTGTATTTTTGTTTCTTGGGTTAAAATGGGTTAAACGTTTTGACACCGAAAACTACCTATAGAGGGAAGGTGCGATGTAACAGGCTGGGGAAATCATCTCAGCCAAGGCTTGGAACACGACTTGACCTCGGCAGGAAGTCAGGTACCAGGTCCAGGTCCAACTTTGCTCACTCGACAGTCTCGACAGTCTCCACAGCCGGAGGGTGAGAAGGATAGCGATTGAAAACTTGTGAAAATTTGACCCGTTTTAGTTTTGATTAGTTGTTTTAATTAATTGATATGTTGTGATGTAACTAATTGTTTTCCCATGGTTTGTGGGGCTTTGTCTAAAGAGTCTAATGGTTTGCTTTTTGGTTCAAAACCAGTCTGGTCTGAGCAGTTGTTTCTTGCTTTCGAAAATTGTTTAGTATTGCGGAGTCCCAATTTTGAACATGACAAAGTTCCCACAGATGAATTGATTTATAGCATAGCACCCTAAGCGGAGCAAGATCCTGGATGCATTTTGAGATTTGTGAGGATTCCCTAGGAATCCAAAGTCAGGTTCTGGCCCCATGTGAGGTGAATCCATTTTTGAAGCCATGTCACATCAACAAAGCATGTGCCCGGCAAACTTGGAACCTGCAGTGCACATAGTCGCTGCTCCCATCCCAATTCATGCTGGCCAGTTTGATCTGTCCAGCGCGCCTAGATGGCAAACCCAGATCAAATTTGACCTCAATGAGGAGAAACATGAGTTCTAAAGGATTCTAAAGGGCTAGAGTTGAAATTGAAACTTTTGTGAAACTTGCTGTTGAAACATGTTGTTGGATCAAATCAAATGAAATACCAGGTTTGAGCAGGGTCCTGGAATACCCTGGATATTTTTGTGAGGATATTCCGTGCACAAGGTGTTTTGTCAGCACCTCGCACTCTTGCCAGTCGCTGACTCAGGATGGACCAAAAGGTTGCTATGACATCGGTTTGCCTTCCAAAAAGCCACTGTTCCAGATATTTGCGTGGCTCTTAGTCTGGCTCTTTCATCTCGGAGAATACCAGCGAAAGGAAGTGCATTTCGCAGAGCATAAGCGGGTGTGGCCCTTGGAAAGCATGCAATATCTTGCAATCAGTTGGGCAGGTGGAGAAGATTCGGCGTTTGGTCACCATGTCCAGCGAGGTGGGATTCTAAACGTGACAAATCGTGACAAACACATAGCGGCATAGCGCATCATAGCGCAGTCTACAGATGCAGGCGGGTGGCCCAAAACCTTGGATGCCCTTCCTGGTGATGACCAGCCATGCCCCTAGTGCCCCTAGGGATGTCCAAAATGGGCCAAGTCGTTCACCAGTTGGCTATTGATATTGATATATATATATATATTGATATATATTGATATATATTGATATATATATATAAATTGATATATATTGATATATATTGATATAATATATATATATTGATATATATTGATATATATTGATATATATATATTGTTATATATTGATATATATATATATATTGATATATTCTATTTTGATATATATTGATACTTATTGATTTCTATATATATATTGATATATATATATATATATTGATATATATATATATTGATATATTATATTTTGATATATTTTGATGAATATTGATAAATATATATTTATATATATATTGATATAATATATATATTGATATATATTGATATATATATATATATATTGATATATATTGATATATATATATATATATTGATATATATATATATATATTGATATATATATATATATTGATATATATTGCTATATATATATATATATTTATTGATATATATATATATTGATATATATATATATATTGATATATTATATGTTGATATTGATCAGATATGTGTACAGTATAGGCCATGTTACATGTAGTACATATGTTTGTATATGTGCTGCAGCCATTTTAGTGCTTTCAGCTACCTTCGAGCTGACTGAGTGAAAAGGTGCTGATCAGTGCTCAGGAGTGTTCATCAGATTTAAGAGCCCAAATTCTTTGTTCATGGTAGCGGAGCTGAGGTTCTGATACCCAGCTGTGAATGTGTAGGTGTCCACGCCGAGCTGCATCAGCTCTGGCGCGCCTACCTAGTGCCACCTGGAAAAGGTTGACACTCAAGCTCCTGAAAATCAGGAAACTCCAAAGGTACTTCCATAACCTGGGAGTGCATCTCCAACAGTATCCAAGGGTTCTCTTGAACCAGGTCTCTAAGCACCTGAAGAACGACTAAGGATGGCTCAGCAACAGCAGCCACCTCAGCAACCAGGCACTCCACCAGCACCACAACAAGCACAAGGCAACGGTCCCAACATGTCCCAGATGGTTATGCAGATGATGGCCCAATTGACTCAGGGTCAGGCGCAGTTGAGCCAGGCAATGACCGAGGCTATGAACCAGCAGCTTCAGATCAACAGAAATGTTGAGAGATCTGTTGAGTACAAAGACAGATCAGAGTTGAAAGGCATACCAAAGCCTGACAAGTTCACTGGAGCATCAGGCACTTGGGATAGTTGGTGGTACAAGTTTAAGACATGGGTTGAAAGTTGCCACAAGAATGCTGTGAAGATTGTGGCACAAGTCGAGTCTCAGTGTGACAAAGAGATCACTGAGTCAAGTCTAGAAGTAGACTTTGATGAAGGCGCCGAGCTAGTTTCAGCTCAGGCCAGACAAGCCCTCATATCATTGACTGAGGGAGAAGCGTTGGAAATTGTCAAGAACACATCTCGTGGTAGCCACTTTGGCCTAGAAGCCATGAGACGACTGTTGTGCAAATATGACCCTCAAAATCCTCAAGCCAATTCAGCCTTGTTGAAAAAGGTTCTGCATCCAAGTCAATGCAGTCTTGATAAGCTTCGAGAAGGTCTTGAGAGTTGGGAGAACTTGAAAAGAAAGTATGAAGACAGGAGAAAGAAACCACTTGAAGATGACATCTGCAGGAGTTGCTTGCAGCAGATGTGTCCCAACAAGTTGCAAGATCATTTGGACTTGCAGGCATCGAGATTGACGTCGTACGACCAGGTGAAAGCTGAAGTTTTGGCCTACCTTGAGAATGTCGAGACCAGGAAAGAAGCAAAGTCAGGAGCCGTTCCCATGGATGTGGATTCCCTTGCTAAGGGTAAGGGAAAAGGAAATCAAGATAAAGGGAAAGGCAAAGGTAAGTCAAAAGGTAAAGACAAAGGTAAGAGTCAGTCTTCGTCTTGGTCAAACAATTCATACCACAAGGGTTCTTGGAACAATCAATCTTGGAATCAGCAGTCTTGGTATAAACAAAACACCAATGACTCCAAGAGCAAAGGAAAAGGCAAGAAAGGTCAAGACAAAGGTAAAGGTAAAGGTGATCAAGGCAAAGGTCGTAAAGTTGCTAATGTTGAGTCTGACACTTGGGCTCAAGAGCAACAACCTGCAGCATCATCTGGTGATCAACCTGAACCAGAGATCACTGCGCTGTTTGCCTTGGAAGACACTATGCCACCCAAGTCTGAAGCTCGAGATGAATCCTCTCGTCGTGGTCGAAGCCCAAGACGAGCAAACCTTCAGGCACCTTCAAGGAGCACTGTGACCAGGAGCGCTATGGTGATGGCTCAGAGCGCTTTGGCATCAGCTTCTGGGTCTAACAAGGAGCTGTTTGGCAAGATGATTGCTCAGGCTGAGAGCGCCGTCAAAGAAGCTCAGGACAAAGGGCGTCAAGCAAATCAAGCTCTTAAGGAACGCCAAGAAGCCCTGGACAAGTTGAAGAAAGAGGCAGCCCAGCATCAGAAAGAGGCCAAAGAGGCAATGGCCAAAGTGAGGGCAGAAGGCCGTGCTGCTTCAGCACCGGCTGCACCCTCTCGTCGGATGCAAGCCGACCTTGATGCTGGGGTACATCCAAGAGCTGCCAAGAAGAAGGAGAAGGACAGGCAGAGAGCTGCCAGTCATCGAGCAGCCACTGCTGGACAAAGAGCATCCAGCTTCAAGCGCTATGAGTTGGCCACCTTTGGACAGGCCAACCCCGACAAGTGGGACCAGGATGACATGGGAGATCGTCCTGAACCTCCCAAAGCAAGAAAGCTGGAACCTAAGCGCCATAGAGGAGGACATCACAGGTCTGAAAGACGAAGAGCAGATGAAGCAAGGAAGAAGGCCAATAAGGAAAAGATGAAAGAGATGAGTAAGGATGAGATCCCACAATGGATCCATGATAAGTGTGAGATTTCCTCTGGGGAGAGCATTTCCTCTGAAGGATATGAGTTTGTCAGCAGACTTGAAAAGCTGAAAACCGATCCTGAAGTCCTCAGCAAGTTGGACAACGTCTTGAAGGAAGCCTACGAGAAAGCCTATGGTGAAGTCCTTGACCTAGGATCTTCTGATGAGACAGATCCAGACGATTTGCCCTACAACCAGGAGCCAGCACCAGGCATGGAGGATGTGGTCGAGCATTGGCAGAATTCCTTTCGAAGACCCATTCCATTCAAGGAGTTGCATGAGAAGTGCAAAACTGTCTCCAACAAAGGGTATCCCTATGTGAAGTGCCAGTCATGTGGAAAGGCACTCAACTCCATGAGCGTTGCAAGCTTTTGGCAACATGTGGAGAACAAGCAATGCTATCCTCAGTATGCCCTGGAGTTTTGGAAGAAAGAACATCGTCAGGCAAAGGCAGAGAGAGAGGCACGAGAAGAAGGAGAATCATCCAAGAAGCGCCCCATGGATGATGCAGAGGCCAAAGATGAGAAAAAGCGCCAAGAGATCGCCAAGGATGAAGAGAAGAAGAAGCGCAAGCAGCATCTTGAGGAGCACTATGAGCGCTTCAGGCACCAGGGTAAAGATGATTTGAAGCCTGAAGTGAAGAAGATCCCCAAGAGGCCAGAGGAGAAAGAGGAAGAAGAAAAGAAAGAAGAAGAAGAGGCACCCAGAGCACCCATCGAGCTGAAGTCCAAATCCCCATCGAGAGCGCCTGAGGACAGCCGGGCTGATTCAGCCCAGGCGTCCAAGGGCAGGGGAAAGTTCAGCATGGGCACCAAGAGATTCCTGGAGAAGACGGCGCGTGATGCAGCCAACTACATGGAAAGAAAAGCCAGGAAGAAGAGGGAGAAAACGCCATCTCCCAAGCCCAGGGAGCACTCACCAGGAGGAGGAGTTCGATCAGACTCCAACCTCGACTTCCTGGGAAGTTTGGCATCTCCGGTGGATACCATTGTTTGGGCCACCGTTGACTCAGGGGCAGCAACCAGTTGCCTACCCAAGGAATTGGCACAGTCATTGGAGTTGGCTATGACACCTGTGGATGAGAAGCCGTTCACCAACGCATCAGGGCAGCCAGTCCAGGTGCATGGGGTGTGCAACCCTATGGTGACCATGGGTGAGAAAGGAGGCCCACAAGTCAAAGGTGTGGGACAATTCCGGGCAATGGATGTTGCAAAGCCATTGTTGTCTGTGTCCAAGCTGGTTGAGAAAGGCTGGACAGTAACCTTCGGCCCCAATGGATCGTTTCTGCAAAGGGGAGCCAAGAAGGTTCCAGTCACCATGACTGGAGGTGTTTTCAAGATAGCCATGGATTTTCATGGGCAGCCCACAGAAGGGTTGAAGGCGTAAGTCCTGTGGAGACCACAGAGAGCGCAGGTAGTGGAGATGATGAACCGGGCAGTAGTAAGCTAGGTTCTCAAGCGCTACCAACTGCAGCAGCGCCGACGCAGAGAGAAAAAGAAGAGCATTTTGTCAGCCATTATCCTTTTAGGAGTTGGTGTGAACATTGCATTCGAGGTAAGGCAAAGGCAATGAGACATGTCAAAGTAGATCATTCAGATGAGACAGTTCCTGTGATCTCAGCTGACTATTGTTTCATGAATTCAGTGGATGACACTGTCATCACAGAAGAAGTGCAGAAAAAGCATGCACCAGTTTTGATAGTACATGATCGATGGTCCAAGTTGACCTACGCACACGTTTTGCCGTACAAGGGTGTTACCCAAGGTCCTATTGGATCTAAGTGTCTTTTGAATGACCTTAAGAAGTTTGGGTACCCCAAGATGGTCATGAGATATGACCCAGAGCCTGCACTCAACTCCGTAGTTGAGGCAGCCAAGAATGGTTTTGACAAACAGTTGGTTTTGGAAAAGGTTCCCAAAGGAGTCTCAGAATCCAAAGGGGAAATTGAAAGAGCAGTTCAAGCTATTGAATCTCAATCCAGGACACTCAGAAGTGCCTTGGAGACAAGCTATGGAAGAAAGGTGCCAGACGACCACCCAGTTTTGACATGGTTGGTTGAACATGCTAGCACCACTTACAATTTGTTTCACAGATCTTTGGAAGTCAAAGATGGAAAGACACCGTACTCTAGACACCGTGGTCGTGAGTGGAGAGTGTCACTACCACCGTTTGGGGAAACAATCGAATTCCTCAAAAGAGGTCACAAGTTTGAACAAAGATGGCACCAAGGAGTTTTCTTGGGAGTCAAAGACAATACCACTGAGAAGATAGTGGGAAATGCATCAGGTGTTTTCACTGTGCAAAGCATTCGACGCAAGAGTGCTGACGACAGATATGACGTCGAAACATTGATGTCAGTCACTGGGGTTCCTTGGGATCCTCAAGCATCAAAAAGAGATGATGTTTTGCTTCCTCAGATTGTTGAGGGAGATCAGCAGCCACTGGCGCCATCAGTGCCAGTTGAGCCACCAAAGAAGTCGACAAGACGACTTTACATCACCAAACGTGATTTGGACAAATATGGCTACACCGCTGGTTGTGTCGCCTGTGATGCCACTAGAATTGGCAAGAGAGGCACTGGAGTTCATCACACTCCAGCCTGCAGAGAAAGAATGGAACGCTTACTTCAAGCAGAAGAGGGCAACCTGAGAGTAGCCCAACATACGGCCAAGGTTGATTCTGAAATCACTGGTCAGAAACAAGAAGTGTCCGAAGAAGGCACAAAGATCCTTTATGGATATTCCAGCGAGAGACCACAAGGAGTCCCTCAAGGTTTCAAGGTGTTTGCGCGCCTTGACAAGAATGCAAGGTATCTCAAGGGTACTATGCCAGAAGGTCCCAACTGGGACAACGTCTGGTGGAGAGTCACCAGAGATTTCAAAACAGGAGACATTATCAAGTCTGAACCAATAGATCCTAGTTTAGGAGATGAAGTCATCAACGCGCCTTTGATTGATGACACAGATATTGTCACTGAACTGTGGTATTCAGCCACAGGGGAATCTGCGCCAAGTTTGCCAACAGCTGGACCTGCTATGGCCAGGCAGAGTCCTGCTACCGGACAAGCTGCAGATCCACCTGCAGAAAGCGCAAGCGCAAGCACAGCCTCAGCCAAGAGGGCAGGAGGCGAGCAAGAAGAAAGAGCACACAAAAGGTTGGAAATGTCTCCAACCAAAGGTCAGAAAAGACCGGCAGACTCAGGAGGCGAAACGTCAAAGTCCAAGGACAGCCGAGCTGCTTCAGCTCAGGCGTCCAAGGGCACCAAAAGGCCACCTGAGAATGAGAGACCAGAAGACATGGATGACATAGACCAATGTCTTATGAACCTGATCATGGAAGATCGGGAGAAGTACCTTCAGTCCATTGCAGGTGAAGAAGAGCCAGTTTGTGAAGAGACAATTCCTCTTCCACCAGAACTGGAAGATGAAGCAGCCACATGGTATTATTATGATGATATCAGTGGAAAGATTTTAGACAGCAAAGGTGTAGAACAAGCCAGAAAAGATGAGGTCGAAATCATTGAAAGTTTTCCAGTTTGGGAAAAGATTCCCAGACACAAGATGCCCAAAGGGGTACGCACCATTGGAACACGATTGGTAGATGTCAACAAGCAGGATGAAGAGAATCCACTGTATAGAAGTAGGCTAGTCGCTCAAGAAGTCAAGAAGGGCTCAGGTTTTGACGAGTTCTTCGCAGCAATGCCAAGTTTGTCGGCTTTGAAGATGCTAGTTACAATAGCCGTCACGTTTCAGTTGCCAGACGCTGGAAAAGCTGTCAAGGAAGCCTATCGCAAGCGTAGACTTCTAGGATTTTTGGATGTGAAACGCGCCCACTTTTACTCAGATGCGACGCGTGAGATCTATGTGGAACTTCCTGCAGAAGCAAAGAAGCCTGGAGAAGATGCGGTAGGAAGATTGCTCAAGTCTTTGTATGGAACCAGAGACGCACCTCTCAACTGGGAGTTGCAAATACAGAAGGTTATGTTAGCCTTAGGATTCAAGCAAGGAAAAAGCAATCCGTGCATTTACTACCATGCAGGCCGAGACCTCAGAACTGTTGTACATGGAGATGATTTTACAACAGCCGGAACATTTGATGACATCAAATGGCTTCACGAAGAGCTGTCGAAGAAGTGGAAATGTGTGGAACGTGGTATTTTAGGACCACCAGGAACACCAAACACCATCCAGGACATCAGAGTCCTGAACAGAATTATCACATGGAAGGAGAATGGAATTTGGTGGGAACCAGATGCACGTCATGCAGAGTTGGTGATTGATTTACTCGGCGATGGTCCCCGAGGAGCCAAAGTCAAGACACCACTTGCCAAGGGTTCAGTGGAAGACCTCAAGAACGCCACTGTTTTTCTCAATGATGAAGAAGCAACCCAGTACAGATCAGTTGCAATGCGAGCAGCTTATTTGGCACAAGATCGACCAGATCTGCAAGTAGCGACAAGATCTTTAGCACAAGGGCTACAACGACCAACTACCAGCCACATGCTTATGCTCAAACGAGTTGCACGATACCTAAGGTATCGACCACGCATGGCACAATTCTTTCCTCATCAGAGCAAACTCAGTCCATTTGTGATGTGGTCTGATGCTGACCACGCTGGTTGCGTGAAGACGAGGAAGAGCGTGTCAGGAGGCGTCCTGATGGCCGGAGGTTGTTGTATCAAGACTTATTCTAAAGGACAAGGAGTTGTTAGTCTTTCGTCTGGAGAGAGTGAGTATTACGCTCTTGTGAGCGGTGCCAGCAATTTGCTGGGAGAAGTTTCAACCGCCAAAGACTGGGGTTTGCAACCCGAGAGTGAAGTTTTCATGGATGCAAGTGCAGGAATAGCAATGGGTTCTCGCAGAGGACTAGGCAAGGCCAAGCACGTGGATACTCAATACCATTGGGTACAAGACCGCGTTGCCAAGCGCTACTTTCGGCTGAAGAAGGTCGACGCTGGCGATATGCTTGCCGACGTCTTGACGAAACCCGTCATAGAGGAGAAGATGAACAAAGCCCTGCGGAATATGAACTTTCACTTTCTGGAAGGTGAGCATCACCTGACACTGAGAGCGTAGATGGCTTGAGTCGTGGCTATGCTCCGCTGTACATATCAAAACTCGCCTAGTTCAAAACACTTGGACTCACCGTGCCTCCGAACAGGCTCGGGAGGCGTGATCAGATATGTGTACAGTATAGGCCATGTTACATGTAGTACATATGTTTGTATATGTGCTGCAGCCATTTTAGTGCTTTCAGCTACCTTCGAGCTGACTGAGTGAAAAGGTGCTGATCAGTGCTCAGGAGTGTTCATCAGATTTAAGAGCCCAAATTCTCTGTTCAGATATTTATTGATATATATTGATATATATATATATATATATTGATATATATATTGATATATATATCTATTGATATATTATATTTTGATATATATATATTGATATATATATATTGATATATATTGATATATATTGATATATATTGATATATATGTTGATATATATTGATATATATTGATATATATTGATATATATTGATATATATTGATATATATATTGATATATATTGATATAATATATTTTTATATACATATATATTGATTTATATTGATATATATTGATATATATTGATATAATATATTTTTGTATACATATATATTGATATATATTGATATATATTGTGATATATATATATATATTGATATATATTGATAGTGCAGTTGCCATTGGGTGCCGTTGGTTCAAGACTTCACGGCGTGAAATTTCAGATGCCTCGGAGTCCATTTTTATGATGTCCGCATGATAAAATGATGCACAGTGATGGAGATAATGGCGCTGACCAAAGGCCCCATGACGCACAAGCAAACCGTGGACTTCTTTGAGCAGCCAGGGACTGATATTGCTGGTAGAATCTGAAGCGCTGATGACTGAGATGAGCATGAACTGCCACTGTAAGTGATTGGTAGTTTGATTTTTATGTTTTTTTTACTATTTGTACCTGGGATGATTGATGATCCCCAATATTCCGATACTGTTTTTCCACTCTGGGGATGGAACCATATAAAAACCACCAGCCACTTCAAAGAAACGTGTTAAGGCGAAGGTGCCAATGCTTGTTACGCTTGTTTGCAGTCTTTGACATCCAGTGCACAGCGGACCTGGCATGTTTGACTTCAAGTGTCAGTTCTCCCAGGCACAGCTACTTTGGCATGACAAAGGAAGATGTTGGCACCTGAGTGGTGGAAGAGACAGATCTGCAGTCGGAAGTTGCCAGTAGCCTATAGCATCTTGACTTTCCATGATTATTGAAAATTCCTGGTGCCATTGTGCAACTACTAGACGCACCAGGTATCACCAAACTAAGAATCAAATCAGTGCAACTGTTTCTATATTTGTCTTTTTGTTGGAAACTATTTTCTATGGAGGAAGCTCTCACATCCGGTAAGAGAATTTTCATCCAACCATAAATTCAGGACTTTGCGCGCTTAATACCCAGTTTGTGTGAGTGGGGTGGTGTGTCCGCAACTGTGGTGTTTGCTTTATGGTGTCTGTTGAAATTCAGTGGCCATACATAGTTTTGGTCATTTTGTTTGCCTGAGTACAGACGCTAAGAACAATTGCCTCTCAGATGAATCTCAGGTTTGGTTCTTTGAGCAGGGCACCATGCCCTGCCTGACCCCTGAGGGGAAAATCATCTTGGAGCTCGGCTCTTATTCTCGTTGTGAAGTGGAGACTGAGTGAAGAGCACGGCACCTCGATGCTCCAAATTCTTCCAAGCCGCTCCTGAACATGTCCAGGTCTCCAGGGAGTATAGCTTGCAACCCTTATGGCAACGGGGGGGTGTATCCGGCCAGGAGCACAGGCTGAGTCATCCAGAAATATCTGAAATCATCCCCTCATCATATCCTATTATCTCGTGATTATTGGTTGAAGTTGACGACAGTGTCTCACCATGTCTCACCCATTTTTTGTACAACCCAGTATCCCCAGCTGGCAACCATTGGCAACCCTTGCCGGCATGACGATGCGGGCAGTGTGGTGGGGCAAGGCCTTAAAGAAGTCTGGCTGTTTGGACAAACTCCTCTCCACTGGGGTCGGATCCTTGAGCGGGATGAACTGTGGATGTAGGTCGGCTTCAAGAGCTTCCTCTGCGAGTGAGGTGAAGAGCCTCCATGTTTTCTCAGTTGACAATCCTCTTTGCAGACCAGCAGATCCTCGTTTTGTCGGGTTGGGTTTCCCAGAATGCAAAGATATTGCAACCAGTCACGGTAGGCAACAGGCCTGATGATGATCTTCAGAAGGGTTGAAATCAGCAAGCAAATCATGACGTGGTCAACTTCATATCTGTGCTGTTAGAGATAAAACTGCGAAAAATGGCGCGCTATGTGAACTTCTCTTGGGCTTGATTTGGGGATGCAGATATGCGAGAGGTACTGTCTGTCGAAGAATGCAGACTGCGGAAACAAGTGCGTTTGGACCCCAGGCTTGAATCTTCAAAGCTCCTGTGCCAGCCCTTTGCACGCTTTCGTTGACATCAACGGTATTCAAACCGTTGGTGTTGGTTCATTCACCCCTCCTAAGGTTTGGAAAGCTTCACCTGAGGAGAAAGTGGGAGTAATGGCAAAGAAGGGTGGTCGGCCAAGCGTGGTGGAGTACAGTGCATCTGGCCAGATTCATGACATTTTCATGACATGTCGTCACTTGAAGTGATGCTTTTCTAGGCTTCGAGTCTACTTTCGTTTTAGGACGAACATGAAGGTTGGATCTCTGCACATGCGCATGGCTTTCGAACTGCTTGCTGACTCTTGCCTCCCGTGCTTGTGGTCCTTCTGGAGTGACCGTTCTTTGCAGCAAGTGTTGAGGTCTTTTGTGCACAAGAGGAGAGCCCATCAATCGGTCCAGTGTATATAAAAGACATCACAGCACAGTCTTTGACTTCAAAGTTCGCAGAATGAAAAGACCTCCGCATACCGTACATACCAACTTTGTTTCCCTCATGACGATCACTCTGTCCAAATCTGTCCAAATCTGTCCAAGGGAAACATGTCGTGAACCCGCAGCCAAAGTCCTCGACATCGAGCTTCCCATGACAGGTGAACTAGACGATGCTCGGAAGACCCTGCGCGATTCCAATGGAAGACTTGTTTTTGGCGCCATGGCCCTCAGCAGTCCAGAGATGTTCCGAGGGTTTATTTATGTTTATTTGTGTCCAGGCATGTGTCAACAATTCCAAACAGTCAACATGCGGGCGATAGAGAGAGAGAGAGAGAGAGTCAACGTGTTGACATGTACCTCAGCTCCATATCAACCAAAAAGAGCCAAAAAACGCAGTCAGTTAGGCTTCACATGGCTGATCAAATTCGGAGCTTGGCTTATCCCGAGTCGCTTGGAACCGTCATCCAAGGCTGGCAACATTTGCAATCACTTTTTCTCCGTGGACTTCTTGACAGAAGTCGGGGCCTGAGCAGCTTCCAAGCGCAAATAACCCGCTTGGGCAATGTGGCTTGGGTGGTTGGGAAGTGCGATTTGGAGTCTGAAGAGTCGAAAGGCTGTCCCTCATCTAAAGGCGCCATAGCCTTTGCTCATGGCTAGTGATCTCTCAATCATTGAATATATATAAAGATACAATTAAAAGCAATTGGTATAATTTGCAGGTTCAAGCCCCTTGGAATTTCAATCTCAACGGAATTTCTGATTGCTTCGGCATCTTTCAGTCAGGTGATGTCGGGTTCAATAGTCAGCCCAGGTGGTGGTGCCAAAGATGTCCACCATGTTCCACTTGGCTCACAAAAAGTTCCCCAGCTGCAGCAGTGTACACAGACAACTGCAAGTTATTTTATGAACAGCACATGAAACAGTGGCAAGTTACTGCAGATGTTGGATTCTAAAGCATTAACATGTACACAGTATACTGTATCGTATACTTATTATGTTCTTGTTTGCTAATTTTTGTGAGCCAATTATGGGGCCCCGAATAGGTTTTCCCATTGCGATTGGGGAGGCTTTAGGCCCCACCAAGAGAAATTAGAAACACTGGATGGGACTAGGGCTTCGACTTTGCTTGAACTTGATCTGAGGATTCCATACGCAGGAGAAGACGGCAAACCCGTGAAGCCTGAGAGCAACAATGGTCCGATGCACAGAAAGAGCATTGACCACATATTGGATCATATTGGGGTTGAGTTCGAGGTTTGTCACACTTTAATCGTCAAACATGTTGCAATGAGGCGTTGGTTGTTGCTTCACTGTTCACTGTTCACTGTTCCCATTTATTCCCAAATCTTCTATAATCTTCCGAAACCAGCACTGCATGTACAAAAAGAGTCAGACTTGCACAGGTGGGCCACATGGTGAAGGTCGATCATCATGCCATGTCACAGGATTTCATCCTTCCCTACTGGAATGCCTGAGGTGTGAAATTGGAAGCATTCATTTTCGATGTGTTCCCAATGAGCAGCCGGATTGACGGGCAGCCCAGTGGTGCTGAGGATGAGAATAAGTTTACAGAATAAGGTAGCCTGAAATCTCACAAGGAAGCCGTAGAATGGGTTCTATCATCAAGAATATCAAGATATGTTCAATAATTAAGTTACTCATACCGTGATCTTGGGCAAGACAGGCACGTTCTTGGTGGATAAGATATGATAAGATGCTGAGTTTGCTGTTTGTCAGATGTTGTCAGTGACCAGCTCACCATAGAGGGCGCCCAGGCCATCTTGGAGACCTTCCGAGAGGAAGAGTTTGCCCCGGTGAAAAATGCACCAGGGACAGCATCAGACAGTCAGGGACCTGATTCACAGCAGCGTTTGGAATAGTTCAATAGGTTTTGTTGTGCGAAAGACCCAGCCTATACCCAATGCATTGGAACCGAACATAAATGAACAAACTTTGGAAATTAGGTGCCAAATGGTTTTGCTCCAAGGTCCCGACAGTGCAAGAAGCATGGTGAACCTGTTGTGCCGCAAGTGGGTGGAAAAGGCGCTGAGCTTACCTGACCTTCAAACAATTTTTATAGCTCGACAGTGTTCCAATATTGGGGGCCCATTCAACCCTAGCTGGAATACTTCAATATACTTCAATATAGTTGATTTAATTTGAGTTCAATGAGCAGCGTGAAGGCAGGTGGCAAGATTGATGGAGATGCAAATGCCGTTGTGGAGGCGCCTTTGCGCCGTTTTTTTCTCGCATTGTGAGTCATTTGAGTAGCTTCTGGCAGCATGCAGAAGATGGTATTACAGTATAATCTCAATATACAATGGTATTTCTGATGTTTTCTGATAATGATTGTGATGGCGCCAATTTCTGAGATGGCAATGACAGTGATAGTGACGATGATGTCCGGTCTTGTTTTGACAAGGCAGGTTCCTTCAAACAGTGAAAGAACAACACCGTTGTCCATGAAAGTTTTCAGACTTTCACGTGTGCCAGTGCATTGTGGTTGAAGGTTTCTCCGCTTGTCTCCTACGCCGGTGAAGGCAAATATGATTTTGAACTTGAGTTGACTGTCTCATACTCTCAGAGTCTAAGATAATGCAGGCAATGCTACGCAACAGCTATCAATGGCTGTTTGCTGCAGTTTGTAGTTTGGCACCTGATGAATGGCTTGTTGTCCCCCAGGCCTGACAGAACGAGTGGCTGGGAAGACCATCAGTGCACCGTGTCACTTGGAATGACGGGCAGATTTCCCAGGCGCACAGACAGCCAAATTGTAGAAATGTGTAGGGAGATCACCTTGCGGTCCAAGGCATGACACGGCCAGTGAAAGTACTGGCTGTGTGAAACGTTGAATGAAAGAAGGTAGTGGCTGTGGCAGATGAGCATGAAACATTCATGAAACTGTAGTCAGCACTTTACATGTTGCCACTCGCCCATTGATTCCAAGCGAGACCAAAGCAGCCTCTGATGAGAAAAAGAAGGTGTGATCAAGAGTGCTCCCAAGGTGTTCGTGTTTGTTAGTGAATATCAACGACCGGATTTTGCAAAGCTTTCCGCATTTGATGAACGGCTTCCAAGCATGCATCGGATACATCGTGAAGATGTGTCTCAGTCTCACTGAATCATGCCGTTTTGGATTCCATTAAACATATATATATATATATTCCATTCAAATTAAAAATTAACTTATTCAGTGCATTTTATTTTATTTATTCTGATTGCAGGGAAGCTTGTAGACCCGACTAGTTTTGCTCAAGAATCGAGATGCTGCATTACGACACAAGAAGGTCTCTCATGTTGTCCTAGGTCCTATTTCCCATCAGTTTCCGCATGCAGTTGCGGCAAAGGAAACTCGCATTCATGCCATCGCACAACATTTACCCAACGTAAGCCAAGAAGGCCACACAAGTAATGTGATTATGTGGCTTGTGCTAGACGGATGTAAGTACCATTTCGTAAAGCACTGTAAAATCAAAAGCCCAGTGTACAGACTCTTGGAACCGCTTTCAGATAAGACTGGCCCGTGAACTGGACACCTCCAGCCGCCAGCAAGATGGTTCCAGTCCCTATTTTGGGAACCATGAACTTTGGCTCCGAGGGACAGGTGAAGCTTCCACAAGCACAGAGTTTCTTGAGCAGTTTCGTTGGCTCCGGCGTCACAAAAACTACAGAAGGAACTGCTATGGTGGACACGGCCAGGATGTACCAGAATGCCTGTCCCGAGGGTGACACCGAAACCATTTTGGGGCAGATTTTCGATAGCTTGCCATCCCTCAGCCAACGTTGTCACCTTGCGACTAAGGCTTCTCCACAGTGGTCCCTTACAAAGGCATCAGTCATTGAGCAGTGCAACACCTGCTTGGAGAAATTGGGAGTGGACTGCATTGATTTGTTTTATTTACATGCCCCAGACATCAAAACCGACCTTGACGACACGCTGGATGGCATCAATATCCTCCACAAGGATGGTAAGATCAAGGAATTTGGATTGTCAAATTATCCTGCCTGGGCTGTGGTAGACATTTGGCACCGCTGCAAGAACCGTGGCATGGTGCTGCCCACTGTATATCAAGGTTTGTACAATGTGATCACCCGTGACATGGAGCGAGAGATTGTTCCAGTGGCTCGCCACTTTGGTCTGCGGTTGTATATGTACAATCCATTGGCTGGAGGTTTGCTGTCAGGCCGCTACAGCAAAATGGAAGACGTGACTGGGGCGACCACTGGCCGTTTTTCTTCGGAGTTTGATCAAGCCTTTGGCAAAACCTTCAAGGCTGGCACTGACATCTACCGAAAGCGTTATGCCAAAGAGCCAATGTTCAAAGCCTTGGAGATCCTTCTGAAGGCATGCGGAGAAGCACCTTCCGTCGCCCCGGAAACCAAGCTGGTTTCCGACAACACCACCAACGTTGATGGGCACAAAATTCGGGTGGTGGTGTCGGAAACTTCCAAAGCACCAAGCCAACCAAGCACCAGCATTGCCGAGGTGGCTTTGCGGTGGCTGATTCATCACAGTTACCTGCGAAAAGGAGATGGCATCATCATTGGGGTGTCGAAAGAAAGCCATTTGGTGTCCAACTTGGCTGCATGGAAAGCTGGCCCTTTGCCAGAGCCCATTCTCGAAGCTTGTGAGGAGGCTTGGGAGCTCTGTCGGACCAGCTGTGAGCCATATTTCCGTGGCTATGGTGCAAAAGCGGGAGGGATCGAACACTTCCTGGCTTTGCAGGATGAAAACGATCAAGTGCCAGAGGAGAAGAAGAGGAAAGTAAGTGAAAATGGGAGTTAACAAGGTATGTTAGTCTACAATGGTGCTATGGCATCTATGGATGCCTTTACAAAGCTCAGAGTCAATCTGACAGCTGAGATGGCAAACTGCGCAAAAGATTCATTTGCTGTGGCGGACCCTGAGCGTTGAAGAAAAATTGAACAAATTGAGACAACATGATTTTATATTGATTTTATGACATTTGTTTACATATAGACTTAGAATTATAAGGATAGGCTCAGCGGAGATGACGCTTTATTCAGGAGGTCTTGAAGTAAAATGAATCATCGTGTAGCCTGCTTGATAAACTGAGCACAAGGAAGCTTCGCCGTGCCATCGTTCTTTCGGGATTGTGTGAAAACCTTGCAAATTCTTGGCTCTTATGGTACTTACTATCGTAGCGACGTTTCCAGCCAATGGGGACACGATGTATGGCGGAGCAGGCAGGATAAGGAGGAGGATCACAAGAGCAGTTATCGTCACCATGATGATGATGATGATGATTGATGATTGATGATTGATGATTGATGATGATGATGATGATGATGGTGATGATGATGATGATGGTGGTGGTGGTGACGGTGACGGTGACGGTGACGGTGACGGTGACGGTGACCGTGACGGTGACCGTGACCGTGATGGTGATGGTGATGGTGATGGTGATGACGACGGTGACGGTGACATTGACCGTGACCGTGATGAGGATTCATGATTCATGATCCATGATTCATGACAATCATACTGATTTATGTTTGCTATTGTCATTAAGGAAGTTTTGTCACTTCACCCTCTACCTCAGACATTGCAATTGATGCCTCAGGTCGCATGTTGATTCTGCCAGTTTGCAGGGAGCTTAGAGCCAGCTGAGAGCGGTTGAGTGTATGTTGAGTGTATACAACGTTTTGTACAGATTCAGCTGCATCAGGTCCACGTCACATGTCACAAGTAGACACAAGAGAACAAAGAGAACAGCAAAGACAGAATTGAAGAGATGCAGGCGATGCAGGTCAGCATTTTGAGATGCCAAGGAAAGTTCTTCAGTAATCCTTTGCAATTCTCGTGCTTTTCTGCACCTTTTGGCTCTTTTGCAGTTCGATATCATCCAGTTGTTCCATCCAAGTGTTGTACTCATTGTACTCCCTCAGTGCCCATGTCGCGCCCATGCCTTGTGTCGATGCTGTCACTTTTCATTGTGGATGGGCTGATGATGCCTGAGGAAGCTGCCCAGCAGACACGGGTTTTTATGTCTACCGCTACCAGCACAGTCTGGGCCAATGATGCTCCAGACGTTCAAGGCTCCCTGGCACTCTTAGCCAATACGCTGGTAAAATACCAGCCGGTCGTCATCTATGTCAGCCCCAATGATGTGGCGTACATGCAGAGCCTGCTAAATAGTACTGTGACGATTGTGGAGTTTCAGGCGCGCAACTTTCAATCTGTCACACCATGTCATATCCCAACTGCTTTCAAGAGCACAGTCTTGGCTCTTGATCCTTTGGTTTTGGTTGCCAGTTGTACAGCATGCTTGTGAAGTGGGGTGCACTGAACACGGCAAAATCAGCATGACAAGCAACAAAGGCTCATGCAGTATTTTCAAAGCCTCGTATACTTGCCTATCTTGCTTGCGCTAGTTGAACATGTTTGAACTGAACCTTCGAAACCTTCCCGTATAATCTGCATATCAAGACAGGATTTCAATGAACAAGAATCATATTCAAACGACCAGAAGAGCTTATATAATCTTATATATATATATCATATATCACAATAAGATTTTCCTCACGCACAGATAATATGACTGTAGAATAGTACAGGATAGTACAGGTATGCGGTATGCGTACAGGGCTATACCCACACTGGACTGGTTTTTGAAATTGGAGCTTATTCCAAATTGGCTCTGTCGAGTCGTGAGTAGTTCGTTCTGCACGGTTTTGACCGACGCCTTTCCTTCCCATTCATTTTGTGAACCAAACTCAGGTGGACGACTTGTGGATGCGGGACACCAGCTGCATTTTTTCTTACAGTGGTTGCGACAACTACAGCCACTGCGTTGAGATCTATGGGCAGCCCGTGAACCATGCATGGCCTTCAGCTCCTTTGTCTTGCGTGGACTTCAATTTCAATGGCTGGGGAAGGAAGCAGGGCCACACCAATGATGCCAAGGTGGCAGCCGACGTGGCAGCTTGGAGCGGCGCCACCTATGTGAAGTCCACACTGGTGATGGAAGGTGGTTCAGTGGAGGTGGATGGAGAAGGTACCGCCATCATCACTCGCAGCTCGGTGATCAACCCCAACCGCAACCCTGGATGGACTGAGGCCCATGTGGAAGACGAACTTTACACCACCTTGGGCATTGAGAAAGTGATTTGGACTGATGGGATCATTGGGAAGGACATCACTGACGCCCACATTGATTTCTACGCCCGTTTCACCTCCCCAGGCGTGGTGGTGGTGGCACGGGAGAACGATTCCACCATCTACGATTACAACGTGACACGTCAGGTGATCGCGGACCTGGAGGGTGCCACAGATGCGCGTGGCCGCACCCTGACGGTGCACATTTTGGACAACCCCTCAACCCTTCGGCCAACGTGGAGCTCGGGCAGCGCCGCGGCGGGGTTTGCAGCCAGCTACATCAACTACTATGTGGGAAACGGCGTGGTGGTATCACAGAATTTTGGAGATACCGAAACTGATGCAGCCGCAGTGGCGAAGTTGCAGGAACTCTACCCTGGTCGCACCGTGGAGAGTTTGAATGTGGATCCCATTGCATATGGAGGTGGTGGCATTCATTGTTCCACACAGCAGCAGCCAGTGGGCACCACCTCACCAACCACCACAACGACACCTCTCGGTGGTGGATTCAATGGCAGCAGAGGTGCCGTACTTGGAAGCTGCTTCGCTGCCATCTTTTTGCTGTTTCATTTGTTTTGGGGTTGAGCGCCTTGCTTTTGAACCAGGGTAGAACCCCCTCTGGAAGGTTTGGAATTTTTGAAGTAGCTCCTTGATAGATTGAGATGGTGCGCCAACATGCACTGCTGGTTGCATTCCAGGATAATGCAGAGGTCCAGGAACAGCGAAGCACGCTGTTTCTGGAAAATCATTGAAATTGATCTGCAGAGACCCGCAATGTCCCAAAGGTCCCAGAAGCTAGGGGAAGGAGCCGCAAAAAGATGGAGAAAGATCCGTTTTCAAACATCCTGTGGGGTTGGGAAACTGTCCATAATGGCCACCGGGCCAGACTTGAATTCCGGCAAAACGATTCCAGCAGAACCATGTAAATGGCAAAAGCAGACTTGGTGACTTGTTCTTTCTGATTTTGCTCACCATTGCTTTTGTTTCTCGAGGACTCGTGCAAAGGGCTTGACAAGTGGATGAATTTGGTCATTTGAAGCTTAGTGATCTACATGAAAATGTTCGGACATAGACACTGCCTTGAATCAATGTATGAAATACTTATCGAGAGCATCATCCATGGCGACTGCAAGGCTGCAAGGCTGCATGAGTTGATGTGGAGTTGGTCTGGGTCCAAGCAGCTGAAGCATGCCGTTGGTTGCAGTCTTTGAAGAGGTTCCTTCGCTGAGCATTTGCACATTTGCACATTTGCACATTTGCACATTTGCACATTTGCACATTTGCATGCACTTTGTCCTCAGTCCATTTTTGTTGTGAGCCAGCGTGTTGGTTTGCATGCATTTGTCTTGCAAGTATGATATCCATGAAGTCATGAAGTCATGTTGCCCGCTTATGCCCACCACGGAACACGGTGCATGGACGTGCATGGAGCTCCCAAACACATGGCTTGGTTGTGCGAGCACGTTTTTCGAACCGTTGATTTGGGCTCAAGGATTCAGGTAAGGCCAAGAGCAGGAGAAAGTAGCTGCAACCGCTTCCATCATGCAGAACGACGAGGTGCCATGGTTGGGCATGGCCGGTGGGCAAAGAATAGGGGGTTTCCAACATGGAAAAGTGAACAGGAGATCCAGCGATTGGATCAGACTTAGGTGGTGCATCCATGTGCGTTTTTTTAAAATGTTTGTCAATGGTTCGATTCAATGCTTCGACGATCTTACTTTTTCATGACAGACGATGCTCTCATCAGATTTTTACATGACTCCCCACCTGGGCAGGGCCGTATTGTTGATCTCTACTTGCCCCGCAGCTTGGCATTTAGGCATTCAGCGAACATGTGTTCCTGTTCCCTGCAAAAGCTGAATTATGTTTAATTCCTGGCCCTGGCTTGCCCTTGCTATGATCAAGAAAAGAGGACTACTCCCTGCGCCCAGTTCCATCCACATCATCATCCACATCATCATCATCATCATCATCATCATCATTCATCAACTTGGTTCTCTCCAACCACATCCATCAATTATCATCAATCCATGAATTCTATTCAATCCTTCATGTTTTCATATCTTTTCTGTGAGACTTTGTGGGTTACTGTACCTGGGGACCCTGGGGGCACGGGCAGCGGCTACGCGCGCCCGCTGAGGCAAGTGCTCCGCCACCAATCGATTGATCCCTGCGAAGGAGCACGGTGCTGTGCAGCTGAACGTGGCACAGGTTCAGACGAGGGCTGTCAGATGGGGTCGGGACGCTGATGGAAAGATGTGAGCCATGTTGAAAGAGTCTTGAGTAATCAAATTTGTGCTGAAAAAAGACAACAAGTGAGTCATACAAGATCATACAAGCATGTGGGAAAACAAAAACAAACAATCAGTAGAGACGATAAAGTAAGACGGCTTCTGGATTTCACATAGGAACAAGATGAACTGAGCTTCTGCACGATGATTGACTGCCTATCCCTTGCCCGTCCGTTTCAGGTCGATGAGCAGGGCACCTACTCCGGTGAGTTCTACACCTTCGCCTTGGCGGGATTCATCCGCCAGCGTGGCGAGAGCGATGCTTGCCGCCTGGTGTGATACAGCAATGATATGCAATGATGCCCCAACATCCACCACAATATACCACAATGATCCACGATGATGTTTGATGAAAGAACAAGCCCTGGAGTTGAAACATGTTGAAACCAATTTGGTCAGAGCGTGGGGCTTTGAATGATTGGTGTGCCTTGGAAATCCTTGGAAATGTCTGAAGCGCTGCAGGCTTGAATCGTCTCCTGTACGCAACTTGCCTAAAGGAGGGATGTAGCTGTCCACTGCCCAGTCAGAAAGCTGGTAGCCAGGCGAAGTGATGCCATGTTTGAGCCTACGGGTGGAAAACCGAACCAGCGTTTTGCATGTTTCTATGTCTTTCATGGGGTAAAGGGGGTGGGGTGGGGTGGGCTGATAACGTTCACTTGCACTTCCTCACATACATGATGCTACGCTACTGTACGTCTTCTTGCACCTCCTCACATACATGATGCTACGCTACTGTATTTTTTTTTGCATTTCCTCACATACATGATGCTACGCTACTGTATTTTTTTTTGCATTTCCTCACATACATGATGCTACGCTACTGTACGTCTTCTTGCACTTCCTCACATACATGATGCTACGCTACTGTATTTTTTTGCACTTCCTCACATACATGATGCTACGCTACTGTACGTCTTCTTGCACTTCCTCACATACATGATGCTACGCTACTGTACGTCTTCTTGCACTTCCTCACATACATGATGCTACGCTACTGTATTTTTTCTTTGCATTTCCTCACATACATGATGCTACGCTACTGTACGTCTTCTTGCACTTCCTCACATACATGATGCTACGCTACTGTACGTCTTCTTGCACTTCCTCACTTACATGATGCTACGCTACTGTACGTCTTCTTGCACTTCCTCACATACATGATGCTACGCTACTGTACGTCTTCTTGCACTTCCTCACTTCGAAAAAGAAGGCGCAGTGGTGCACTAAGTGTGCACACGGGCACCATCGATAACGCATGGCGTTTGCTGAAGCAAGCTGTTCCCAAGTCTTTAGCTTCGAAGAAAGGACACACTTATAACCCGGCTTTGATCAAGCATTGCAGGTCCTGGCAATGGAGATGGAAAAACACTGGAACCAGCTTGTTTCAAAAGACTGCCAAAGTCTTGAATGAGACTGTCCAGTCTAGATGACTGTCCTTGGCGATAGAAAAAAACGCGCGCAGAAATGTGCTAAAACCTGCATATTTCAAGAAAACTGCAAAAAAAAGACGCTGATTTTGGAAGCTCATGAATGCAGAAAACATTGCAAAACGCACGAAAAAAGCCAAAACACAGTGGCACGGCGAATATCATGAACTGAATTGTTTGCCAAAACCATGCGTTTCGCATCCAATGTCTAGAATATGAACGCCAAAAACAGACAAAACGTGGGTTCAGTTTCCCACCCGCCGGGATGTTTGAGAAAGGCTACAGTGGCTTGAAGAGTGACTTGTTCATGGAATGCGTAGAGGTATTGCAGACAGAAAACTTCTCTATACTGTCTATAACTTTCTAAATTATTCTTGTTACTTGTCTTATTTGTTCTAATTCTTCGCGCCAAACATCAGCTAAGGAGAAGGGTTTGTTGACGTCTCTTGCCTGCTTTGAGCAAAGCTTGTGAGCCATTTTTTGTGGATGCGAGTGAGAATAGCAACCATGCAAATGGCTTGAACAGATCAGAGAAGAAGCAAAACTCAATTAACAAACCGCAGCAGGATAGCGAAAACAATGAGCTTATTATTGCTTGCTAGTGATTAATTTTCTGCAGATTCCGCGCTTTGCTAGCGCTTTTTTGTTGGATAAAACATGCTCTTCTGGATCCGAACGCTAAGGTTCTCCAAGTGAGCAGCAGTTGAGCATTCCACCTTGCCTGTCAGCAAAAATGATGGAAGCTGTTACGATTCAGAGTCTGGGTATGCCAAGGGCATTGAGGGCGCAGGAATTTTGTGTCAACCACCAAGGAACTCTTAGAGAAATCGCTGCAAGAAAATGTTGACGTGTAATTAATTGTAATTATATATGTATACACTGTTGTTTCGTTTGCGGTGTCGCGGATGAGGGGGAGCACTGTATTTCAATGATTTGGATAGTGAGAACTAGCATGAACTAGCCATTGGCCAAATCGCACATGACAAACTAAATCAAACAATCTTTAAATTCTGTTGATTTCAGATGGGTTCCAACCAAGTTGCAAGGGTTTGACCCCACCAAACCTGGAGCCGAAGTGTCACTTTGGCAAAGGCTGAAATAGGAGACAAGTGGAAGAGGCTGCAAGAGCAACAACTCCAATTTCCAGATTCATATAGAGACTCAGGGGACATCAGGAGACCATTGAGTTTCGCCTGCCTGACAACCCCAATCATACAATTAATAACTTACATGCAAATGAATCAGACACACCCACACTGCAAATCAAACTTATCAGGATCAGAATCTGGACTTCCTAGTTTATTGGTGTACTGTATCTCCTGCAAAATGCAAACAACCTTATCAATAAAAAAAGGCATAGAAAGGCTCTCCTCAGCAAGCATGAAGTTTTAGATGCTTGTGACAAGCAATGGGCTGCATTTTTGGGAAGCCACCGCCAAGTCGCCTGGCAAGATTCAGCCTGGCCCATTCTGCTGCCTTTGGTTTTCAAACAGTAGGCACAGCAGTCGCTGTTTGAGGAGTAAACTCAGAGGCTTTGGAGGTTTTGGGACGCTTCTACGGCTTGTTGCAATTTTCTTTCCATAGCCGATTGTTTGATCTTTTTGGATCTGCCAAGACATCAGGTGATCCCGAAGCCACACTGCAGTCACTCGGAAAGCGATTATATAGCCAAGAGATGCCAAAAGATTCCTGAAATTTAGTTCATGGCCCGGGATCGATCAGAGGATCCGGGAAACTTGTGCGACAAGAGAGATTGCCTTCTATGGAACTGTGGAAGAATCCCGGCAGTCTGTCCAACAAGGAAAAGAGCTTGTCATATAGTTCTGCAGCAAAAATATCAAACGATATCGTTTTCTAGGCCTGCTGAGGGAATGTTGTTGTCTAAAATTCTAAAAGTTCAAAATCTCACCCTGAGGCTCTTGCCAAGCGAGAAGAATGCACGAAAGGTGGCGGTTCGAGGCGTTTTAAGAAAGGAGGACGAGCTCCAGGAGCGACCAAATTGGCGGTGATTGGTGACATTTGGTGACCATGGTGAGGCGTGAAACAAGTAGGGGTTGGATTCAATTTTAGATTCATCGAAGTGAAGGGAAGATCATCCCCATCATCCGCATATCGTTACACTTCTTGTGATGGATGATGATGGATGATGGGCCGACGTTCTTGCCCATCCCAATTTGAAGGACGGCTTTGAGCCCAAGAGAACAATCACAGAGGGCAATGCAGCCACACTGAAAAGAGCAGCTTTGGGTTCCATGGCAGCCAGATCAAATTGCCACAGAAGGGGGTGGTTCTGAAAGTGTAGAGTGTAGATATCCTCCCCGCTGCTTGTCTTTATAGTTTGCAGTCTATACTCTTAGGTTAGGTGGTGCAGTAACAATGATAAATATAATATATCATATATATATTACATAGACTAGATAGATAGATAGATAGATAGATAGATATATATACATATATAATTTATAATTCACTTTCCATCCCCAAAATTCAATCAGAAGGTAACCAAACGACCAATATCAATAATAGGTTTCCATTGGCAACCAGAACCCTGCTGGCCGTAGATCTTGGATTGGGGGCCACGGTGCGTCAGTTGCTTTGGTTGCCTGGCCAAACAAAGTTTCCACTGAGGCTGCGTTTGCAGAAAGGGCTTGAAACCAGAAAGCCCGAGTCAAGATGACTTTTGCGTTTTTCACACAGGTCTTGCCACTTTAGCACCTTGGTCATTCATGGTCGCATTCATCTTGACTTCACTTCTTTAGCCGGGAGAGAATGTTCAGATATATTTGTCATATTTTGTCATATTTTGTCATATTTGCTGAAGTCCTGGGAGTCAACCCCTGCGACTTCATCTGCCACGAGGTGGGCGTCTTTGATGGCCATGGCCCCTTTGGGCATGACGTGGCCAACTTTGTGCAGGAAAATCTTCCTCGGGAGTTTCTGAAATCTGAAAGTTTTCAGCAAAATGATATTGAAAGGGCTTTGAAGGAGGCCTTCTCCGCCACGCAGCAGAAATGCCAAGCCCCCAGTTTCAACCGAAGCTGTGAGAAAGTAAGAGGTGTCAAGTCTGCCAATCCGTGCAAAGCAGCTGCCATTGGAGCTGAGAGTCTAGGAAGAAATGTTTTTTATTGATGGATATGAATTGCATTGCATTGTTGTCTTGATTCTGGAAAAGCCAAGTCTGTGAGTCAGTCAGGTCTGGAAAAAGCCGAACTGGAGGAGGGCAGCTTGGATTGTTCTTTGAGCGGCACCACTGCCACAATGGCATTTGTGAAGAAGAGTGTGCTGTATCTTGGTGAAGTTCTTTTTTGGCAGTGATCATTGAAGATTGATTTCATTCATTTGTCTTCCAACGGTCGCATCAAAGTGATTCTGTTTGCGCTGTTCAGGGCACTGTGCTTTGATGTGATACATAAGTGGTGGGGTGAAGTTGTAACACACACGCGCACACACGCCAAATCAAGTTGCGTCGTTGCAAGGTACATTGCAAACGTGGGTGATTCTACAGCTATTTTGGCGAAGAAGACTAGTGGTAAAGCCTATGGCTGGGAGCAGATCACTCGACTTCATCGTTTGTCGGATGAAGATGAGAGGCCCAAGGGGCAGATTCCATGCCAGGAGCCAAATATGGGCTGCTTGGTGCTTTTCATATGAGCCACCGCAAAAACCCCGGCAATACTAAACATGTAAGGGACGGACATTGGCTTGTGGAAATTTATGGAACTTGTTAAAAACACGAGGTAAACCTTTCCAAATGAGCGATGCGCCCTTTGAAGGTAATGTCATTTTGAACATTGGTTTCTTGCGTCGTTTGTGAACCAGACTTGGGCCCGCAAGGGTACGTGCTCCTCAGAAAGTGTTCTTCTTGATATGCATGGAGTGGTCTGCAGAGAAGGGAATCCGCAGAAGCGGAAGCCAAGTTCCTGTAAACACGTTTGTTTCACTAGCTGCCTGCACATCCTTGCCTTGCATGTTTTCATTGACTCTCCACTTCAACTTGCGCCATTTTGATTGCCTCTCCGCTGACTTTATCTCCCCACTGCTGTTGTTTAGTGAAGCTTCTCTGGGCCACTGACAAATTATTGTCGTTGCTGAAGAGTGTTCCCATTGACCCCCCCCATGTGAACTTGCACTGTTTTGCTTGCTGACTCTCTGCTGTTGTTTCATGAAGCTGCTTTCTGGCAAAGTGCTACCGTATCAACAGATACCAAATTTGGAAAATCATGAGGTGAATTTTAGCGATGCCCTAGCGATACCCACGCGATACCCCTTTTTCAGTTCCAGACACCCAGGTGCACATCCGTGACGCATTCAGGTTTTCTGGTGGCAAGCTGAATAGAGATAGCTAGATAGGTAGATAGATAGATAGATAGATAGAAGCTAGCTAGCTAGATAGGCAGACAGACAGAAAGGTAGATATAGATAGACTGGCAGTCTATCTGACATCTTTCTGGCAAAGGTTCGGGCCTGTAGGGGCCCGGAAAGGGGACATTGGTCGCTTGTGACCCTAATCACTGTTTCTACGTTTTGAAGTAAAAAAGATAGGGTCACAAGTGACCAGGTGTGCTCGAAGTCCCACACCTGCCACACGAAAATGGTGCGGCCCCTTTGTGGTCGCCTGTGACCCTATTCATGCCCGAAGCATGATTTTTGGAGGAAGTCTCGCAGAAAAGCTTCGTTTTTGAGTTTCGTAGCTTCATTTTTGAAGGAAGTCTCGCAGAAAAGCTTCGTTTTTGAGTTTCGCAGCTTCATTTTTGAAGGAAGTCTCGCAGAAAAGCTTCGTTGTAGAGCTTCGAAGCATCATTTTTGAAGGAAGTCTCGCAGAAAAGCGTCGTTTTAGAGCTTCGAAGCTTCATTTTTGAAGGAAGTCTCGCAGAAAAGCGTCGTTTTAGAGCTTCGAAGCTTCATTTTTGGAGGAAGTCTCGCAGAAAAGCTTCGTTTAAGGGCTTCGAAGCTTCATTTTTGAAGGAAGTCTCCCAGAAAAGCTTCGTTTAAGGGCTTCGAAGCTAGGTTTTTGAGTTTGGAAGCTTCAGTTTTGAAGGAAGTCTCGTAGAAAAGCTTCGTTTTAGAGCTTCGAAGCTTCATTTTTGAAGGAAGTCTCGCAGAAAAGTTTTTGTGTTTGAGTTTCGAAGCTTCATTTTTGTAGGAAGTCTGGCAGAAAAGCTTCGTTTAAGGGCTTCGAAGCTACATGTCATTCATTTATCTATCTATCTATCTATCTATGTATCTATCTATCTATCTACCTATCTAATTATCTATCTATCTATCTATCTATCTATCTATCTATCAATCTATCTCTATCTATCTATCTTGTTATCTTATCTTATCTTATCTTATCTGATCTTATCTTATCTTATCTATCTATCTATCTATCTATCTATCTATGTATCTATCTATCTATCTATCTATCTATCTCTCTCTATCTATCTATCTATCTATCTATCTATGTATCTATCTATCTATCTATCTATCTCTCTCTATCTATCTTGTTATCTTATCTTATCTTATCTCATCTTATCTTATCTTATCTTATCTCATGTTATCTTATCTTATCTTATCTTAACTTTTTTTATCTTATCTTATCTTATCTTATCTTATCTTATCTATCTATCTATCTATCTCTCTATCTCTCTATCTCTCTCTCTATCTCTCTATCTATCTATCTATCTCTCTCGCTCTCCCTTTCTATCTTGTTATCGCTGTATCTCTTTACCTCAACTTCTAAAAACGGTCCGAACATGGTGTGTTTTGTACATGTTGACTCTCTCTCTCTCTCTTTCTATCTCTTTATCTCTCTATCTCTCCATCTCAACTGCTAAAGTAATGATGTAAGTAGAATGATCCCTCCCCCCCAACCAAACCCTAAATGGCTGAGTCAAGTAATGATCTAAGTTAAATGATCCCTCCCCCCCAACCAAACCCTAAATGGCTGAGTCAAGTAATGATGTAAGTAGAATGATCCCTCACCCCAAACCAAACCCTAAATGGCTGAGTCAAGTAATGATCTAAGTAATGATGTAAGTAGAATGATCCCTCCCCCCCAACCAAACCCTAAATGGCTGAGTCAAGTAATGATATAACCCTCCCCCCCAACCAAACCCTAAATGGCTGAGTCAAGTAATGATCTAAGTTCAATGATCCCTCCCCCCCAACCAAACCCTAAATGGCTGAGTCAAGTAATGATGTAAGTAGAATGATCCCTCCCCCCCAACCAAACCCTAAGTGGCTGAGTCAAGTAATGATGTAAGTAGAATGATCCCTCCCCCCCAACCAAACCCTAAATGGCTGAGTCAAGTAATGATCTAAGTTGAATGATCCCTCCCCCCCAACCAAACCCTAAATGGCTGAGTCAAGTAATGATGTAAGTACGATGATCCCTCCCCCCTAACCAAACCCTAAATGGCTGAGTCAAGTAATGATGTAAGTAGAATGATCCCTCCCCCCCAACCAAACCCTAAATGGCTGAGTCAAGTAATGATCTAAGTTGAATGATCCCTCCCCCCCAACCAAACCCTAAATGGCTGAGTCAAGTAATGATATAAGTAGAATGATCCCTCCCCCCCAACCAAACCCTAAATGGCTGAGTCAAGTAATGATCTAAGTTGAATGATCCCTCCCCCCCAACCAAACCCTAAATGGCTGAGTCAAGTAATGATATAAGTAGAATGATCCTTCCCCCCCAACCAAACCCTAAATGGCTGAGTCAAGTAATGATCTAAGTTGAATGATCCCTCCCCCCCAACCAAACCCTAAATGGCTGAGTCAAGTAATGATCTAAGTTGAATGATCCCTCCCCCCAACCAAACCTTAAATGGCTGAGTCAAGTAATGATCTATGTCAAGTAATGATCTAAGTAATGATCAGTGTTGATGATTTTCTCTGTAATGTGGAGACAATCGCATGGTGGAACGCAGGGGGGGTGAGAGTTTTTAAAGGAATAGGGTCGCAAGTGACCGTTTTTTAGGGTCGCAAGTGACCGGGGATTTTAGGGTCACAAGTGACCGTTTTTTAGGGTCGCAAGTGACCATGGACCCCCGGAAAGCTGGTAGGCGCCAAAGCATTCGCCAAAGCATTCGGGCTTGTACGCCAGGAGAGCTGGAGAGCTCGCTATAGAGTAGCTGTGTAGAGGTGGCTGGCCAGCAAGCTGGCCGTAAATGCTGGCGGTTGGGAAAAAGAGATTTGCAAAGCACCTCTTCCAGTAGCACCTCCTCAGGTAGCTCAGAGTCCTGCAGCGAAGATGCCTGATCAAAAAGGAAGCACAGCCTCCGCTCTGGAGTCAAGTAGATCATTATATAATTTTTCCTGCAAGCGATACCCCCCAAGTTTGCCATATATCATTTTTGTGCAAACGTGTGGTAAGCGATTGGGACCTTTCCAAATTTGTGGATGTCCATTCCGTGAACCTAGGGTTTTCAAAATTGCTCATATACATATATATATATATACTGTATGTGATTCCCATGGTTCCCTCCAATTTGGGATGGGCATCCCCATTCTTTAATTTTTTTCAAGGGGGTTGACACGGGGTCGAAAAAGAGAATAAGCCTTCAGGCAGACATCAGCGTGGGTATTGTAGGTCTTCTAGGTTATCACGTGCGCCTTTGTCGGGATTTATTTATTTTGCCCCACCACTCTCAGCCATACGACCGTGCCTGACTTCCCAGCAGGCAACGAGTGGAAGATGCTGGAGGGCAAGTGTGACTCGGCTTTGCCAAATTTGGAGTTCCTCTCCTAGCCATGAACCAGCTGTCGCAGTTTGCATATGTTCAACATTCATTTGGATTAATTGGTTGGTCCACGGAAGTATCTCACAATGACCTGACAGTTCGGGTTAGTGAACTCTATGTTGATTTCTTGGATCAAATGGATCAATGGATCAAATTCCAAACTTGGTGGCCACACTCAGGAAACGCCTCGATGGGGATCTTCCACAGCGGTTGTTTCTGAAGGACAAGCTGTACCCAGGCAATGCTGGCCGTTGCATTGTTTAGAAGCCTCACCGGCCAAGTAGCCAGATCAGAACATTATTGATGAGAAAACGCAAATGGAGTTTCACACAGTTAAGGCCCATTCCAACGTATAGTCCAATTCTGTTGATTTAATGACTGAACACTGAACAGAACACTTGTTTGCAGAGGCGAGACGACGTGTGTAGGAACGCTTTGACCACCCATGCGAGTCAAAAGGTTACCCACAAATCCACATGATTGTGTGGTAATTGCAGGAGCGAACATGGAGTGAACATGGGGTCATGATTGAGTGTCACTTTCTTGCATGCAACTGGTACCCTGACAGGTTTGATCAACAGCCGCTCTTTGGGTGACACCATTGGTGCGAGCTGTGGTGTTATTTGTGAAGCCGATGTGAAGCGGATTGAATTCAGGCGAGGCCCGATGGTTTTCAACGCTTTTGACCCCTGTATCAGCTTGGACTACTGGGGATTGGTGAACTTAGGAGTCAACCATCCCAAGTTCAATGGCTATCCCAGACTCCTGAAATGGATTGAAATGGACATTTGCTGGTACCGATGTGTAGCACTTTCCCCTGACCAACGACAGTTGCGATACCCGGACCCCGATGGAGTTGGTCCGTCCTGGACCTGCCAGGGGAAAGGATCAATTCATGTTGCTGTGCTCTGACGGAGCAATTTGGCAGCAGTTGCTGGGGCTTTCAGCTACACTACATTCTGGCACCATTTCCCAATTATTGCCCAATGGAAAGTATTGGGGAACTCAGGGACACAAAAGTGATACTATCAGGACCAGGATTTCTCCGCTAAAGGCTGCAAGCATCAGTGGTGGATTTACTGTTTGACTTCATCTCTAGCAGAGGGTTTGGCAACAAGATAGGAGAAATCTGGGTGAAATTGATGGGGTAACCAGGCATGGTCCCATCAGGATCCTATCAGAATCCCATGAAGCTGTCCATGGATTCACTGGAGTTAGGTCCAAAAGAGAACGCAGTGGCAGAAATTGCTTGGTTTGTGCTGGGTGTGGTTTCATTTGACGAGCCTAGGTATGGGAATTCTTCGAAATGCAGGAGGCAGTCGACTTGGTGGCTCCTTTTGGAAAGGCTAAGGCGCAAGAAGCTGCCGAGGCTCGACGTTTTGCAGGGCTGATGATACCTTGGAGCAGAAGTCAAGTTGATGAAGGTGATCCAAAAGGTATATTTAAAAAGCATTAATAAAACATTACAGGCAAATTCTACTCAAAGGAAGTTTAGAAGTCAAACCTCCGACAATATGGACAGTGACAGATGGAAAAGCAGAGGTGGGAAGAGTCAGAGAAGAGAAGACAAGAGAAGAGAAGAGAAGAGAAGAAGAAAGAAGATCAGAGAAGAGAAAGAGTCAGAGGAAAGAAGATGCAGGCGCGCGAAAAGGTAGAAAAGTCAAGATTCACTGTGTTTTTTCTAATGATTTGTGGCTCCGGAGGGTCGAAAAGTAGGCTTGCTAAAGCGGCGGGTGCGGAGCCATTTGGCCAGATGAGAGATGAAAAATTGGAAGTCATAAGTTAAAAACTGACGGTCTCGGACGACTTTTCGAAGTGGAGATGTTGAAAAAGTGCACGCCGTTGTGGCGCGAAGCACATTTGCAAGTGAAAAAGTTAAACACCTCACGTTCGGACCAGCTTTGGAAGTTGAGGCGTCGAAAAAGTGCGCGCTGTTGTGGCGCGAAGCACATTTCGAAGTCAAAATGTACAAAGCACACATAAGCACACCATTCTCGGATCACTTTTGGAAATTGAGTTGTCGAAAAAGTGCACGCCGTTGTGGCTCGAAGCACATTTCGAAGTCAAAATGTTAAAAACACCCGGGGTACGGACAACTTTTGAAGGTTCAGATGTAGTTTTTGCGTGGCAGGCGCAAGGGATTCCGCACCTTGCCAAAAGGGATTCCGCAGTTTGCATTTCCAAAAACAATGGCATGCGTGGGACATTTCCAGAAGATCTGCAAAGATGCATGTCGCGGGGCAGGCGCAGTACAAGAGACATGTTCATCAGAGATGTTCTTTAGGTTTGCTAAGATGATTTTGCGTGACAGGTGCAGCACTTCGTATGACCTGGCATCACTTTTACGTAGCATGCGCAATACTTCCGAGACATGGACATGGACAGGAAAAAATCAAAACGCATTGGTAGGAGTCCGTCAGCTCTGCGCTCAACTTTCCATTGTTTTAGAAGAAACTCGCAGCCATACCCTGGAGATGATTCAAATATTTATTTTGTCATTTTTTTGCGTTGTTTCGTCATTTCATTTTTGTTTGTCATTTGTTTGGTCATTTGTTTTGTCATTTTTTTGTCGTTTCAGTTTTGTCTGTCATGTTTTTGTCGTTTTTTTGTCATTTCAGTTTTGGCCTGTTTTTTTTTGTGGTCATTCGGTGGAACATTTGTCATATTGTTTGCAATTGTTGGTCATGTTCGTGCGATTTTCTCAAAAATATGGAAGACTATCGAAAAATTACCTAAAAAATGACAAAACAATGACAATGCTTCGAGAAAAAATGCAATTTTTGCAACCTGAAAAATTGTCATTTTGTTTGTCATTTTTTGTCATTTGGTCGATTTTTTTTTCATTTTTTCATTTTGGTGCCATTTTCTCAAAAATATGGACAAATATCGGCAGTTGTTTGAAAAATTGCAGAAAAATGACAAATAATGACAAACAAAACGATAGACCAAAACTCAAATGACAAAAAAATGACAAACAAAATGACATACAAAATTGAAATTAAAAAATGACAGACAAAACTGACATGACAAAAAATGACAAACAAAATGACAAACAAACTGGAATGACAAAAAAGGACAACAAAAATGACCAAAAAAGTGACAAATTAAATATTTTGTTTTTTTCAACCTTTGCCTGCCTAAGTTTCTTCTAACCATTGTTGAAGGAAGTCTCCCAGAATTGCTTCGTTTTTGATGCTGTCAATTTCGAAATCTCGGGGATTTACTGCGTGTTTGATTTTTTTTTCAAGTTCAAAAGCTGAGGAGGTCTCGCAGAATAGCTTCGTTTTCAAGCTTGCAGATAGACAGCTAGATAAATAAATAGATAGATATATAGACAACTACAACTACAACTACAACTACACCACATTGCACTACACTACTGTAATTACTACGCTACAACTACAACGATGGCTACAACTACACTATTTTACACTACCCTACACTAGACTACACTACAGTATGCCACACTACAGTACGCAATGCTACAGCACACTACACTACCACTACAACTACTACTGCAAATACAGCTACAACTTCAACTACAACTACATTACATTACACTACGCTACACTAATTACATTACAGTACACTACAGCTACGGCTACAACTACAGATACATTACACAACACTACGCTACAACTACAACTACAACTACAACTACAACTACAACTACAACTACATTACATTACACTACACTACACTAATTTCATTACATTAAACTACAGCTACGGCTACAACTACAGCTACATTACACAACACTACGCTACAACTACAACTACGACTACAACTACAACTACTGCTACTACTACAACTACAGCTACATTACATCACACTACACTACACTAATTACATTACAGTACACTGCAGCTACGGCTACAACTACAGCTACATTACACAACACTACGCTACAACTACAACTACAACTACAAGTACACCACACTACACTACACTAATTACATTACATTACAACTGCAACTACACTACTTTACACTACACATCATTAGGCTACACTACACTATACTACACCACAGTACACAACACTACACTGCACTACACTACACTACATTACACTGCACTAATTACATCACACCACAACTACAACCGCAACTGCAACTACAACTACACACGCTAATTACACTACACTACAACTACAACTCCACTACACTACAACTACAACTACAACTACAACAGCGCTACACCACACTACATCCAGCAGTTGTGTGTGAGGTGACCACTGGAACCATTGCAACCACTCCAAAAACACAGCTCCAACCACCTTTCGGTCCATCAGTGGATTCGCTCTGCCATTCGTGACTCACAACAGCCAAGCTCTCCTATAGGTTTCCTATCTTTGAAACTTCCGCCACCGCCTTGCGCGGTACTACTGGAATAGGGCCACTTCAGAATATTTCAGGTATAATATCAAAGTCATGCAGGTTTAATGCTGTATCCTTGTTTCGTTGCAGGCTCCTCAGTCTATATAATGTGAAAATTGAAGTGTCACATCGATGTTCTTCACTTTAAAGCAGCTTGCTGTGTTTGGGAGGCCCTGGCAAAAGAAGCATGGAAACGCTGGATCCAGGAGGAAGGGAGTCTAGTCACAGATTCCTTTTATTTTTGCAGAATCTGACACCACCCGTGTAGTTGTCCCTTGCAATCAAGTGCTTGTTCACGTGATTGCATGTGAAAACTATCAGAGTCTGCAATTTGCGCGTATATAGTATACCAAGTTCACATTCAAGGCATGGCTGAATGTGACAGGAAAGGGGGACAAAAGAAAAGGACTGCATTATGACTAGTGGGGAAACCAGAGCTCTTGCACCCCGCTTCGGGCAGTGTTGTTTGGCTCTCCAAGGAATGTGGTCGACGACATCACAGTCATAGTTTGCTGGCTTTAATTCATCCTATATGACGTGTTTAAAAGTCAGATTTCAACTGCATGCGATCTCCCTAAGCTTGGAGAAATTCTTTTGAACAGGTTTTTGCAAAAGCTGGGCAGGTTTCAATCTGCAGTTTTTGAGTCAAGTTTCGAAATGCCAGCGCATATGAACCATATATAATGAGTTTGGGTTTGCTTCACGTGAATTGTTCAAACAAGGCCATCCCTTGTGGTTTTGTCATGTTTTGTCATATTTTCTATTCCCAAAAGATCATCTATTTACTTCAAAGGTCTTCAAAGCAATAGCGTGTTTGTTGGCGGTTGAAAAAGGAACTAGCAAAGCATCCACCTGTCCTGCTACTGTATCCCTACAGTCTTCTGGCTTGCTGTGTGAAAAGCGCACAGGGAGCATCCATCAGTAAATGCACAAATTTGCGCAGTTCGGGTCTTCAATCAGCTTCAGTGGATACCATGCATGGCACACCTAAGTGTTTTTACTGCATGAAATAGGTATACAGGAAAGTGCGCAGAGCAAGTTGATTGGAGATTTCAGCCAGGATCGCGTTTCAACTTATCCAGAGGTTGAAGCATTGAACAGCGCAAAAAGGTGTGGTATTTGACCGTGAGGCATCAGTGTTGCAAGATAATTTCGATTCATTCTTCATTGGCTTGAAATTAGGATCAGCCAAGTATGGGGGGGTGTTTTTTCCTTGCGATGGATGTAGACATGCAGGGGTGTGCTTCTTGGGTTTTTTCTGATGAGAGTGATGCCATGGTCTCTGGTTGGACGAGCGCCAGTAGTCCAAGGAATTGCCTTTCTCATTCGATCCGTGGTGTTTGGTCTCCACACAATGGCATCAGATTTGCGTCTCATTGGCTTCAGGTCACGGGACGCCAGCATCAACAGCTTCTGACGGACAAGGTGCGATGGGCACAGCGGGAGCCATTCTTCGTAATTCCAAGTTGGGGTCTGAAGGCACCAAAACTATCACAAAAAAACACGTATAAGATTCTAAGATACAAAACCCAAATTGAGCTTAGAAAGCTGGTGCTTTTTCAGTCGGCATTGTTGTCATCACTCGAATGGGCCTCTCTCAATACTACTTCCATTGATGATCATTCTCGCTTTTGATGTTTTTTTATTCTAGCCATTAGATTTGTGATGATCAAATGACATACTGCTGTTCCTTCTTGAACCTTTTGTTCGGCCACTTCGATGATGCTTGACTGGGGTTGATCATGATTTCTGCATTGGGCACTATTGCTCAAACAATGCCTTACAGCCAGCTGGATGCACGATGGGGTTCGTCGAATTTGAGGAAGAATTGAAACACTTCCTCATCCAACATGGATACGGGGAGAAAAAGGCGTACTGGTTTGCATCCATCGGGTCCGACTTCAAGTCGGAGTTCCGCCCAAAAAAGGGACTACGACAGTGGATAGCAAAATCAGACCATTTTGAAGTATACTTCGACGATGGCAAGGAAGCTGTCCGACTGCGAGACGCAAACGCTTCTCGGACGCACTTGATGGTGTTCTGCTACTCCAAACTTAGGACTTGTTGCCTAGCAGCTGTTCAGCTTTCCAGCCCTGTGTTAGACCTTAACATGCTTAGGATGTAGCGAAAGCTGCGCAAAGACAAGGCATGGCTACATCAGCTACCCAAAGCAGCGATGTGCAGGAAGCAGGACCATGCATAGCTGCAGCTACTCCAGCCATGCCAAGCAGGGAAGTGCCAGAGAATCAGAGAGAACCTTTCCTGCAATTTATATCCTCAATCTTTGTGCGCAACAACGCTTTAATATTAGGTTGGTGTGCACAACATAAATCATCGCGAAACTGCCAGGGTGGAGATTGCGCGAACGATCCCAAAAGGATTCCCATACCAAGAGACTTCCATTCCTGATGTCATGTTCTGTTCCAAGTTTCAGGACAATTGCAGCTTCATTCATCACACCTGCAAAAAGCGCATCGTGAATGGGACGTTGTTTTCTCCACAGCAATTACATACCCAGGTCATCTCCCAGGTCTAAGTTTAGCTTTCCAGATTTTATGTTTTGTGCGGTCTGTGCCTTTCTTTGCAACTATGTCCTGTTTTAGATTCCCTGGCCGACATGTTCGGCCGCCCGTCTCGAGGATCGGAGCCGAAGCCCACGCCGAATTCCTAGAATTCCTGAGCGGCACAGCAGCATAATATGGACCATCCCAGATGTCTTATGATTCTTATGTGCAATATTTGGATATACTTGGTAGATCTTGGTAGCTTGTGGAATCTTCCAGACAGGGCAAGGTGATAGGCCTTTGCACCATCATTCTATACGCTTCTGTGTGCGGCCGATGCTTTTCAGTAAACTCTACCTGCAAATGTTGTGCCCCTCATACCCAGATTGCCCAGCATCACAGAGTTCATATTTTTTTGCTGTGCAACGCTGGGCAAATGCCCAAGAACTTAAAGCTATTTCATATATTTTCATATTTGCATTTCCACAAGCCCACCATTGCAGGTGCGAAGATGCCCCCAAGAACGTGGAGTGCCGCTTGAATCCTCACAAGCGAGCACTACTTGTCCGGCTGTGCCGTGAAGCGTCCATGGGCTCTACTGATGTCGTACCACTTTTCTTTTCATGATGAAACCTTTTTGTTAGTGTATTTTTTTCTGTTTTTGGCGCTCTGAATCGGTAGTAGGCTTGACATTTCTCGACTCTTGACATTTTTTTTGAGACCAATAGCATGCAGACCAGTTTTCATGTTTTTTTTTGCCTGTCTCAGGAATGTGTCCCCATGCCTACCTCCACTTGGTGCTATGGATGATTATGACCTACACTGGACAGATGTTCCTGGTAACGACCTTGATATTTACGAGCCGGGTGATGAGGAGGAAAGGCACGCTTTCCACCAGTCACAGCGTCGCGGAAACAGCAAGAAAAGAAAGCAAGAAGCAGAGTCTCTGCCTCCATCCGACCGACTTCGCTGGGAGCCTCCATCTCACACAGTAGTGAGTGAGTGGCCGGATGGCAAAAGGTGGGGGTTTTGGAACAACCCGGAGCCTCTGAAGTGTGGCCGCCAAGAGTTGCCTTCAAAGCCTTTAGCTGAATTACCAGTGGATTTGGGTAGGGAGGCAATCCAGGAGATCCCCAAGACTGGTGCAGTCCTTTGGATCATAGAAGCAGAGACGGATGCTGGGGCGTCCGCGCGTGTTCCTCGATTCCTCCTTGAGGAAGCTTTGGAGACTGGTCGCGACTGCTGCATTGCGATTGGGGTTCCACAAATTGCCGCTGCAAGGGCCTTGGCTGATCGAGTGGCCGAGGAAGCAGGGGAGAAAGTGGGCAATTCAGTCGGCCTCTTCACTGATGAAGATAAGGTACAGCCAATGACCAGACGGTCGCTGTCCTTTGCGACCTTCGGGTCCTTGTTGCGTCGGGTACGACGCTCCATCAAGGGATGTTGCACGCTTGTGCTGGATGAAGTGCATGAAGCCAGTGTTGAGTTGGAGTTCTTGCTGCTTGCTGTCAAAGAGATCCTTGCCTACAACAAGAATCGATGGACTGACAGAACGCTCAAGGTGGTGCTCATGAGTGCAACGCCGAACATCGTCAAACTCCGAGAGTACTTCTCTGAAGTGGTGGCAGATGTGCGTCACTTGGAAGTGCCTCGGGGATGCCCAGTTTCTTGGAGTGATTAATTATATATAGATATGTTTGTAGCAGTTTTTGGCTGTTCTGTCGTCTGCTTGGCCAGTTTGGCAGACCAAACGAGAGATGTTTGAGAGTCTGCAATCTGCTTTTGGGCCCTGCCCTTACTTCACCGAGGTGAAGTTGCGCTTCTTCGACAAGTGGCCGCCGGAGATTCAATGTGGACCCAGCTTGTGGCCCCAAGTGCCATGGCAAGAATATTGTTCTGGCAAGAGCAAATGCACGCTCCCAGGAGATCCTAAGACCTCCGGAAGAAGGAAGACTGAAGAATCACTATCATTGCAATATATTGCAGCCATGTGTTGCCCTTGTGTGAATGAATCATAGTTGCAAGATGTTGCAAGGATAACTTCGGGCTAAGTGTTCAATCACATGACATCACATGACCGATATTGACCTTGACCCCCCAAATCCTATAGGAAAATCCTAGGAGGTGTTCTTGGAGTTTGACATATATATATATAATATATGTATATAATATATATATATATATACGTTCATCTCTCGCGACTGATTTTACCCGAAACACCTAGATACTGATTTGGTATTGAATCTTAGGACTTTGTTTGAGCTGTTGCTGCATGTTTTCGGGATTATATAGTGAGGAAAGGCAACAAAAGAAACGTTTGCAGCGTCTAAAACTAAAACGACTAGGAAAAAAAACACAAAAGAAGAACAAGACCCACAAAAGCCCCGCAAACACCAGCAAATCCTAAAATCTGGTTGCTTTGGGTAGTTTTTGAATTTCTTTTGAAATTCTGATCTTTGAACTTTTTGATATGTTTTATATGTTGATACATTTTGGACCAATGTGAATCATTTGTTGAGCTGTTTGACTGAAATTCTTAGAGCGACCATTTTTTCCTCAGCAGTGGAGGGTCGGTCGAGGAAAGCAGCGTGCTCTCAATGCTTTCGACGCGAGGATTCCTCATTTTTGTTATAAAAGGTTTCTGATGGATGTGCTTTTCATATCTTTTGATCATGGTTGTTCGCCCTCTACCATGTTTCGGATGTTCATGGCTCCAGGCTCCAGGGATGTGTTGTTTTTTTGTAAATGGAGTCTCTTGCAAGCTTTTTCAGCTTTGCCCATGAATTTAATGTAGCAACCCCAAAATGGATAAGGTACGATAAGGTAAATATAATCTATGTCATTCTATGTTCAAAACATACTTTTCTATTTTTGTGGGGTTACTATACATGCATAGTACTCGAGTCGTAGTACTATCTGAATGTTGGATGTCTTGCAAGCCAGTTTCTGTTGATCTTGTTGCCACTTCACAAGTTTCCGCAGATTCGAATGATAAAACTTTTTTGGGGGCAGTGCCAATGGCAAACCTCCAAATTTCTGGTGTGATCACATGCTTGTGAGGAACGTTGCTTTTTATTGACAACGTCCTGCATATGCTTTTAGAAATGCACCACCCCCAGCATGGCTGTTCTCAGCTGCCTTCCCCAGTCACCGTGTTGGATGTTGCAGGAACCTGCAAACCTTCCAGAGATGTTTCCAAGGTCAACCCGCTTGCCATTGCGAGCTTGGTCCAGCACCTCCTGCAACGTGACGGAGGACCCCTCCTGGGGTTTTTGCCGTGTTGGTTTTGGTATGTCATTTGCATTGATGCCCGTTCAAAAAGCAGCATGGCGCACACACACACAATATGTACAATATATCATAATACAATGTATATATATAAATATATATATATAATTAATTATATATAGCATGCACACATACCTGCCCTTCGATCCCTATCTTATACCATACGAAACCATACTACTCACCATACCAAACCATACCACGCACCATACCACACATGCATACATACGAACAATGCAGCGGCACTTGTCAACCTTCGAGTTGGTTTCGAAGTTGCTATGATTCAGGTGTCAGAGGCCAACCACTTCAGACTGATTTTGTGCCTCATAGGACCCGGTGGCAACATCTTGATCTTTCTGCCGGATCTCGCTGAGATCGAGGAGGTGGAAAGGGAGATCAGGAACAGCAGCTCAGGTGCTATCCGGATTCAGAAGTTGCACAGGTCATCGCAGAATCGGCTGCTACCCATGGGTGGTGTGGCTACAGTCATTCTGGCCACCAACATGGCGGAGACCTCGGTCACAATCCCCAACATCGGCATGGTGATCGACCAGGGCCTCAGCAAAGAGAGCCTTTTCGTGAAATGTTGCACTTGTTGTTGGTGAGATGTTGGCGAGTCGGTGTTTTGAGTCGGTGCATGTTGTCCTGTTTCATCAAGTTGCAAAAAGATGCAAAGAGCACATACTGTAGCAGTATCAAACGGTACCATGTCTCTTTCAACCGTGCAAGGAAGTCAGATTTTGGGTTCAACACTGTGCCTGCATCCCAGCAGAATGTCAAGCGGAGGGCATGCAGAGCAACTTGGCCGGCCATATTTTGGACCCATATTCCCTGTTGCGGATGAACCCCTGCTTCCTAATTATAAGTTGGTTTGCCTTTAGGCAGGAAGAAAGGAGGCAGGAGAGTACTTTGCGCTGTTCAAACTGGAAGAGCAGCTTGGATTATTTACATGTGTTTGACAGTATTTGAGTCATTGGACACGCTTTGGTACGAAGTGACGCCTTTTGTATCCTTTTGTGTATTCCGATCATTCAGGGACAAACTTGCCCTGAGGTATAATCAGCTGCCAGAATTCCAGACACCAGAGATTGGCCGTGTGCCTTTGCAAGAGCACTTGCTTGGAATCCTCTGTGATGTTCCGGAAGAGCTACCTGCCACGTACTTGAAAAAGGCAATGAACGCACCAGAGGCAAAGAAGGCAAGGGTACATAGCAGAAAGCGTTTTTTTTTAATTGGGAGCTGACTACAGGAGATCATTCAAACTTGATTTTCTCTCTAGCGACCTGGGGAGTCCCACATCATTTGTCGAAGTCACCCCGAAAGTCCAAGGGCAAACAAACTGATTAAAGTATTTAAAGTTTGACTTGACAACACTTCAATTCAAACACTGCGCAGTCCTGGCGTCAGGTGGAGGATGGCATTTATACATTGCAACGGCTGGGTTTGGCTTCGTATGGTGCTTGGCCTTCTCCCACACCTTTGGGACAATGTGCCAATAAGCTGCCGCTGGAAGTCCACTGGGCTGTGCCTATGGTGCTGTCAGCCTTCGTGGGACTTGAGGATCAAATGGCTCTCATTGTAGCACTGTTGAACCCTGGACAAAACACCATGAAGGAGCAGTGCATGTTTCTCATTGTTTCTCTTTTCTCGGAGGAGTTGAAACGTTTTGGGAAGTCTTATAAGACTTATAAGACCAACATTATATCTGTCATCAAAGATGTTGTATCTAGGTTTTCTTGTATCGCGCGGTTCTGTGTGTGTGTGTGTTTGTATGAGCAAAACTGTGTGTCTGTGTGTGGGTGAGTGGGTCCGGATTCCGTGAAGACGGGTGAAACCAGCTAATTATATAATATAATTATTTGAACTGGGCCAATTTGCACCCTAAGGACGCAGCAGCCCAATTTCAAGAAGAGTGCCAGCCAGAAGGGCAAGCAGCAACTGTCAGAGTCAGCTGATCTCTGTGAGAGTGAGCTGCTTGCCGACTTCTGCTTGTTATTCGAGCATGAGCGAGGAAGGATTGAGCATCCAAATGACTTTGGACCCAAGACACTCCTTGATCAGCTCGTACAGAAAGCAGAAAGGATGAAGGACACTAACGGTTCGGCATTGCTGAGCTTATTGGAACATGTTGGAACACGTTGGAACATGTTGGAACATGGAGAATCTGAAGAGCAGATGAACGTTGGTGTTTTTAATGTGAGGTATTTTTTGGCAACCCAATTTGTGTAGAGAAAGTGGGACCTGCAGCTATCGATGTTTGGTTTGCAGGGGTGCATTCGATCCATGTTGTGATTTGCCACGGTTTTGATTGGGAGGGCTAATTATTTATTTTTGTTTTTTTTTTTTTCCCGGGGCAGGTTTTGGATTTTGTTGGGGGTGCCTGGTTCTATGCTTTCCTGTTTCTCTGGTTTTCTGCTTCTCTGCTTTTGTACTTCTGTGCCTTTCTAGTTCTACTATTCGATATACTTTTTCCTTTTTCAGGCATGTGTTTTTGCTGCTCTACTTCCTGCTCCTTTGCTTCTTTGCTTCCTGTCTTTACTGTCTCTTTGTTTTGTAATTTTATCTTGCTTTATTCTGTTCTGTTTGTATCCTAAATGAAACCCTAGAGAGACCCTAGGCCCTAGGTGAAACCCAAAGAAACCCTAAAGAAATCCTGATAAGAAACCCTACATAAAGCCCTAAATTTGAACCCTAAAGAAACCATAAATGAACCCGGAAGAAACCATAAATTAATCCCAAAGAAACCATAAATGAAACCCCCCTAAAGAAACTTTAAAGGACACCCTAAATGACATCCCAAAGAAACCCTAAACAACACTCTGAAAAAAACAACTAAATGAAACCTTAAGTGACACATTAGCTGAAACCTTAAATTGACACCCTAAAGAAACCCTAAATGAAACCCTAAATGAAACCTTAAATGAAACTCTAAATTGAAACCCTAAATGAAACCCTAAAGAAACCCCGAATGAAACCCTGAAGAAACCCTAAAGAAACCCTAAATGACACCCTAAATGAAACCCTAAAGGAACCCTAAAGGAACCCGCTTGAACGTTTAGAAATCGTGAAAAGAAATCCCGATAAGAAACCCTAAAGAAAGCTTAAATGAACTCCTGAATGAAACCTTAAATTGAAACCCTAAATTGAAACCCTGAAGAAACTCTAGATGAAACCCTAAAGAAACCCTAAATAAAGCCCTAAAGAAACCCTAAATGAAACCCTAGAGAAGCCCTAAAGAAACTCTAGATGAAACCCTAAAGAAACCTTAAGTGAGACCCTAAATGAAACCCTAAACGAAACCCTAAAGAAACCTTTAAGAAACCTAAATGAAACCCTAAAGAAGCCCTAAAGAAACCCATTTGAACGTTAGAACTCCTGATAAGAAATCCCGATATGCGACCCTACATGAAACCGGAAAAAACCCTAAATGACACTCTAAAGAAACCTTAACCCTAAAGAAACCCTAAATGAAACCGCAAATGAAACCGTAAAGAAACCCTAAATGAAACCTTAAATTTAAATGAAACCCTAAATGAAATCCTAAAGAAACCCTAAATGAAACTCTAAATAAAACCCCAAATGAAGCCCTAGATAAAACCCTAAATGAAACCCTAAATGACACCCTAAATGAAAGCCTAAAGAACCCTCAAGAGACCCACATGAACCTTTGATTTGAAGTACCAAAATGTAGCAAATACCATACAAATGAGAGGTTGAAATGACAAATACCATGCAAAACGGAAGGCGGACATTGCCAAATGTAGCAAATACCATGCAAAATGCAAAGTGACCATGCCAAAATGTAGCAAATACCATGCAAAATAACAGGTTCTAGTTCCAAACTGTTGCAAATACAAGGCAAATGGTACCAGGAAAGAAAGCCAGGAAAAAATCCAAAAGCTGAGGCAAAAGAAACAATTACCAAAAAAATTCTACACCCTTATTGTACGGAGATGGGTACTGTTTCCCGGAGGAGCATGTGATCGGACTCTTTCCTGGCATCGATCAACTCCGGAGCCGGCTTCCCATCGAAAGACGAAGCGCTCACAGCAGCTCTGTGCAGCAGCTTCGACAGTTTCTTGTCGCACCACTGATTGAGAGAGAGAGAGAGATCTATATAATGACTGTGTTCATATGCACGACATGTGGATAACATGGGATTTGCAATATATTGCAGGGTTTGAGTCAGAGAAACCCTTCTAGTGAGCAAAGGTGGTGGCCAGCTTTGCGCTTGCTGCTTGCAGCTGGTCTACGTGAGAATGTGGCAATCCCATCCGACACCACTGGAAAGTTCATCACAGCCACTTGGAGCAATTCCCAACTTGACCCACCGAACAATGGAGACTTTAGAGGGCCCTACTACTTGTAGGAGTTGATGGTGTTCGGTTGCTCCCTAATGGCCTTGTTGCTCCGCAAATCACCCTTGTGATGGCATTAGTAGTCACATGTTTCTTTCAAGGCATGGAAGAAGAGCGATGCAGCTGAAGGACATGGCCGTCCTACAGCATGGCAAGGGCCGATGCTCTTCGTGGAAATGTTCAATTTCTGCCTGCGTGGCCTCTCTCACTGTCCCATGGATGACTTGGTCCTGTTTTCCCACAGGCTCCGGTGGAGCAGCGGGGCTGGAGACAAGCCCCTGACTGTAAACAGCTGGCTGAAAGTTGACGCAACGTTTGCTGATGCAGCACTGCTGGCGGCTGGAGGAAATGCTATCCTTCAGCTTGCACAAAGGTGGGCAGAGGGTAAAGGCTACGGCCACAGCGATCAACAAGCTGCAGCTCTGCTGTGGCAAGTTTGCAGCGACAGGGGCGATTTGCCACTGACACCTTTGCACGATCTCCCAGAGCCTGGGCCTCCGGACCGCAAGTGCAGCATGCTGTCGACTGGAACCAAACCGTGGGCTTCGCTCCGCGATGCGTTTCGACTGCTGTACTCAGCGTTGGTACCGTACACCCCCGACCTCTGGGATGAGGCGATGAGATCCTTGGCTGCACCTCCTCACCAGTTGTTCCAGTTCATTGCAGAGCACTGTCGCACTGAGCCCTTCAAACCGAGGAGCCCTGCAAGAGGCTTGGCCACAGTGCCGAAGCTGCCGCGAAGATCTGGAAGCTTTTGAGCAATTCCTCCCGGACTACCTTCCGCCCTCATCAGACTCATTGGGCTCCCCGAGCCTAGGTTCCTGGGTGGACTTGAATAAGCTTGTGACTTGGTTGCAGCTCTATAGCGAGACGCGTTCAAAGAAGAACGGCAACTCCACCAGATAACTTCAGAAGGGTGAGAATCTCCATGAATCTCCTTGATGCTATGGAAGCAGGTCCTAGGGTTTTGGTTCCACTGGAGACATTGGCCGCAAAGTCCGCACACAAGTGCGCCTGGCAGTTCGTGAGGTGAGTTTCCTTAGGGGCGGAGCTGGAGAAATTTTTGAAGGTTCAGGTTCCAAGGAGTGCCTTGCTTGGCAGCGATCTGAGGCCACTCTACTGGCAAAGCAGCTTGAACCGCCTCGAAAAAACCAACAAGTTCCTGTTTGTGAAATCAAGTTCACGCAGGAATCTGCAAGACGCTCGGACCAATTTCAGTTTTTTGTTCAGGCAAAAAGGATGAATAAAAGGATGCAAAATTCAAAAGGACCAGGCGATGGAGAGAGAGAAATACTGGAAGTGTGATTGGAATCAGGACGGCTTGGTCACTAGTGGCAATCTAATTGAATCTAATCAGTTAAGCTGACCCAGGCTGCTACATTGCCCACGGCAAGCACAAGGGCTTGTTGGTCAGCGATGTGGCACGCATGGCGAGCGACGGTCACATCGCATGGGACGCCCCAGAACTGAGGCTTGACGTTGTTTGGTGGCATGGCTGCTTCAGGTCATTGAACAACAGGCACCTTGCTGTTCTGAAGCAGGCAGGGGCTGAGAAGTGCCTTGTCAGGGAATGGCCACTGACACCAGGTTTGTTCTTGCCTGGCTCAAATCGAAGCGTGCTACAAAAATTTCTCGAGGTACAGACCTCGAGAGTGGGTGGCTGCACAATACAGCTCAAAGATCGTTCCCGCTGCAGCCCGTAGGAGTCTCAACCAATGGAAGCATGCCAGACATGAGGGTCTGAAGTATCAAGCGAACATGTTCTTCATGTGTTTTACATATTTTACCTTCGAGTGTTGGTTTGCTGGGAGTGCAGTGTGCCACTGCGCGTGTTTGTTAATAAAACTCAGGCCTTAATATGACTGAGCATGTGGTGGCCCACTATGTTTTCTCCTGTGTCAGGGATGAGCCACGTGAACGTCCCTACCTTGTGTCCGGTCAGTTCCAGGTTCATTCACATGACGCTAGATTATGCTAGATTTTTGCTGAAGCTTGACTGGAATGACTGCAACTGACAGCACCGGAGCCTGATGCAAAAGCTATCAAAAGCGTTTGCCCACATACCAAATACATCCAAATAATTCCAAATATATATTATGATCATCTATGATCGATAGTCTTTTTGAATCAATTTGTCCATAGTCAATGCATCAATGTGAATGAGCGCAAACATTTTTATTGGTCGCGAGTCCGGGGTGAAGGTGAGATCCGATCTGAATTTGGTTTGATCATTTTGATCATCAGTATGAACATGGTTTATTAGTATATAATTATCATGGTTGTCATTTGGCCGTGTTCGCTTCATCCTGAGCCCCGCACACTTCACACATTTTAAGCACTTCCTCTCGGAGGCGCCCACTTTGACAAAAGTGGTTGACTGCATAAGGAGTGCTGTGGAAAGCCACAAACCTATACTTAGCCTCCAAGTATGGAAATCCTTGTCGTGAGAGTTCTTGATGCCAGACTCGGAAACCTTCCCACTTGGCAAACTCACGCCTTATTCTGCTGATACGCACTCCTGGATGTCACAGAAACCACTTTGTCAGACTTTGTCCATCGTTGGCTCACCGAACGTCCCGACTTAAAGTCTGGTCAGTTCGAAGCTCGTGGACACGGAATAGTCGGAATAGCTGTTTATTATTGTTTATTCATGTACAGATATTTTAGTATTCCACAGCGGTTTTTGCCCAGAGATTTTGCTGGAGCCAAAAAATGCATTGCTGAACTTGAAAACAATCCTATTTGAGTATGCGCACGAAGCCCTTTTCACCATGCTTCTGTGTGCGACCTGCAGGTATTAGCCTGACTTCGTAGACAGCTCATGATCAGCATCAAGATTGCCAAGGACAGTTTTTCCTATGTGTCAGACTCAGATCTGGTGCCGTTCTGCCACCAAATTCCTTTCATGTTTACAAGGATAACCAATGTCGGTTACACAAAATAGGTTGGATCGACAACGGTTCCTTCAGAAGCTGGTTTTTCATTTTTTTGAGTGATTCTGCCATGCATGAAGTTCACAACATTTGGGAAGGGCGTGGGGAGTGCAGGAGCATGAGCTGCCGTGGATAGGGAAGGAATATACATATATAAATAAATATGAAGCGATGTAAATGATTCAAGGCGGGGTCCAACTTGCCCAGTACACCCAAGAATAACATAGAAAACACAATGAATGAAATAAACTACTGTGTGGGTCACTAGGGACTGCACTGAACAAGGCTTGGCATGGAAACCCAATCACTTCGGGGTATAGACCAGTCAAATGTTGGAGTTCTATCAGATTTGCCACCTACACCACTTGTACAAATAGAGCACAAGAGTTTCGGGCAGAACGCACAAGAGTATGATACATATATACAGTACATATTATAAACATATTGATATATAATAATATATAGTTATTGAATATGCGTGTATAGAACATATGTATAGACATCTACACAGGTCACACACACATAATATATATTATATATATTGTATATATTATATATATTATATATATTATATATATTATATATTATATATATTATATATATTATATATATATATATATTATATATATATATATTATATATATTATATATATTATATATATTATATATATTATATATATTATAAATTATATAGTATATATTATACATTATAAATTAGATATTATAAATTATATATTATATATTATATTATATATATACATGTATATTATATCATATATATTATGTGTGTGTGTGCAATTTGTGCCGTTGTCTCGTGAATTCTCATTTGCAGGCTCACGCGTTCGATCAGGCTTGGCTCAAATCAGCCCCATTCCAGCTTTTAATGCGAGCCAAAGAAATCTACAATACCCAGGACGACCTCCAAATTCTCAAGCCACAAGCACAAAACAGCCTGCACACAAGATGACAAATCACAATAAGGTGTTTCATACTCTGACCGCTGCTAGAGACCAGGACCCGAACTGGCTGGCCACACTGACAATGAGCTCATCAGCCTAGATGTGGTTTTTGCAGCCAATTGAACGAATCATTCATTATATTCGCAGGGTATGCATATGGGACAGATGGATACCATATGTTCATAGATTACAGTGATTAACATAGATTAACCACCCTTGGAGCTCTTGCTGCCTGGCTTGAAGCTTGTTGGGCAAGCCTCGGCCCCAAGTTTGGTTTATGTGGACACTGCATTTTCAACCTCTCCCTGGAGTGCCTTTTGAAGGACGTTGGCTGTGGAACTGAATTGGCAGTCCCTAGGAGAAAAATCAGTAAGAGCTGCTTGAAGGCTTCAAGGCTTTGGATGTTGGATCCGAGTAGCATCATGGATAAAGTAGTGCTTTGATGGCATGCTGAAGATGTTCAAACCTTCTCCTGTAATTATCCTAGTATATCCTAGTTTTTGGCGAAGGGCATGATGGGGTTGAACTTAGAATTTGAAAGTAAGTGGACACAACGCCGAGGTGTGGGATGAACACTGGTGGAAACTACTGTTTTGCTAGGCCATGACCCCTTTTTTCTTTGCCTTTACTCGATCCAAGATCCTTGACATGTTTTCACACCCAACAGACACATGAAGACACGCGTTTGCTCTAGCAGTTTGGCACAGTTTGGCATGGCTCAATTGTCATTTTTTGCTTCTGGTATGAATTTGTATGATATAATTATGCAATATAATGTTACTTGAAGTATATGTGTATATGGACATAGCAGGTAGGCAAATAGATTTATGGATTTACACCGTTTTTTTGTTTGGAGATGCCGTCTAGCTGTTCCAGGATGCCAGAGGATGAGGTGGTCAGGGACCTCAAGAAACAGCTGATCCGGCAGGGCTCCGAGAAGGCGAGGCACCATTTTAGTTTGAAAAATTGATGCCACGGCGACTGCCTATTTTGCTAACCACTGGCCGGTGACAGGCCAAAAGCTTCATTCGTCGCATCAGCCCTGTGGAAGACACTGAGGGTGATCCCATGCATCGGGTCAGCAGCCATCCTGCAATGCATCGCGCGAACCTGCTTTATCCGGACGGACGAGGGATCAACATTGCCATAGAGATGCTAGTTGACTATTGAAGGGATGCTGCGTGGATGACAAACATTTAAAAAAAAAAAAAAACATCATGTCTCATCGTCTAGTGGGATTATAGATACTTCGCTGACAATCTGTTAGGTTTGGATTGAAACAAACCTTCATATCACATCCAATCATTATTTTGATTCATAAATGCCTAAACTGATTGTAGCAGACCTGTCTCAAACCACTGGTTGCACCACTAATTATGCTCCTTGAGGAGCTTGGCCGTGCCGGTGATTTGGCGCAGCCTGGGGGCTTCAGACGTCATCATTTGCAGCAGCGGAGACCAAGCATGGATCAGCAGTCTTTGTGCCTCACCTGATCTCACCTGTTCAACCAATGGGTTTATCGGAAGAAAGATGTAATCAATGTAATCTTGAAATCTGTACCAGGGGATGGAAATTTCTACGTGCCAAGTGCCAAGGCACGAAATTTGTATATATTGGTGGTAGATACCAGAACTGTCACTTGCACTACACTGGCCGACGGAAACCGTTTACATGGCTTGAGTTTCAGGTTGAACCGCTTGCTGGACCCTCGTGTTCAGAGATATTTCGAAGCCGAGCTGAAAAAAGGCAGGCAGGAAGAGGAGATTGAAGCATTGGAGACTGCAGATGCCGGTGGCTCCTCCAATTTTGGCACTGTCTTGCTGATATTGACACTTGTGACTTCAAAGCAAAGCTTTCTGATTTGGGTGCAGCTCTCATGACACTGCGTAAACCTTGTTTTTGAATGTTTTTGATCCCTCCTATCTTTTGGAGGAGCTCAGTGGGCTTTTCAAAAAGTTACTGTAGATCCTTTTGATGGCAAAGATGGTGGTAGATGCAAAGGTGATGCCACCAAGCTGCCACCCTGAGATGTCAGTGATATTCAGTGATTCTAATCGCGCTTTGATTTCCAAGGAAATCAACCATTGGCGGCACACTAATCATTATTCCAGGTGCATTTTCACACACTGGTCTGCTCGTAGCTCCGTTGCTGCTTCTCATAGTTGGTGGTGCCGAGATTTATTGTAGCTTGGTATGGCATGGTATGGCGGGAGGGAGATTGATCCACTAATAAAAGGATTGATGAAGTTACTGTACTTTCCAATTATGTACTTGTTTAATGCTCAACGCACTACACTTGCAGCCCAGCTTACTGCTCAATGCAATGCAGAGAACTCGAAACTAATATGATATCGGAAAAAATCAAATACCAATTATATAAATCTATAATTTATGGCAAGTCGCCTTCTTAGCTTGCCTTCAGCTTGACTGCTGATCTCCCGAGATGGCGATGGAGAGAACATAAATACAAATAATTCATAATAATTATGAAATACTATGTTCATGTATTTTCAACATCCCCCCAAACGATCAATGATGTACTGTGATAATCTGTGATAGTTGGCACAGGTATGGTCCTTCTGGTTGACTGCGTCCGCAGCTGTGGTGGCAGCTATGGCGAGATTGCGCGGAAAGCAGTTGGAGAAGCTGGCAGCTTTGCAGTTGAAGCCTCGGTCCCTTGGCAAATTTTCGGCCATGGCTGGTGTGACTCCCAAGAATTTAGAGGCACCCCAAAGGTTTCCCGTGAAAGCATGTGAAAAGTGTATGAAAACCATTAAGAAATAGCATAGTTTCCTGTGTAGATGTTCTCTTGAGTAAATCAAACCATTGAGGTACAGCATGTTACGGCTCAAGATCAATTCGTTCATCAGATTGGATGAAAGCACCCTAACATGCCCTAACTCCGCGCGGTATTTGGGGATTCCGGAGTGTAAGAACATGCTGGGGGCTGGGGGTATAAGTATGTGCCAGTGGATTGAGAGGATGAGGAGGAGGAGGATGAAGAGGAGGATGATGAGGAAGAGGATGAGGAGGATGAGGAGGATAAGGAGGAGGAGGAGGAAGAAGATGAAGGGCATGGATCATGAATCGTTGGACACCCATTGGACAATTGGGGCCCGAATTAACCCACGGGTCCCAACCGCAAGAAAACAATGTCAGTCATACAACCCCTGGAAGAACAAACCTAGGAGATCACCATGGTGTCAGCCCAGCTTTACATAGCAGGTGTTTCTTTCACAAGCTGGATTCGTTTGTGCGGAGATGCTCTATGTCGCGAAGAACTCTGTCCCACCACTTAAGGTTTCTTGGCGATTAGCTACGTGCCACCAGGACATCGTGGGCTAGTTCAAAAACGGATTCCAGTGAGGTAGTAAATTAGCAGGCGTGCCTACATGAAAATCATTATTAAGCATTTTCATAGCATTTTACTCATGAAAATCACGAAGTTCCATGAACATCCTGGCCACAGCCAATGGACATGCCCCGACATGGCAGCGAAGGCGATGGGTCTTCAATCCTGGTGGCTGTCGGAGTCGACCATCCTCCTGCTGCAGCTGCTGGTGACTGGGGACCCCGGGGATGGGCCAGGCAAACAGGACTTGGAACACGCTGTGAACGGTACTGTAGCGATATGACATGATTTGATATGTATTGATGGATATGATAGATGATATATGATATATGATGTAAGATGATGTAAGTAATATATGATATAAGAGATGGTAGCATGTCCAGAAACAGGATTTGACTTGAATTGACTTTAAAACATGAATGTCATCAGTGCGAACTGAATTTGCTGTTTCTGTAATGACAGGTGTTGAGTCTTCAGATGCTAACAGAGCTTTACAGAATGAACAAAACTGCAAGTTCTGCCGTGCCAGGTAGTCATCCCAATGTCATGGATTCGACAGCTGAAGTATTTTCAGGCAGCAAACGGCCGAGTTTCGTTTTGCTGAGCCTCCCATGTTCCACTTTTTTCCCACCATGTTTGACATCGGAATCATCGTGATCAATGTAGCGTACAACCATCAGTCAATAGCATCCACAGATTAACTGCCTGGTGATGCCTGCTGCATTTTTATCAAAAAATGCCAGCATTTCATTATGAAGAGAGGGTGTCATTCCCAACGGATCTCAAAGGTACCTCGCAAAGGAAAGAAATAGAAGTTGTACCACCGTCAACCCCAACACTATAACACTGGGGGTTCTTAAACATTAAACATGCCTAATAATCTATTAATAGTGCTTAATCATGCTTCATCTATATGTATATGTATTTATATTATATATATATATACATGTGTGTGTGTGCGTATGTGCATGTGGAACCCCTATATGGCTGTTGCTTCGTCGCGATCCAGGTCTCCAACCTCATCGCCAATGTGACCGTGGCGTTGGCACTGGCCATTCTGTTGGCCTACTCACTGGTGGGCTTAGCAGACCATGGACCTGGCGAGGGAATTCAACTGGCAGGTGAGCAGCGGCTGGGATGGGGATGAGAGGTTTTGCTATTTGCTTTGTAATTGGCAGGAACCAATGTGTGCATATGTGTGCAAGTACTTATTATATAATTGATAATTATGCCCTTGATGTCACACATACCAGTACCGGCCAGTACCTATATGCATCTAAATGAATTTACACATGCCTACAAACATGTTCCAAGAATTCACTATCAAAAACGCATGGAAACCCCGCTGCACAGGTCCCAACTGGATGGTCTTCGCTGGAACCGTGGCATTCTCTTTTGAATGCATCAACTTCGTCATACCGATGTATGACGCGCACGACAACAAAGAGACCTTCACAGCAATTTTGGTCTTTCGGCGTCAGCAATTTTGTACAAAGGGTAAATATGTTGGCACGCTTGCAAGGAACCATTCAGGTTTGCCCTTCAATATATAGTTTTTGGATGTTTTTGGAACCAGCCTCAGCGACCAAGGTGCTAACCCTCCTGGGGGTTTGTGCCCTCTTTATCATTTTTGGTGCTGTGAATTATGCATACTACGGTGCCCAGACACAGCCAGTCATCACTCTGAATCTGCCGCGAGAATCTTCAGTAAGCCATTTTCTGCCGTTGGCTTTTGCTTTGGCTTCCCTCTTCAATGTGCCATTGTTCCTTCTACCAGCAGCTCTGCAATTAGAGGCCTCCGGGATAGATGGGCAGATGTTGAGTTTGAATTTGTTGTCTCTTGCCACTTTCTTGACATTAAATGAAAAGCGATCCTGCAAACTGCATCGCCCCAAACAGGGATCCCAACAAAATCATTTTGATAAAGTCACGTCACCTGTCCTGGCATCTCCCCCGACAGTCGCCGCGGATTTGGGGAGGTTTATTTCACTGGAGCAGTTGATGTATGGAAGATCAATGCAATGCGAGCAATCCTCATTTGTGGCTGTGCCGTCATATCCCTCATTGGAAAGGACAGCATCGATGCATTCATTGCGCTGAACCTGGGTTTGCTTCAAGATTTGGGAATGATTGCAACGTTTTGCAACCTTTGCAGAGGTTATCTAAGGTGTTTGCTGGCCCGGAGTGCGCCCAGTAGTGTGAGAAAAGATGAAAGATGACCACCTGTGACAAAGTCTATACAGCATCCTGATATACAGCCTGATGTGCTTTTCATGTCCCTACTGTAGCAAGGGCTCCCTCAATTTACTGTTATGATTTGATTATTAGATGTCAATAGCTTTCAATCATTGATTTAGAGCTGGTTGTATTGCTAGGTGGCCCATAGCTCAGCACTCGCTGATGCCAGTGTGAAGAGAGGTCCTGACTCAGGAAGCAAAATAGGTTTCTGTTTTCGGAACAAGACTTGTGTTCAAATTTGGTCAAATGCCATCCAGATTAGCAATAAATTTATATAGAGGTTTTAAATGATCACACATGCTTCGATTCCTGTGAAGCTGGGGCCCGCGTTGAGCCTGTGAGCCAAGGATCGGATCATTCTGCTGCGTTCCACTCGCTTTCATTTTCCCAGTCCTTTGCCATTTCAAGCTATGTCAGCCAGAGGGAAAGAAAGTCCTACTGAATGTAGCTGTTCTTCTCTTAGGCCTAGCACTTTTTGTGTACACAAGCCTCTCGTCTTTGAACCAGATGGGTTTCCTGCGCAACGAACGCATTGCTGAATTCATCTGACAGGTGTCACTGGTGTCACTGGTGTCTAATGTCTGACATCATTTGACATCACTGATGTTTGGGAAGACCTTGAGCCGCAAGAGATCACAAGAATCAGAAAGGGTTCGCTTCACCAGGCTCGGGTCAAGATCCAAGACACTTGCCAACCTGCGGATGTTATTTTTCTATATTTTTCTGGAGTTCTGAACAATGCCTATTTGAGGCCATCCTGTTTTGATCCACCCTTATTGGCAAATGAATACACATGAAATCATGTGACATAATCCCGTGATTGACTATTTAATTTGTTGGATGGCAGGTTGGCATCCTTTCAAGCTTGCTTATTGGGCTGTGGTACTGGTATCATTTGCCATACCGCAGGCTTCAGATTTAGTCTCATCTGAATAGGGACTTGCACAAAGACCGATGATGCAGCCATTGATGAGGGATGGCAGCAGAATAGAGCGCAGCAACATAGCAGCAACTCACAAGAGTATACAGTTTGATTTCATTGATTTCATTGCTCCCCGTAGCAAAGACCTTGGATAAACATGGATAAACGGCGACCAAGTTTGTTAGTTAAGTGGTGCCATTTTTGGAGCAGTGGACCATACCTACATGAGAGGTTTTGACCCAGGTATAGTTGAAAGCATGCTGGAGGTGGCCTTTTTAGTTCACGTTGCAGTCAGGTCAGCCCAATTGCTTTGATGGCAATGTGTGGATTTTGCTGAGCTGCTTGGGTTGTTTGAAGCACGGGGGGGCTTTTGAAACCATCCAGCTGCATTGTGTTCGGACAAGCTTCCAGCGATATTGTTTGATATTGTTCTTTTTGGTCTCCGCGCTTGCGGATCGCATTGTGATAGCTGGAACATGCTTAGTTCACAACAATCCTGGTGAGACGGTCCTTGTGCCCGTGTAGATAGACGACCAATGCCGACAATTTCATTTAACACTTTTGGACGAATTACAACTTCATCGTGACTTATGACTTGTGCCAGATGTTTAGGTTTAAGATGTTTTAATTAAGCCATGTTAAGCTTTCTGTTTTATTTTTGTGCATGGTTTGAGTCTTGAGTGGCTTCGCTGGGATAGCCCAGGTGAGCCTTTGGAAGATGCATGCTGGCCTTCACTTGCGCATGACTGGGATAGATCGGATAGTCTTGCGGTGATTCTGTTTGAAATCAAACCAAGCGGTGATCTTGGAGAATGTATATTTGATGTGTTTGTGCATGTTTGTTCCCCATTTATTGAGCAATGCTTCATCAACTGCTCCAAATTGACAATACTGCGGCTCCCGCTCTGCTGGCTCAAGTAAACTCACAGAAATCAGGGCAACTGTCAGGCCAGGTTCCGCAGTTTGTCCCACCTCTGGACTTTTGTTTGGTGTCGACTTCTGTTTGCCTAGGGCCTATTCACTTGGCAATGTGCCCCAACAGGTATTACATTTTCAGCAAAGACTCCATTGAAAACTCCGAATCCTCAAATTTTGACCCATCCCCCTTCTTATCTTCTTGTTGTGCTCAAAGTAACTTTGATTTATCATGATTAATTGATTATTGATGATTCATTATGGTTGATAAATCTTCCACGTTTCGTAAGGGTATTTGATACCCCATACGGCCCCGGAATCTGGGCCACGGCCACAGGCAGGTGACCTCCATGCTCAGACAGCTCTTCCACGCGCAAGAGTTGGCGCTGGTGGCCGCATTCTCAGATCGCAGCAGTTGTTTTCTTTGGAATATGGGAAAATAATGGAACATATTTGGTTGCATTGTAATCTAGAATGTCATAATACGTCGCTACACTATTATAGTTATTAATTCTTGTTACTATCATTATTTTGCATGTTACATGTATGGGTTGTATCATTATATTGCTATTGAGTGTCTTGTATGGGAATATGGTGGTAATTGCATCTGGGGTTTGATAAGGACACCAAAGATGGAATATTCCCACAAGACCAGACTGCGATAAGATGAACTATGGGAATCGACCAAAAATGGCTCTTAACTCTTAAGGTATTGGGAATTTAGTAATAGCCATAAAATCCATAATGTTTGCATCTGATTAGTGTGAGGGCCCCCCCCCTAAACAATTTGAGGATACTCTATAACTCGCACTTTTTTTTGCCCTCCCTCAACATTTTTTTGGTCAATCAACTTAAGAAAGGATTTCAATTTACTTTCAATTGATTTCAATTTACTTTCAATTGATTTCAATTTTCTTTCAATTGATTTCAATTTACTTTCAATTGATTTCAATTTACTTTCAATTGATTTCAATTTTCTTTCAATTGATTTCAATTTTCTTTCAATTGATTTCAATTTATTTTCAATTGATTTCAATTGTTTTCAATTTACTTTCAATTTACTTTTAATTTACTTTTAATTTACTTTCAATTTACTTTCAATTGATTTCAATTTACTTTTAATTGATTTCAATTGATTTCAATTTACTTTTAATGTACTTTCAATTTACTTTCAATTGATTTCAATTGATTTCAATTTACTTTCAATTTACTTTTAATTTACTTTTAATTTACTTTCAATTTACTTTCAATTGATTTCAATTTAATTACTTTTGATTTACTTTCAATTGATTTCAATTTACTTTCAATTGATTTCAATTTACTTTCAATTTACTTTTAATTTACTTTTAATTTACTTTCAATTTACTTTCAATTGATTTCAATTTACTTTAATTTACTTTCATTTTTTTTTCACTCCCAAAAGTTGGTGCTCACAATAGAGAACCATCCAAACAATTATATTATTGAGTAACTGGGCCACTCATGAGGTACCACCTTGAAAAATTGTCTGGATGCTGTTTTTTAATAAGGGTTTAATAAGGCATCTAATTATTTGGGAAACCTTGCATTTTAAAGCTTTAACACAAATATGGCTTTCTAAAGTAAAGGCACCAGCTTTACCCAAAGAAAGGTGGAGAAAGGGTTTTGTTTTTTTTTCACTCCCAAAAGTTGGTGCTCACAATAGAGAACCATCCAAACAATTATATTATTGAGTAACTGAGCCACTCATGAGGTACCCCTTTGAAAAATTGTCTGGATGCTGTTTTTTAATAAGGGTTTAATAAGGCATTTAAAATAAAATTAAAAATCTAATAAACATAAATAATTAGAAAAAATATTTTTTTTTAAAAAAGTTAAAGCATTTGGAAAAAGAAAATGAAAAAAAATATGGAAAAAAATCTCATCTGGAAAAAAAAATCTCACAATAGAGTTCCCCTCCAACAATTTGCATGTGACTGAATTAGGAGCAAGAAATGTCTCACAATAGGGTACCAGGACACTAATCGGGTGCAAACATTATATTATATATATATATATTATATAAATTACTACCATGGGGAATATGGTACCATAGCAGCTAAAAATAATATATAATATGGGAATATCGTACCATAGCAGCCGTAGCATAGCTTCCACATTTATGGGGGTGCATCTTGATTCTTCTTCTCGTTTTTGTACAGACCAACTGGCATAATATAGTGGTTCGAAATCATGGCAAATGCCATGGTAATGATATGGGCTAGAAATGGATAGAATGTAAATAACCGAAAGCCAAGCCTGTAGTGTGTGGGTAGTTTCAAACATGGGACCATGCTCGCCTATGACTTTGACATGTTGGAACGGGTTGAAACCACCAATCAGCGACCTGCATATCTTGTGGACTTTATATATGCATTTCAAGCGCAAACAAACAATCCAAGTAGTTGGGGTGCACAGGCGAGCTGTTTTGGTGCTTTGTTTTATTAATTAAGTCGAATGCGTCGTCACATGTCATGCCTGCAAGACAGGTGGCTCTTCTCTCAGTCTCATTGATCATTCCCTAGAGTTTGAAGTGTCAAATTCAGCAAGGCCTTGTCTGAGTTTTTTTGCTTCTTGGGCATTGCTATAAGTTACATTATATTGCTTTATATATGTGTATATATATATATATATTTCTATATATCGCCATACGTTGCTGTCAATATAGTTTTCATTATATGATATTATATATATGTTTCATCAATTGCCCATAAAGCAGTGCCACGTAGCCTACAGATCCCCCCAAGACCCGACCTTCAAGTGGCCAGTTGGCTCCTGCCACCACTGCCAGGAAATTGAGGAGTATCCATCCACAAGCAGCATGGAGGCAAAAGTGCTCGGCTAAAGTCCATTGACGCCTCAATTTCACACATGAAAAAAGAACAGCTAAACGACTGCGCAAATTGGGACGACCATAGTATACTATATATAGATATATATAGTTGGTGTGGTCAAACTGATTGATGCAGTGATTGGAACATGCACGTTTGCGAGAAATACTCTCATTGCGCCAGGAAAGACAAGAGCCGGAACCGAAAACGAGTAGGCAAAGCGGAGAAGCGGGCACGAATGATTTCTCTTTGGCTTGTTGTTTGGCAGTTTATGAAGCTTGACAGCTCGATTCATGTGCGCCTGTGTGCCTGTGTCAATGGAAGGGGTCATTGCTTTGCTGAAGGGAGCCAAGTAGATACCGACACAAACGGATAAAGTCGGGTTGGCAAAGCGTGAGGAATTGGACGATATTTCTAGTGGGAAAGTATGTTTTCCAGTTCCCCTTTGTTTTGCAGCCCCACTGCGCTGCGCGGCAGTTGGCCTTTACTGCTGGCCTTCATCAGTTTTATGCTGGTTTTCAGCCTATCTGTTGGAGTCTTAGTTCATGGATATGTTACCGATGTCAATACTTTGGTTGATCACAAGCAATCATGTGTTAGGGTGGATAACAGAGAACCTCCATGTCAGCGCTTTTCTGAACATCCATGCGAAGATGGATCATAAACAGCGTTGACAATGCGGTCTTGTTGGATGATTGTCCGCTTGCCTTGGTTTTCGGAAGCCAATTGTGCAAATAAACACCCCCTTGACCAACAACATGTCTTCAACAGAAGTGGAACTGGAACAATGTGAAACCATTAATTTGCTCACTTATCTCACTTTGTAATTTTTCACAGTTACCGCCCACACCAAACCCAATTTAAACTATTGACTCTTATTGATTTAATCCACTGTTTGCCAATACTTTTTGGCCAAGGTCTTCGCAACAGGTGAACGTCACCGGAACCAGGATAACCAGGCACCTGCAGGGCACGGCTCTTCACTGACAACACTCGACTGCCCTGCATCAAGAGGCCACCGAGAACTTCGGTGACTACAGAAGCTTGAAAGGTGCGGCGCTGTGATGTGGTGTGCACCCTTTCACCATGTAAACACCGCAGCTGGATGCAGCTGGGTAGAGCCGAGAACGGGTGATGTGATGTTTAAAAAAAAAAACTGTGATGTTCCATTCAAATGACCATTGTTTGGCCTGGAGGTGGCAACTCAATCGAAAAGCAGCTTCAGGATTTCGTTCTTCATGGCACGGTTCCAGGACAGCGGCAGCGAGTTCCAGAAATTCCATGAAATTCCAGGATTTATCAAAGAGGAATTGAGGGGCCAGGCCAGGAGATATGACAATGCATTGAACATCAACGGGAGTTTGCTAAACTTCTGCGAGAATAATTTACTCCCTGGCAAAATAACATGGACAAAGAATTTTTCTTCCATGTTAAGATAAAACACTGCTCGGCAGGTGCCATGTTAAGAAAGGGTTTTTTCGCGTTTTTGGTAACATGTTATTTTGCAAGGGTGTCAAGGTATTGATGCATACAGAGAGTTTTTCCTCTCTTTCTCAATTTCCGGTATATGCATAGTATGTTACTTCTTAGTATATTGTCATAGTATATCATAGTATATCACACATATGGTGCTTATATACACCTAGCCTTTACCTACCCTTGCATGACATAACATTGCATGACGCTACAGTACCTTGCCCTTCATTTCATTACAGACATTACATACAGGTTGCCTTACCACATGCCATACTCAATATTTATGAAGTATGTTATAATTAACATACGTACAATCAATGTATGCACAACTGTACGCATAGTTTTTTTATTCAAGTTGCATGAGCAATTAGAGTATATAAACATATATAAACTGTATAAACCGTATAAACAGCGTGTATCACACCCCGAAGCCATCCGAAGCCTATCGCCCAGGATGTGAAGGCTGCCAGGGGCCAGGGACTTGGCATATCTTGGCATCACCTCTCAACGGCTCAATCAGTGAGGAATTGGATCGTAGCTGTCGTAGCTTATCCGGGCTTATCCATTGGTCCATGCTTATCCTGGTCCATCCTGGTCCTATTTATCTTGACCTATTTGACTTATTCAGATTGAGATTAACTGATATTTCCAAGGCCCAAAGCTACCAAGAGCGTTTGCAGCTGGGGCCTTGGCAAATCTTGGCAAGCTGAGCGCAATGTGCATGGGCCAAATCCTGTGAGCACTCTGTGAGCACTGGAAGGGGAACTAAGAAATGAATTGTAGTCCATTGCGGCCCATCATCAGTCCATCATAGAGCCTCGTTCAGCATGTCAGTCTCAGAGCTACGCATGCCAAAGGTCACAGCACTGCTCGACGGCTGCAGGTGCGCACAACGGTCGTTTGAGTGAAGTAATGTTGAGACAAGCGATGGTTCAGGTGCAGAAGAGATGCAGCAGCGATCCAGCCTTTTCTGCTAAACTGACATCACATACAGCGTCTGTTGGACCGATTTGCTCGAAGCTAATTTGGATGAGACCCTGAAGGCCAAGGGTTGCATGAAGAGGAGTTCTTTCAATGAATATCAAACGACATTTATAAACAGCCGGGTGTCCTTACAATATGTTTAGAGCCATTTTAAGAGCAATCTTTAAGTTGCATTCTGCCCGCACTTTTCCGAATCTCCACGTCCAGTATGCTTGGATCATGACAATTGAATATGCATCACCATCATCACCCTTTTGATATGTTTCTAAGCATCGCTTCGACTCCATGGTGTTAGTGACCGCGGCCGAGTGCAGCCAGTGCAGCCCTGATCATTGAGGTGATGGACGAAACAGAGTGGCCAGTTGATGCTGCAAGTCATGAGCAGAAAGCCGAAGAATTTTTGCATCAGGGGCGGGTGGATGCGGCAGCCAGCTGCTATGAACAAGCCCTGCGGATGCGCTTGGAATGTGGGGATGCGCCAGCACAGCTGGTGGAAGGTGCTGAAACACTAGCCAGAGCCAGCAACCACGCTTGCAAGGATGCAGTGCCCAAAGCTGCCGAACGTCAGTTGCATCGCACCCTTGCTTTACTCCATGACGTTAGAGATGTAGCATGTGCCTCAGGTGCGGGAGCTTCCACACTTCTTTCCTGCATCAATCTCACCTTTGCCAACTTGGCTGCGCTACTGATGCGCTCCGGGCGGCATAGCATGGCCTTGAAATATCTCAAAGAGGCTGAGGCCTTGGGTGCCCCCCCAGCAGAGGCGGCGGCAACCCAGTTGAGCCTTTGTGCCCTCTTGTCCCAGTTGGGGCGTCACAAGGAAGCAGAGCATCATGCCTCAGAGGCCGTAGCATTTGGTGAAGCTGACATCTTGGACCTGTCCTGCCGCGAGGCCGTCACGGCGGCGATGTTGCGGGAAAAGGCTTCCGCGTTGGCGGTGGCCTACAACAACCTGGCGGTGCAACGAGAGTATTTAGGGGAAAATGGCTTGCCCCTCTATGAAAAAGCTGTGGTCCTTGCTGAGGGGCACATGGAGAAGGACAACCCCTTGCTGGCCCGGCTGCGGGAGTCGCATCGTAATGCCCTGCAGATTTCTGTGACAAAGTCGTCCTCCAGCCGCAGACCATCGTCGGCCATGAACCTTCGCACGGCTCCTCGCCGAGAGGCGCAGGTGAAGCGACCCTTGTCTGCGATGGAGGCACGAAGAGGCAATGGATGCAGTGGCGCTCGCAGCCGGAAAGCCAGCCTGGACCAGGAACTGCTTCATCTACTCCGCCCTGAGGAGCAGGATTTGCTGGCAGCTCGCCATAAAGCCAGGGAATTAGAAGGTGAGGGCCCCGTTGAAGTTCCTTTGACTGCCCCGGTGTTGCCTCGCCACATGCGCGTGGCTTTGGAGCAGCAAAGAGAAGGTGCCCGATTCCATCAAACAGTCACCCGGAAAGAAGCAAAAGAAGATGGGCAATGCTTTGTCCAAGATGCAGGAAGCTCTGAAAGCTCTAGTCGACGACGTGAATCAGGAGACCTACGGCTACAACACGCTCTACACTTTGCTGGATGTGAAGCAGCACGTCGAATCCAACAAGCATACAGAAGGCATCGCTGGTTTTTGAAGGTGATGCGTGAAGCGCGTCAGGCACGTGAACTTCAGCGTCAAGCCGTGCATGAAGCGCGTGAACTGCAGCACCAAGCAGCACTTCAAGCGCCTCACGTGCAGCATGAAACGCTGCCTGAAGCCCGGCGTCAAGAGAGAACGACATGGGCACCGTGGGCACCTGCATCAAGCAGCGCAAGCACAAGCAGCACAAGCAGACCATCTGAAAAGATTTCGCATTCAGCTCCTTCAGATGCACTTCCCCGGCCCCGTGCCATCGAACTTTCGGGTTTACCACGGAGGAATCTGCCAAGTCTTGGATCAAGCCTTGGGAGCCTTGGGAGCCTTGGTCCTTCTAAGGAAAGTGGCGCCCCACGGATTGAGACAGTCCAACCTGTCCAACCAATCCAAGCAGTCCAAGCAGTCCAAGCAGTTCCTGAACTGAAGGAAGAAGTTGAACCATTTCAATTTCAACCCATTCAATCCATTCAACCTGTCCGACAGGCAGGATTCCCGAAAGCCGTGGTTCGAAGTTCGATGGTGATTGTCAGAGTCTTTAGCATTTTAAGGATCTAAACAAGTCTTAGGCTTGCACTGAGAAGGTAACCCACTTATTACATCTTAATACTACTTGTTGATCCTTTCCACATATGTTTTGCCATTTCTAAACCACTGAGTCGGAAAGCTTTGATCATGCATGAATACAGTCTGTATACAGTGTTTTCGGATGTTTTCAGGATTTTTCCGGCAGATGAGCATCAACTCCAGCATATAAAGTCATATAAACGAAAAGGAACCCCTGAGATGTACTGAGGATTTGATGACGATGCGCTAGATTGAATGTTTTTGGATGTAACATCTTCATACATCTTCAAGGCGTTTTTAGTGAGAGGCTATTTCGGCTATTTGTTCATATTGAGACTGTATGCTGGTTTGTTTGCAGCATAGATTTGCATTCTTCCATTCTCCTGCTCATTCGTTCTGGTCACACTTCAAGGCCGTCACTGCGCACAAGGCTGACAAGGAGAGACACGAATGGCAACTTCAAGGAAATTGCTTTAGCTGGATCACTCAGGAACGTGAGGGTGTGCCACAAGTGTCTCAAGATGCTGAAAAAGCTGAAAGAGAGGTTGAGGAGGGGCTGCATGAGAAAAGGCAGCATGCAGCAGCAACAATTCAGGCTTCTTGGTCTCGGTTTCGTCGAGTCAAACGTCAGAGAATGGCAGTTTGGCTGCAGACCATGGTGAGGTGTCGCTTGCAGCAACAGGAATTTCTGCGTCAATGCCGTGCAACAAGGCTCATTCAAAGAAGTTGGATAAGCTACAAGACCCACAAAGCCAGTCTGACTCAGGAAGGTGAGGGTGCGCAGCAAGATCAGGCAGAAGTTCCTGACGATGCCAAAAAGGCAGAAAGAGAGCTTGAGGAAAGGCAGCTTGAGAGGGAGCATGCAGCAGTAACAATTCAGGCTTCCTGGTCTCGGTTTCGTCGAGTCAAACGCCAGAGAATGGCAGTTTGGCTGCAGACCATGGTGAGGTGTCGCTTGCAGCAACAGGAATTTCTGCGTCAATGCCGTGCAACAAGCCTCATTCAAAGAAGTTGGATAAGCTACAAGACCCACAAAGCCAGTCTGACTCAGGAAGGTGAGGGTGCGCAGCAAGATCAGGCAGAAGTTCCTGACGATGCCAAAAGGGCAGAAAGAGAGCTTGAGGAAAGGCAGCTTGAGGAGAGGGAGCATGCAGCAGCAACAATTCAGGCTTCCTGGTCTCGGTTTCGTCGAGTCAAACGCCAGAGAATGGCAGTTTGGCTGCAGACCATGGTGAGGTGTCGCTTGCAGCAACAGGAATTTCTGCGTCAATGCCGTGCAACAAGCCTCATTCAAAGAAGTTGGATAAGCTACAAGACCCACAAAGCCAGTCTGACTCAGGAAGGTGAGGGTACGCAGCAAGATCAGGCAGAAGTTCCTGACGATGCCAAAAAGGCAGAAAGAGAGCTTGAGGAAAGGCAGCTTGAGAGGGAGCATGCAGCAGTAACAATTCAGGCTTCCTGGTCTCGGTTTCGTCGAGTCAAACGCCAGAGAATGGCAGTTTGGCTGCAGACCATGGTGAGGTGTCGCTTGCAGCAACAGGAATTTCTGCGTCAATGCCGTGCAACAAGGCTCATTCAAAGAGGTTGGATAAGCTACAAGACCCACAAAGCCAGTCTGACTCAGGAAGGTGAGGGTGCGCAGCAAGATCAGGCAGAAGTTCCTGACGATGCCAAAAAGGCAGAAAGAGAGCTTGAGGAAAGGCAGCTTGAGGAGAGGGAGCATGCAGCAGCAACAATTCAGGCTTCCTGGTCTCGGTTTCGTCGAGTCAAACGCCAGAGAATGGCAGTTTGGCTGCAGACCATGGTGAGGTGTCGCTTGCAGCAACAGGAATTTCTGCGTCAATGCTGTGCAACAAGGCTCTCTCAGAAAGCTGTTTCTCTAGTGGCAGGGATTGCACAAGATGTGGACTGCTTCAGCAATGGCAGTCGCGACACTACAGCTTCTGAGGAGGAGACCAAAGTTTTCAAGCCAAAGTGTGATGCCTGGGCTTGTGCACGGTGTGGACTGGTGAATGAGGTCAGCCCCGACATTTGTGTCCTGTGCGAAGGGCCCAAGCCATTGCGACGTTCAAGCCTGGCACACAGAGCGAAGCAGAGGAGGGCTCGATGACTGCCATGGCATGCCATGGAGTGCGAGTTGCCGGTTGATGACTGATGCCACGCATTGCGAGTGCCATGGCAGCCTTGTACAGAACTGTGTGTGTGATGAAAAAGGTCAGCACAGTGGCTCGCCTCTGATTCGTTGGGATTTGCTGAACATCTCCGGGGCGTGACAAATCTCTACCCCGGGTTCCTGCAAGTTCTGGTGCTTGTCACGAATTCAATTTATGTGGCGAACGTCGGAAACCAAGTCTACCTAAGGCTGAATTGCCTGCCCAATGCCAGGAAAAGATCATGTTGACACTGCACCAAGCTGGCAACATTTGTCCGAATGCAGCTCATGATTTGAGCACAATCAAATGTGCTAAAACTGTGCACCTGGCCTTAATCATCCTTGACCCTGCTCTTTCAGCCACGAGCTTCTAGACTCTGGCATGTTTTGCAGGCACCAGAGATCCAAAAGTCCCTGAAGAACAACTGGGAGGAGACAATCTGCAGATCTCACAGTCAAAAGTCAAAAGCCTGCTAGGGGGTTCAGACAGCGAATGGCGAATTATGAATAGATAATAAATATATATAAATATTAAATCAATGAATGATAACAAATGCGATCCAAAACGGTAGTGATTCTGAAATTTCTGAAGGGAAAGTCTTCTGCAGCTCATTGCGGCTGCAATTTCAATGCTTTCATGATGATATTGCATTTTCCCTTTTCCCTCTAATCAGTCACTGCCAGAGCTTTCTACCCCCGGGGCAGTAACAGTGAGCACAAGCCAGGGGCACAAAATGAGCACCAGCCAAATGCAGAAAATAAGGGTCTAATCTGGTGATATGATACGGATAAATTCTTATACCAAAACCAAACAATGGATCAGGTAGACACCATGAATATGTAAATCATCAAATGGTTGAAAAAATGTTTCATGTGAATCGGAAGGAATCAAGCTGCACAGGTGTATGTTTCTCTCTTCTCGGCTCTGGTTGCTACAGATTTGCTAGGAACTGGCCAACTTATCACCAACATTCCGTTGGAAACCTTAGCAATTCTTAGTAACTACGACAGCTTAGCAATGTGACAACTAGCAACAATAACAACAACCGCCCCCCACCAGCGAGAGCACCACCACGACCACTACAACCAGCAGTACCAGCAGCGGCAGCAGCAGCAGCAGCACCACCACCACAACAACCACCACCACCAAACGCAAGGGTGGGGGGTTGGGGCTGGGCCTGGGGCTGGGCCTGGGGCTGGGCTTGGCTGGGCTTGGCTGGGCTGGGGTGCTGGGGGCTGGTGTGGTTGGGTTGGGCCTGGGGGCGCTGGGGCTGGGGCTGGGCGTGGCGCTGGGGCTGGGGCTGGGGCTGGGGCTGGCGCAGTTGACTTTTTTGGTTTTACTGTTTTCGTTTTTTTGTGCTCGGCTGGTGCTCAAATTGTGCCCGGCTGGTGCTCAAATTGTGCTCGGCTGGTGCTCAAATTGTGCTCGGCTGGTGCTCAAATTGTGCTCGGCTGGTGCTCAAATTGTGCCCGGCTGGTGCTCAAATTGTGCCCGGCTGGTGCTCAAATTGTGCTCGGCTGGTGCTCAAATTGTGCTCGGCTGGTGCTCAAATTGTGCCCGGCTGGTGCTCAAATTGTGCTCGGCTGGTGATCAAATTGTGCTCGGCTGGTGCTCAAATTGTGCTCGGCTGGTGCTCAAATTGTGCTCGGCTGGTGCTCAAATTGTGCTCGGCTGGTGCTCAAATTGTGCTCCGCTGGTGCTCAAATTGTGCTCGGCTGGTGCTCAAATTGTGCTCCGCTGGTGCTCAAATTGTGCTCGGCTGATGCTCAAATTGTGCTCGGCTGGTGCTCAAATTGTGCTCGGCTGGTGCTCGAATTGTGCTCGGCTGGTGCTCGAATTGTGCTTTTCTTGTGGTCCCTCAGCTGCTTTGCAATATTGATTTTTCGTCATTTCTGATTTGCCCAGGTGCCGGTGCTCAAATTGTGCCCGGCTGGTGTTCAAATTGTGCTCGGCTGGTGCTCAAATTGTGCTCGGCTGGTGCTCAAATTGTGCTCGGCTGGTGCTCAAATTGTGCCCGGCTGGTGCTCAAATTGTGCTCAGCTGGTGCTCAAATTGTGCTCGCCTGGTTCTCAAATTGTGCCCGGCTGGTGCTCAAATTGTGCTCGGCTGGTGCTCAAATTGTGCCCGGCTGGTGCTCAAATTGTGTTCGGCTGGTGCTCAAATTGTGCTCGACTGGTGCTCAAATTGTGCTCGGCTGGTGCTCAAATTGTGCTCGGCTGGTGCTAGAATTGTGCTCGGCTGGTGCTCAAATTGTGCTCGGCTGGTGCTCAAATTGTGCTCGGCTGGTGCTCAAATTGTGCTTTTCTTGTGGTCCCTCTGGTGCTCGTTTTGTTCGTCCTTTGGACCTTTCCTTGCCCAAGCTTCTTTTTTTCAATTTTTTCGCAATTATTTTTGCGGTCTCCTTGTGCTTTTTTTGTGCTTTTTCTTGTGCTTTTTTTTGTGATTTTTTGTGCTTTTTGTGCATTTTTGTGCTTTTTTGTTGTGCTTTTTTTGTGCTCTTTTTGTGTCTGCTTGTGCTGGTTTTGGCTGTTGGTACGTACGCGTCAATGAAGTTTTGCGATTTAGGGTTCAGATGGGCTCAGGGTTTAGAATTTAAAGTTTGGGATGGTTGCCAAGTTGCAAGCACTGCCCCACATGGCCAATCTGACTCCATGCTTCAGCACATTATGGTACATTGTGCCAGTTGCATCAAGCTGCCCAATTCTTTCACAATATGTTCTAGTCCTTGCTTCGATGCAAACGCCTTGCTCGCACCTTCTCAGGGAAACACGTGAATGTAGTGTCTATAGTCTGCACTCTTCTTTTCTCAATGTTGGAATGCAACTGATATGCTTGAAAGATCTTGAAAGTGAAGCCCTTGTCTTGAATTCTGAATTCTGTATCAGGGGTTTGGAGGGCAGGTTGACGTTTTTTTTTGGGCACCTCCTAGCCGAGATTTTTGGAGCAATTTCCTTGTGCTCGTTTTGAAAGGGTAGGTTAAAGGAAAATCATTTATCTGCTGTTACTGGGCGGGGGGTAGATCGAATGTATAAGCCTTTCAGACACCTCCAATTTAGATGTCTGAAATTGTCTCTGATCACTGCTTTGCCCAAGAGATTATCGGATACTGATGGGTACTGTTGATATTTCTGGTGCCGTCACTCTGAGGAGGCTCAGCCCAGACAGCTTCAGGCTGGCCAAGCCTGAGCCAAGCATGAGAAACCATAAGACCAAACTGGGGGCAGAATGTTTCCACACGTTTCCAGCATCTCACCTCATTTCACATGATGCCGTCTCCGACGGTCTTATGCTCATGGCATTTGGGAAGGTTCCAAGTTCCAACTACAGTAATTGATAGATATAGTTGCAGTTATTTGCATATAGCTGTTAGTTATTTACAACATATATATATATATTTACAACATATATTTATAGTTGCAGCTCCCGGGTTCAAGTTGATTCAAGCACATGTGCCAGGCCAAAAAGGATCTAGGCAGTGTAATCGGACAGCTCCAGGCGCTGAGCATGTTCTCGTGTTGGATCCATTGCCATGAATAGCAAAAGGACAGGTTTCCTGTCCTCTATTTCAATCTATTGCACTGAGTCTACTCAGTTTATATAGTTTATTAATGTTTATTACTTGTATTTTAAGAGATGCCTTAGCCTCTTTATTTGAGCTTTCTGTGAGGATCCCAGAGCTATTCCCCAAATTTTCCAGGAATTCCCAGAACTATTCCTTAAATTTTCAAGGATGTCCCAGAATAATAAAATCTGTTCAGAACCATTCCTAAATTTTAAAGGAATTTCCAAAACTATTCCCAAAATTTTCAGGGAAACCCCAAAGCAATTCCCAATTTTCTGAAGCATTTCTCAGAACCATTCCTAAAATGACACCAAGGATGTCCCAGAACTGTTCCTAAATTCATTGTGCACAATATTGAGATTGTGTTGGAACAGGGGCCCCTTCAATGTAAGTGTGACCAACTCAAGTATACCCAAGGTTCCACCTACACATTTTATCGGAAATAAGTGGTCTTTGGTCGACGGGGACCTCGCACGTTCTTCCGTTGTATTGGTTGAGATTTCAAAACACACCAATGAACCAACAAATCACCGTTCATTGTTTCCACTGAAGGATTTCATGAATGTTGCATGTTGCAACAATGTTACATTTTATGGGCACAGGATATCCAAGCCCATCAAAATAAGCCTCAGTTAATCATACAATAGGGGTGCCCTCACTGAAAATTATGGGAGAGTCTGGGGAAAGCCAAGGGAAACATGGTTTATCAATGTTTATCATATGATTTCACCATCCGCATAAAGAGGCTCCTGCACATGTTTTGTTATGTTCTCCCCATCCTCCCGGGTCATTGTGTGGACCAGGACTTCCTGGATGGAAAGCCGGCGACCAGCTCAATGTGTTTGCAAGAGTTCAATAGCCTTATTGAAAAGTACATTGTTGCTATTTTAGTAGGATGGTGTCGTTCTACCTTTTTGGGCATTACTGTAGCCTTATATTGTTGTACAGGGATCCTTTCATGTCCCCCTGTTGGTGGGAGTAAACATCATTTGTTGATTAAACTGGTGGTTATGCCGAACAGAACATCTGAAAGACAAGGAAGCCTGTCATAGTTCCTATTGCTGTCATATTTTGGAAGTGCAAAGAGGCAGATCATGTGATATCAGGGTTGGTCTACAATCTACAAACAGCTGGACCTTTTGTTCGAACAGGTCGTGTTCGGAAATTGGGCGGGCTCCATTCTACTGTTGATAAGCATTAATGATTTAACGATATGATAATATATGATAACATGGTTTTCTGGACCCCATTTTCAGACAAACCAAAATTGCGGGGCATTTATGAACCAAGGTCGAAGGTCAATGCCCCAAGGCTGAGCCGATCCTGTCGCCTCTTGGCTTCCAGGGGATGCGGTGAATCTCAAGCTGTGCATTTCGAAGCCCTCCAGGAATTTTCAAGACTAAAATGACTAAACGTGAAGATGGATGATTATGGATGATTGATGAGAGAAGTCTTGTTTTTGGCAGTCTTTACTTTTTGTTGTTTCTGGGAAGAGTGAACGATGTCCAATCCAGACAGCTGGAGGTCAGGGCACATTATGAAACTCATCCCGGAGGGGCTTCACTGCTTCACTGCTTCACCGATTTTTCCGCCAAGCTTTTGGAGCTTTGACTCATTTTGACTCAATGGCTCTGAGGATTTCTATGCCAGTAAATCTGAAGGAAGCAAATGGGCTATCAGCGATCTTTGTGCCTATGCTGGTGAGGCATGATGCCAGGGGAGATTTTTGGATGGCGGATGATGGCGGAGTAAGGCTTTTTATGGCTTCGTATGCCCTCAACTGAAAGATCATGCTCCAGCAAAATGGGCTGGTGAAAAATATTAAAAAGGTATATTCACAGAAGTTTTCTAAACTCACATTATAGCAATATAACAAATCAAAAATTATTCACAAAAAAAACAGAAAAGACTATTACCTCATTCATTCCGCAAAATCACAAGCACCTACCATTTCCACTACCTCATTCATTTCTCAAAATCATCACAGTCAATCATCACACCCTCATTGATTTTCACAAAATCATCACAACTAATCATGTCATCATCTTGTTCATTCCACTAAATCATAACCATCAATGAATGAGGTAGTGGAAATGGTAGGTGCTTGTGATTTTGCGGAATGAATGAGGTAATAGTCTTTTCTGTTTTTTTTTTATGAATAATTTTTGATTTGTTATACTGCTATGATGTGAGTTTAGAAAACTTCTGTGAATATACCTTTTTAATATTTTTTTGGTGACCCCTGAGATCCCCGAGAGGTGCAGATAGCTTGCGGATGCATCCGCAAGCTAGGGAAGAACCCACTACTGTAATTACTGTAATTAGGTTGTCTGAAAATCACTGAGCTATACTGGCTCCATGCACATGACTGGCGAGATCAGGGCAGCAACAAGTTCTGTGAGCACCATGATGCGCGTCCCTCACAAGGCAAGGATTGTCAGGGGGCTTTGAGAGAGGATGCTGAAATGTTGGCCTTGCTCTCATAGAAATCCAGTTATATCATATCAGTTAGGCAGGAAGCAGATTTTGATAGATTTTGTTTTGACGCTCTTAGTATGTCTTGGTTGGTCGCGATGGCAGAAGCAGCTGCACATCCAGCGCCAGGTGGTCTCAGTCACACTTTCACATCCAGCCGAGCCGCGACTTTTGTCCACAGAGGACGGCACAGCTTGTTATGTGTTGCAGCCATGGGTGCCGCATCCCCAAACAGAAGATAGCGCTAAAAATAAGCAAAGCTTTAAAGAACCCGTTGCTCAGTCACATATTATAATGATGATGCGAGACACGTCCTTTGGTGTGGGAGAATAGCCATACTGACAACGCATTAGGATGCATTAGGCATAATGTGTGTCAACTGCCTTTTGTACCTATGTCAATGTGCAACACGCATTGAGTAGTAGGACCTGAAACTTCCTAAAGATCAAGAAAAGAAAGATGCCGAGATGCAGCAGTATGTGAGAAAATGAATGGGCCGTTTCATGCTAGCTACTCCCTGCTACCCGGTTCCACGCACACAAACGCTTGATCTTGTTCAGGAGGCAAGTGAGCGTGCTGAAAAGGGTTCCAAATTCAACATAGTGGCAGAGGCGTTGGCTCGGTGAAGGGACGCCAATATTCCATGTTAATCCGTACCTGATAAAAGTCCTGAATCTCACCCCCATGTCATGTGCTAGGTGTCGTCTCCTCCGGAAGAAGCAATGAAAGCAGCTATGGGTGTGACCCTTACGGGTATGGTCAAAGGAAGTTTGAAAGTCTAACTTCCGTGTAACGGATTTTTACAAGTCACAACTACCACTATCACGATATCATACGATATCACCACTATCACAACATCACCGCTATCGCAATATCACCACTATAACAATATCACCATTGTCACGACACCACCATTATCACAATATCACCACTATCACAAGATCACCACTATCAAAACATCACAATATCACTACTATCACCATTTCACCACAATCACAACACAATATCACCATTATCACAAGATCACCACTATCAGAATATCACCACTATCACAATATAACCACTATCACAATATCACCACTATAACAATATCACCATTGTCACAACATCACCATTGTCACAACATCACCACTATCACAACATCACCACTATCACAATATCACCAATATCACAATATCACCATTATCACAACATCACCACTATCACAACATCACCACTATCACAATATCACCACTATAACAACATCACCTCTATCACAATATCACCACTATCACAATATCACCACTATCAAAACATCACCACAATACCACTACTACTACTATCACCATTTCACCACAATCACAATATCACCACCATCACAACATGACCACAATATCACTACTACTAACACAATATCACCACAATCACAATATCACATAATATCACCACAATCACAACATAAACACTATCACAATATCACCACTATCAAAAAATCACCACTATCACACAATCACCACTATCATCAAAGGAAGTGTGAAGGTCTAACTTCCGTGTTACGGATCTTTGGAATGTCACAGAACAGGTTGTCAGAGCAAAGAGATGTCAAAGCAAAGAAGCAAAGGCATGTCAAAGCAAAGGGGTGTCAGAGCAAAGGGCTGTCAGAGCAAAGGCATGTGAAAGCAAAGGCATGTCGAAGCAAAGGCATGTCAAAGCAAAGGCATGTCAAAGCAAAGGTATGTCAAAGCAAAGGCATGTCAAAGCAAAGGGATGTCAGAGCAAAGGGCTGTCAGAGCAAAGGCATGTCAAAGCAAAGGCATGTCGAAGCAAAGGCATGTCAAAGCAAAGGCATGTCAAAGCAAAGGGGTGTCAAAGCAAAGGGATGTCAAAGCAAAGGCATGTCGAAGCAAAGGCATGTCAAAGCAAAGGCATGTCAAAGCAAAGGCATGTCAAAGCAAAGGGGCGTCAAAGCAAAGGGGTGTCAAAGCAAAGGGATGTCAGAGCAAAGGGATGTCAGAGCAAAGGGATGTCAAAGCAAAGGGATGTCAGAGCAAAGGGCTGTCAGAGCAAAGGGATGTCAGAGCAAAGGGATGTCAAAGCAAAGGCATGTCAAAGCAAAGGGCTGTCAAAGCAAAGGGGTGTCAAAGCAAAGGGATGTCAAAGCAAAGGCATGTCAAAGCAAAGGGATGCCAAAGCAAAGGGATGTCAGAGCAAAGGGCTGTCAAAGCAAAGGGATGTCAAAGCAAAGGGATGTCAAAGCAAAAGGACGGGAAGTCTCCCACGAAAGCTCCAAGTTTTCACATCTTCCACTTTCACTTTTGGAGGGAAGTCTCGCACGAAAGCTTTTTTTCACATCTTCCACTTCCACTTTTGGAGGGAAGTCTCGCACGAAAGCTTCGTTTTCACATCTTCCACTTTCACTTTTGGAGGGAAGTCTCGCACGAAAGCTTTTTTTTCACATCTTCCACTTTCACTTTTGGAGGGAAGTCTCGCACGAAAGCTTTTTTTTCACATTTTCCACTTTTACTTTTGGAGGGAAGTTGCGCACGAAAGCTTCGTTTTCGCATCTTCCACTTTTACTTTTGGAGGCGTGTCTCGCACGAAAGCCCCGCTTTCACATTTGCCACTAAATTTCACTTTTTGAGGGAAGCCTGGCACGAAAGCTGTGTTTGCACATCTTTCACTTTCACTTTGCGAGGGAAGTCTCGCAGGAAATGCCTTTTTGAGAGTTAGCAGATGCACGAAATGCTGTGTTTGCAGGACAAAACGTGTCCCGGAAGATGGATGGGGAAGCGTGTCCGGCGGGCGGGTCCGGACGGCCTCGGCTGTACCGGGATCATTCTCGGATCGCCAGGCGTCGTTTTGCCGACGTTCTTGCGCGTAGTTCTATGATGTTCTATGATGTTTTGCAACTCAGTCTCCGCAGATCGCACTATAATGGCTGCGTCTAGGTTGCTTGGTGCCGCAGCTGCGTGTGTAATACTATTGTCTTTATGCAGCTGGACATCGTAAATCGTATTGGAGTGGCTGCATCAATGTTGCGATAGTGATTTGTCAGCAGGTTTTCTCAATTTTGGCGCTGGTGGTTTTCCTTTTTAAAATATCTTTTAAAAAGTGTTTTCACGAAAGCCAGCCGCTAGGCTAGGCGCAGTTATTTTTGCGAACAAAGTGAGTTAAGGGGGTCTGGGGGCAGAGCGCCCCGAGAGGGACAAAAATGAGGAAATTAGGTGGTAAAAAAGGTGGCCACAGGTAAACTTTTTTAGGGTTATGTATACCAGGTGGCAATTGGGTGACGTTGGGGTATCGATTCCCCCCTGGTCCGCCCTCCGAGGTGGATCTGGGCAGATTGCAATGGAGGGGGAAATGATGAGAAAAACAATAGAAAAAATGAGGGAATATGACATAAAACAATGGGAAAAAATGGGAAAGGAGGGGAAAATGATGAGAAAAACAATGGAAAAAAGGAGGGACTTCGACATAAAACAATGGAAAAAAAATGGGAAAGCAATGGAAAATTTGAGTAGAACGCTTGGAAAATTGATTAAAACGCGAGGCGAAACGGTGGAAAGAATAGGGAGAGGGTAAAATGATGCCAAGTAAAATTGAAGCTCCGATGTGGGACCATTATCTTGTAAAGCACGCGTGAAACAATGGAAAAGCAATGGAAAAATTGAAGTTTCGATGTGTGACCACTATGGAGTAGAAGCACAGAAAAAAAACCATGGAAGAAACGAGCAAAACCGTTTTTACGGTGCAACTGTAGGGATTGTGGAAGGTGCATTTGGGTAAGCGTTAGACACACTGAGATAATAGAAGGGTAATGATGGAGAAACGTAAGAATGGAAGAGAATGGAATAGAGTGGACAAACAAAGCCAGCTTTCTCCATCCAACCCCAAAATACCCAGCTGGCCCAAAATACCCAGCTTTGTCGATACCCCTAAATGCCCAGCTTGGAGAAATCCTTTGGCTTTGGGACATGGGACAGCATGGGACCACTATCAAATGGAAAACTATCTCCATCCTACCCTAAAATACCCAGCTGCCCCAAAAATACCCAGCTCTGTCGACACAACAAAATACCCAGCTTGGAGTCTTTTTGTCGACATCCCTTGGCTTCGGGACATAGGACAGCATGGGACCACTATAAAATGGAAAACCACCCAAAAAAATACCCAGCTGCCCCAAAAATACCCAGCTCTGTCGATACAACAAAATACCCAGTTTGGAGTCTTTTGTCGACAGGCCTTGGCTTTTGGACATGATAGCATGGGACCACTATAAAAATATTTTTCTCCATCCTAACCTAAAATACCCAGCTGCCCCAAAAATACCCAGCTCTGTCGACACAACAAAATACCCAGCTTGGAGTCTTTTTGTCGACATCCCTTGGCTTTTGGGACATGGGACAGCATGGGACCACTATAAAATGGAATTTTTTTTCCATCCTACCCTAAAATACCCAGCTGCCCCAAAAATACCCGGCTCTGTCGACACAACAAAATACCCAGCTTGGAGTCTTTTTGTCGACATCCCTTGGCTTTTGGGACATGGGACAGCATGGGACCACTATAAAATGGAATTTTTTTCCATCCTACCCTAAAATACCCAGCTGCCCCAAAAATACCCGGCTCTGTCGACACAACAAAATACCCAGCTTGGAGTCTTTTTGTCGACATCCCTTGGCTTTTGGGACATGGGACAGCACCACTATAAAATGGTGTTTTTTTTCCATCCTACCCTAAAATACCCAGCTGCCCCAAAAATACCCAGCTCTGTCGACACAACATAATACCCAGCTTGGAGTCTTTTTGTCGACATCCCTTGGCTTTTGGGACATAGGACAGCATGGGACCACTATAAAATGGAAAACTATCTCCATCCCACCCAAAAAAATACCCAGCTGCCCCAAAATACCCAGCTCCGTCGATACCAGTCTTTTTGTCGACATCCCTTGGCTTTTGGGACATGGGACAGCATGGGACCAATGGAAAACTACCAGAAAATAAGTCTTGGTCTTTGTGTCAGCATCCCTTGGCTTTGGGACGTCCCGGGCTAAAGAAAAATGTGGTGTCTTTGGGGCGATGATGGTGGGAGGATGTGGGGAGGCTGCGGCACTATAAAATGGAAACCCCCAACCCCCAGAAAATCCTACCAGGAAGGGCATGTAATCTCTATAAAATCAGAGCACCCAACCCCTCAAGAAACCATTCATTTTTGGATGTTGTAAGATACAGGGGGTTGGGGGTTCCTATTCTATAGTAGAAAGTTGGCTAGTTCCTTCATTTTAAGGCTAGGCTCCAGGGTACGTTGGGGCCTCCCATTTTATAGTGATGGAGGGTTTTGCAGTAAATTTGTAGCTGTAAATATTTGTTTTTTCAAATAATTTTCTTATTTTATAGAGGTGCACCTGTTTTGTGACCTTGGGTGTTTCCATTTTATAGAGGTCCCACTCCGGGGGGGATGGGTGCCCCCGTTTTAGTACTATAAAATGGGGGCACCCAACCCCCCCACTTAATCTAGTAGGGGATGTGAAAAGTATATGGGTGAAAAGTACGTGCAGGAAGAGTTTCTGGGTGAAAGTATATGGGTGAAAAATATGTGCAAGAAAAGTTTCTAGGTGAAGAGTCTCTGGGTGAAAAGTATATTGGTGAAAAGTATGTGCAAGAAGAGTTTCTGGGTGAAAAGTTTCTGGGTGAAAAGTATATGGGTGAAAAGTATGTGCAAGAAGAGTCTCTGGGTGAAAAGTATATGGGTAAAAAGTATATGGGTGAAAAGTAAAATTGAGGCTCCGATGTGGGACCATTATATGTGCAAGAAGAGTTTCTGGGTGAAGAGTCTCTAGGTGAAAAGTATATGGGTGAAAAGTTTGAGCAAGAAGAGTTTCTGGGTGAAGAGTCTCTGGGTGAAAAAGGCGTGAACAGTATATTGGTGAAAAGTATGTGCAAGAAGAGTTTTCTAGGGGGAAGAGTCTCTGGGTGAAAAGTATATGGGTGAAAAGTAGGTGCAAGAAGAGTCTTTGGGTGAAAGATCTGGGTGAAAAATATGTGCAAGAAAAGTTTCTAGGTGAAGAGTCTCTGGGTGAAAAGTATATGGGTGAAAAGTATCTCTGGGTGCAGAGTCTCTGGGTGAAAAGTATATGGGTGAAAGTATGTGCAAGAAGAGTTTCTAGGTGAAGAGTCTCTGGGTGAAAAGTATATGGGTGAAAAGTATGTGCAAGAAGAGTTGGGTGAAAGTGGGTGCAAAGATCTGAAACGTTTGTGCAAGAAGAGTCTCTGGGTGAAAAGTATATGGGTGAAAAGTATGAGCAAGAAGAGTTTCTGGGTGAAGAGTCTCTGGGTGAAAAGTCTGTGCAAGAAGAGTTTCTGGGTGAAGAGTCTCTGGGTAAAAAGTATATGGGTGAAAAGTATGTGCAAGAAGAGTTTCTGGGTGAAGAGTCTCTGGGTGAAAAGTATATGGGTGAAAAGTAGGTGCAAGAAGAGTCTTTGGGTGAAAGTATATGGGTGAAAAATATGTGCAAGAAAAGTTTCTGGGGAAGAGTCTCTGGGTGAAAAGTATATTGGTGAAAAGTATGTGCAAGAAGGTTTCTGGGTGAAGAGTCTCTGGGTGAAAAGTATATGGGTGAAAAGTATGTGCAAGAAGAGTTTCTAGGTGAAGAGTCTCTGGGTGAAAAGTATATGGGTAAAAAGTATATGGGTGAAAAGTATAAGAGCACGAAGAGTTTCTGGGTGAAGAGTCTCTGGGTGAAAAGTCTGTGCAAGAAGAGTTTCTGGGTGAAGAATCTCTGGGTGAAAAGTATATGGGTGAAATGTATGTGCAAGAAGAGTTTCTGGGTGAAGAGTCTCTGGGTGAAAAGTAGTATATGGGTGAAAAGTATGTGCAAGAAGAGTTTCTGGGTGAAAGTATATGGGTGAAAAATATGTGCAAGAAAAGTTTCTAGGTGAAGAGTCTCTGGGTGAAAAGTATATTGGTGAAAAGTATGTGCAAGAAGAGTTTCTGGGTGAAGAAGTCTCTGGGTGAAAAGTATATGGGTGAAAAGTATGTGCAAGAAGAGTTTCTGGGTGAAGATCTGGGTGAAAAGTATATGGGTGAAAAGTATGTGCAAGAAGAGTTTCTGGGTGAAGAGTCTCTGGGTGAAAAGTATATGGGTGAAAAGTATGTGCAAGAAGAGTTTCTGGGTGAAGAGTCTCTGGGTGAAAGAGTTTATGGGTGAAAAGTATGTGCAAGAAGAGTTTCTGGGTGAAGAGTCTCTGGGTGAAAAGTATATGGGTGAAAAGTATGTGCAAGAAGAGTTTCTGGGTGAAGAGTCTCTGGGTGAAAAGTATGTGCAAGAGAGTTTCTGGGTGAAGTCTCTGGGTAAAAAGTATATATGGGTGAAAAGTATGTGCAAGAAGAGTTTCTGGGTGAAGAGTCTCTGGGTGAAAAGTCTGTACAAGAAGAGTTTCTGGGTGAAGAGTCTCTGGGTGAAAAGTATATGGGCGAAAAGTATGTGCAAGAAACAAAATTGGGTGAAGAGTCCCTTTGTGAAAAGTATATGGGTGAAAAGTCTGTGCAAGAAGAGTTTCTGGGTGAAAAATCTCTGGGTGAAAAGTATATGGGTGAAATGTATTGAAGAGTCTCTGGGTGAAAAGTATGGTGGAAAATAGGGGTAGATGGGATGCTGGCTTTCGTTCCCCCCTTCTCAGGTAATCTTTTGTTTGCTTCGGCGCTGAGATCCGGTTTTCGAGCTGCAATTTCTCACACCTTTGTGCGAAAAGGCTTGTATGCGTAAAAGCTTCTGTGTCTAAAAGCTTTCTTGTGTAAAAGCTTCTCTGTGTAAAGGCTTTTCTGTGTAAAAGCTTGCTGTGTATAGAGGCTTCTGTGTGTAAAAGCTTCTGTATGTAAAAGCTTCTCTGTGTAAATGCTTCTCCGTGTAGGGGCATGTAAGGGCTTCTCTGTGTGAAAGTTTGCTGTGTGTAAAAGCTTCTGTGTGTAAAGCTTCTCTGTGTAAAGGCTTCTGTGTAAGGGCTTCTCTGTGTGAAACCTTGCTGTGTGTAAAAGCTTCTCTGTGTAAAGTTAGGCTTCTCGATGTAAAAGTTTCATAAAGTTTCTGTGTGTAAAAGCGTGCTGTGTGTAAAATCTTCGCTGTGTCAAGGCTTCTCTGTGTAAAAGCTTCTGTGTGCAAAAGCTTCTGCATGCATAAGTTTGCTGTGTGTAAAAGCTTGCTCTATGTAAAAGCTTGTTGTGAGTAAAAGCTTCCGTGTCTCTGTGTACAAGCTTCCCTGTCTCTGTGTTGAAGCTTGCGTGTCTCTGTGTATAAGCTTTTGTGTGTACAAGCTCTTGCTGTGTGTAAAGGTTCTCTGTGTCAAATCTTCTCTGTGGAAAGCGTAGGGGTCGCTTGCTTTGGCACCGAGATCCTTGTTTTGGGCAGGTTTTGGGGCCAGAGAAGGGCTGAGATGATTTGAGAGTGCGCTGAGAAGAGCTGAGAAGAGCTGAGATGAGGTGAGACGAGCTGACAAGAGGTGAGATCAGTTGAGGAGATGTGAGAAGAGCTCAGAAGATGTGAGAAGAGGAGAGAGATGGTGAGAAGACAAAAGACGAGCTGACATGAGCTGCGGAGAGCTTAGCAGAGTTGAGGGCTGTTAAAATTTGAGAAAAGCTGTGAGAAGATGAGAAGAGATGAGAAAGGCTCAGGTGACATGAGATGAGAAGCGGACAGCTGTGACCAGCTGAGAAGAGCTGAGCAAGGGAGAGAAGACGTGAGATGGGATGAGATGAGATGAGGTGAAAAAAGTTGAGAAGACGTGAGATGAGATGAGATGAGATGAGATGGGATGAGGTCAGGTGAGATGAGAAAAGATTCAACATTCAAAAGACATGGCATCAGATTGACAAGTCAAGAGCTTGTTGCTGCGAAGCACAGACGGCTTGGCCGTCACCTGTAGGCAGAGTCTTTGCCCCGCTCTATAGGCTATAAGCGTTTCAATGTTGAAACTTCCGCCCACGGCTTGCCCGGGAACTACTTGTATGTGCGTATCCGAGTATATATGTTGATATCTTTGGTCTGAATTCATCCTAAACCACCAGGTTGGCCGGAGGAGGCACATACAGTATATAGATGTACTGATAACTTGTGAATGCGGATTCAGATGACTTTATCTGGCCCTCGTGATGGACTATGGATGATTAACAGATCCTTCTGATATAACTTATGATAACGAACCATGCAAGATCAATACCAGCAGACAACCTAGCCACTGCTAGCACGCTCAATGATTAAACAACTTTGGGCCATATCTAGAGCTAAAGATACTTGGGTTTAGCTAAACAATGGCGTCCCCATGAGACCACAGAAATGGTTTGCTCCAGCCATGTTTCTCTTGATTAAGATCAAGACTTTTGAGCCATACCAGTTGTGCTGGCAAAAGCTGAGCCATCGAGGCCCCAACTTCCTCAAGGATTTCCAACAGCAGGCCTGGGGATCCCGGGCCCGTTACCACAGAAATGCTGTGTTAAAAAACATGGTTCAATCGGATCACCTGTATATAAACTAGGCTAAATTGTGAAAAAAATAGGGACAAGGCTTAGAGAGTCATACGCATATGTTTTATAATCATACACACACATTTAATCACACACACACACATATATTTATATGGGTTGGCGCAAAAAGGGCGGTTAGGGTTTTAGTCTTCAGGAGGTCGAAATTGTTTTTTTGTTTTTTAGTCTATCGTACAAGGCGGGCCCCAGCCTGAATGACGTTATTCACCAGTTTAGTACAAGTTTAGTACTACTAGTACTACTAGTACAACTAGTACAAATAGTACTACTAGTACTACTAGCACTACTACTTCTACTAGTACTACTAGTACTACAAGTATATACTACTCGTACTATTCGTACTACTTTTACTACTAGTACTACTCGTACTACTCGTACTACTCTTACTACTAGTACTGCTAGTACTACTAGTACTACTACTTTTACTAATACTACTAGTACTACTAGTACTACTAGTACTACTAGTACTACTACTACTAGTACTGCTAGTACTGCTACTACTACTAGTACTACTAGTACTACTAGTACTACTAGTACTACTAGTACTACTAGTACTACTAGTACGACTAGGACTACTAGCACTACTAGCACTACTACTTCTACTAGTACTATTACTTCTACTAATTAGTACTATTACTTCTACTAGTACTACTAGTACTACTACTTTTACTTCTACTAGTACTACTAGTACTACTAGAACCATGCCAATAATTGACATGGCCGCGCGGATTGCGCGGATGTTATAAGGTCAGAAGGACATTCTAGTTAGCTTGGAGGAGCTCAGGTGACTACTACTACTACTACTACCACTACCACTACCACTACGACTACTACTACTACTGCTACTACTACTACTACTACAAGTGCTACTGCTACTGCTACTACTACTACTACTCCTGCTACTACTACTACTACTACTAGTAGCACTAGTACTAGTATTTCGGGTACCAGTAATGATATTACTTTGACGATCGCTAAAATTGTTCCTAGTTTGACTGCCCGTGCTGATTTTTTTGAAGTTGAAGAAGATTCCGGGAAAGGTCAGAAACAGGTCAGAAACAGGTCAGAAACACCAAAAAGGCAGCACTTGCCTAGCATCCATCCATCCATCCACCTCAGCTCTTATCATTGCTACTTCTACTATTACTATTACTAGCTACTACTACTACTACTGCTACGAGTACTACTACTACTGCTACTGCTACTAGTACAACTACTACTACTACTACTACTACTACTCCTGCTACTACTACTACTACTACTACTACTAGTAGTAGCACTAGTACTAGTATTTCGGGTACTAGTAATGATATTACTTCGACGATCACTAAAATTGTTCCTAGTTTGATTGCCCGTGCTGATTTTTTTGAAGTTGAAGAAGGCTCCGGGAAAAGTCAGAAACAGGTCAGAAACAGGTCAGAAACACCAAAAAGGCAGCACTTGCCTAGCATCCATCCATCCATCCATCCACCTCATCTCTTATCATTGCTATTTCTACTTCTACTATTACTGTTACTACTACTACTACTACAACTACTACTACTACTACTACTACAACAACAACTACTACTACTACTACTGCCACTACCACTACCACTACCACTACTACTACTACTACTACTACTACTACTACTACTACTAGTGCTACTGCTACTACTACTACTACTACTAGTGCTACTGCTACTACTACTACTACTACTACTCCTGCTACTACTACTACTACTACTACTCCTGCTACTGCTACTGCTACTACTACTACTACTACTACTACTAGTAGCACTAGTACTAGTATTTCGGGTACTAGTAATGATATTACTTCGACGATCACTAAAATTGCTCCTAGTTTGATTGCCCGTGCTGATTTTTTTGAAGTTGAAGAAGGCTCCGGGAAAAGTCAGAAACAGGTCAGAAACAGGTCAGAAACACCAAAAAGGCAGCACTTGCCTAGCATCCATCCATCCATCCATCCACCTCATCTCTTATCATTGCTATTTCTACTTCTACTATTACTGTTACTACTACTACTACAACTACTACTACTACAACAACAACAACTACTACTACTACTCCTCCGACATCTGCTACTGCTGCTACTGCTGCTACTGCTGCTACTGCTGCTACTGCTGCTACTACTACAACTACAACAACAAGAACAATAACAAGAACAACTACTACTACTACAACTACTACTACTACTACTACTGCTACTACTGCTACTACTGCTACTACTGCTACTACTAGTACTAGTACTAGTACTAGTACTAGTACTAGTACTAGTACTAGTAGCACTAGTGCTAGTATTTTGAGTACTAGTAATCATTTTACTTTGACTATTACTAACAGTGTTTCTCGTTTGGCTGCCCGTGCAAATTTTTTTGAAGTTGAAGAAGGCTCCGGGAAAGGTCAGAAACAGGTCAGAAACAGGTCAGAAACACCAAAAAGGCAGCACTTGCCTAGCATCCATCCATCCATCCACCTCATCTCTTATTATTGCTACTTCTACTTCTACTATTACTATTACTACTAACCTGAATGTCCTTCTGACCTGAATTCGCGCGGCCATGTCAATTATTGGCATGGTTCTGGTCTCAATCGTAAACGAATATAATATATTTATCTATATTGTAAATCTGATCAAGTCCGTATCTTATCTTCAAGAGGATGCTTGCAAAAAAAACGAATGTAAATGGTTGGATGCTAGGCAAGTGCTGCCTTTTTGGTGTTTCTGACCTGTTTCTGACCTTTCCCGGAGTCTTCTTCAACTTCAAAAAAATAAGCACGGGCAGCCAAACGAGAAACACTGTTAGTAATAGTCAAAGTAAAATGATTACTAGTATTCGAAATACTAGTACTAGTGCTACTAGTACTAGTACTAGTACTAGTAGTAGTAGTAGTAGTAGTAGTAGTAGTAGTAGTAATAGTAGTAGTAGTAGTTGTTGTTGTTGTTCTTGTTCTTGTTATTGTTGTTGTAGTTGTAGTAGTAGCAGCAGCAGCAGCAGTAGGACTAGTAGTAGTAGTAGTAGTAGCAGTAGTAATAGTAGTAGAGTAGTAGTAGTAGTAGTAGTAGTAGTGGTAGTAGTGGTAGTAGTAGTGGTAGTAGTGGTAGTAGTGGTAGTAGTAGTAGTAGTAAGTGTAGTAGTAGTAGTAGTAGTAGTTGTAGTTGTAGTAGTAATAGTAGTATTAGTAGTAGTAGTAGTGGTGGTAGTAGTAGTAGTGGTAGTACCTGTTGTTGTTGTTGTTGTTGTAGTTGTAGTTGTAGTTGTAGCAGCAGTAGCAGCAGTCGGAGTAGTAGTAGTAGTAGTAGTCGTCGTCGTAGTAGCAGTAGTAGTAGTAGTAGTAGAAGTAGTAGAAGTAGTAGAAGTAGCAATAGTAGCAATAGTAGCAATAGTAGCAATAGTAGCAATAGTAGCAATAATAATAGTAGAAGTAGAAGTAGCAATGATAAGAGATGGATGCTAGGCAAGTGCTGCCTTTTTGGTGTTTCTGACCTGTTTCTGACCTTTCCTTCTTCAACTTCAAAAAAATTTGCACGGGCAGCCAAACGAGAAACACTGTTAGTAATAGTCAAAGTAAAATGATTACTAGTACTCGAAATCCTAGTACTAGTGCTACTAGTACTAGTACTAGTACTAGTACTAGTACTAGTACTATTAGTAGTAGTAGTAGTAGTAGTAGAAGTAGTAGAAGTAGTAATAGTAATAGTATAAGTAGAAGTAGCAATGATAAGAGATGAGGTGGATGGATGGATGGATGCTAGGCAAGTGCTGCCTTTTTGGTGTTTCTGACCTGTTTCTGACCTGTTTCTGACCTGTTTCTGACCTGTTTCTGACCTTTCCCGGAGCCTTCTTCAACTTCAAAAAAATAAGCACTGGCAGTCAAACTAGGAACAATTTTAGGGAAAAGGCTGAGGCTATTAAGCCACCTTGATTTTTTTAAAAAAGAGGACATGTGAGAAATGAATTCGCCAAAAGGCGGGCCCCAGGCAGAACGCGAATTTCGACCGCTTTCGGGAACCAACATTTTGCAAACACCCATATATATATATGCGTATATATAATTATATATATTATTATATATATTATATATATACATATATATATATTTATTTATATTAGTATACATACCTTGCACACACACATATTATACTAATTATGTTATACGATGATAATACATATTTACATATACGGACAACGCACATGCATGCATGCTCCGAAAGACAGGAGTTTTCACACTTTTCGCCTGAATGGCTGGCCAGGTTTCTGCCGCACTGATTCAGGAAGGTGCAGAGGCCGGTACAGGCACGCCAAGATTGATTTGGGTTTGTCCAAGAATTGGCAGCACTCCACGCTGCCCTGTTTTATACAATTAGGGTCACCGCAAGATTTGGGGACATTTTTTTCAATCAAACCCTTTCTGTTTATTTGGTTTGATGGTTTGAACAAATTTTAATATTTTTGATTTGTTTGTTCGAGTATGTGTTTTATTGTTTTTCATCACTACGTGGCATGATGATCCCCGCTGACATCCACTGCCGATATATTTCTTCGGTTTGATACACTTGCCCAGCAATGCAGTTGTATTCCTGCTTTCTGTTTTGTCACAACGGCACTCAGAATTTGGTTTGGAATCCATGGACAGACTTCCGTGCAGATCTTGGAGCCAGTTGTCAGGAAATTTTCATCAGATTGCAGCTTTTGACATTCCGGTTCTTGAAGAGAAGAGCAGCTTGGATGTGGAGGCACGTTTGATGAGACAGCTGTCGGTTTGTCACTTGTGTAAGCCTCGGACTCTCTGACACAACATGAACAGACTTGTTTCAAATGTTGTAGGTTTGAAAGGGCCAGAGCCATTGTTTGCTGTTTGCATCCTTTTTTTTGCAGTCCATCCATCAATTGATACTAGTAGCGAGGAAGCGCTTCTCCAGTGTTTTAAAGATGCTGCGCCATCCCCTCCACTTGTTGAAGCCTCGTGTTGCGGGATGCTGCCAAAAGGGTCGATTTCTTTGGTAGCATAACGTCATCTAATGTCAGTTAGTGAACAGTCCGGGCTACACAATGCCAAGTTCAACCTCATTTCTCACTATTTTGCTCCACGGCCTAAGTATAGAGCTTTCGGGAGTAATGTAGCATCAAGGCCTTGTAACATGTTCTCCGCATTTCCTGGCTACCGTTCAACAGGAATTTCAAAGCGCGGGCTTTGGTACGTTATGTGCTTCAAACAGGCACTGCTGCGTGGGGGCATTTAGCATGGGTGTGATTTTCGGGTGTCCAGATGGCTTTGGATTTGCTTGCCTTTGACTGACTTCATGTCTTAAGCCTGAATCCTAGAACCAAGGGGTTTTGGACCTTTCTTTGGCGATTCCAACGAGTCATGCATAGTTTGCTTTGGTGCTTTAGTGTGCCTTAGCTTTTCTGCAGATGCGGTCCCCTGCGGCGTGTGCCTCCCCAGCCAGGATACAGACCTTATAGATCCTTACAGCAACTATCTGCCAAAATTATCAGCCTTCAATTTCATTTACACAGTGTCATAGCATCGCGTGAGCAATGCAGGGGAAAGACGCTGCAGCCTGGAGATGTTGAAGTTTGAGCCTAAGCTGTTCGCAACAACAAACGGTTGGCATTTGGTGACGCGCTGGGCAATGCTGGGCAAACGATGTCAGGATGATCATAGAGAAACAGTTTCAAGTTTAAAGGTGAACGCCATCTTTCCTCCTGAGGTTTTCATTCATCCCAGTCCTTGCAGATCATTATATCATATTCATTAGGTTTAGCTGTCCCACAATGTCCTAAACAGAACAGGCTACGGCTATGGTCGATAAATATGGCATGATATGGCATGAGATTACGCAAGAAAAAAGGCAGCTTGACAGGGGCAGGGTGCGGCAAAGCTAGGGGCCCCGCAAATCGAAAAGGACCGAACCAGATTGAACCATAGTATCGCGACTCTTTGCACGTATCGAACTGCTAGCATATATTCCTTGTGTGTGTTTTCGAAATATACGTTCATCAGAAGTTCATCGTTCAAACATGTACCTTTGAATGGCGTTTACTGATGTTTACTGTGTATCCCCAAGGGTTCCGGGGTGCCCTCATCATTCTTCATCCGAGCCCGCAGCGCCCCACGTCACTTCAGGCGAAGGAAGTGGTATCGTTGAGAGCATGCGCGCGAGCATGTAAGGCTACGGCAGGTGCCATCGGATGCCATCGGAGGGTCCCGAAAATCCCAGGAACCTTAGTGCAACAAGAGCAAAGGCATGCAAAGGCATGCAAAGGCATGCACAGGCATGCAAAGGCATGCAAAGGTAGCAAAGGTAATAGCTTTAATAGCAGTATCTAGCACCCAAAGATGCATGTACACCATGTAATAGCGATATCACAACATATCATGGCGTATCATGTCATATAATCGCTAGCGCTCATCATTGCGACACCATCATTATAGCCGTACTAGAGTTTGGTTGATCAACATTGACATGTCTGCCAACAGAACTGACACAATTCGACATAGCAGCCTCTGTGTGGCACGTTTTGTTTGGGAGCAGGTTGTGCAGGCTTCCAGTTTGGCCATGCGCACAACACCTGCCAACTGTGGAAGACCGGCATTTGCAGAAGTGAGGCAGGGAGCAGAAATTCATAGTTAGAGTATTCCCAAGTTTCAAGCCTGAAAGCTGTATTGAACATGATGAGAAATGGTATGCGAATGATCCAGGATGCTTCAGCACATGCATTGGATGCGCTATGTGACGCTGCCGTTTATCCAGGATCAGCATAGCTGTTCAGCAGTGGTTGGGCTCGACCTGCCATGGGCGTCTAGACCGTGAACCCACATCGATCTGGAGTGGTGACCCGCCTTGAGAGTGAAACTAACACTTGGGCGAGTCGAAAGCACCAAGTCTATCAAGTTGATCAGCAGGATTGCTCAGACCAACGAAGTCTGGATCCCAAGTTGCTGCATTGTACATTAGTTTTGTTTGCTGAAACTGCGAGCTGGCGACCACCACTTCTAGCTGTGTCGAACGCATGCTTTTTCTGGCCAAGAGGCGTCACGGCAGTGCCTGGGAGGATCCAGCCCCGCTACCGAAACGTCGTGCGCCAGTTCGGGACGCGGCACCCTGGAGCCTGTGGAACTATGGCTGGGGCTGGCCAGGGGCCTGGGACTGGCCAGGCTGGGAAGCTGCAGAAGCTGCGGAAAAGCCAAAGAAAATTCGAAAAAACACGGTGAAAGACAATGAGAGCACTGAGACTGGCAAGACATCAAGGAACTCCAGCCAACCAGTTGCGCAATCAGCTTTGCCCACGCCTGCCATACCTGCCGGGACCACCCTGCCTCCGACCCAGAGATTCTCTGGCGTAGTCAACGCCGTTGAGCCCAAGAGTGGGAATTTGTTAATTGACTGCGCAGCGATTACCCAAGTCTTCGGGCGCCCACCCCTAATTCGACCAAGCGAAAATCGTATGAATGCCAGAGTGGGCTCAATGGTGGTGTTTGGGCTGCAGCCAGGTGATATACCTGTGGCCACTGACATTGTCATCAATGGCTTTGATTCAGACATTGGCTTGCGTGATGATCCCGTACGGGATGACAATTGTGGTGAGGTGGCTGGCCTTCTGCCCGGCCAAAGACCAGTGTACGGCACGTGGAAAGGGAAAAAAGGCGGTGAGAAAAGTTTCGGAAAAGACAAGGGCAAAGAATGCAAAGGCAAGGATGGCAAGGGCAAGAATGATATGCCGAGTCTGACTGGTAAGGCCTATGCAAAAGGATCCTTCAACGACTCCCTTTGGGGACCCAAAGGCAGAGGAAAAGCCTCAGCTCGCGGCTCCAACGATTCCATTGTCCATCCGTGGTCGACCTGAGTGCAGCTCTTTTGGGGCAAAAGAAATGATGCTGCTGCTTACATTTGTGGCATCCCGAATCCATCAGAATTCTATATTGTACATGTGTAGAAGTATCATGTGTATAGATTATAGTTAATATATGTTATAATAATATAATTATATATTATATTATATATTATATTATATACACGTGAATAGATATATATATATATTGTATATATAATATGTGTGTGTGTTAATATATTTAGTAGCTCTATATATGCAGAAGTATTTGTAGAATTGTTCCCAACTAATTAATTGGTTGCCGCCGCATGGCACAAGCAATCAAATTGTGTCAAATTGTGAAGTACTGGCCTGAGTTCTTTTGGACAGGCGTGCTGGTGAATTCCCATCATGCTGCCACGGAACAATTAGCATCAATTAGCCAAATTATCCGAATACAAAAGCATCAAAAGATATCAAAGGCAAACATTTGCTCCGTTTTCTGACGGTTTTCTGGAGGTTTTCAGAATGTTTCAGATGTTTCTCTTGGTCTTGACAAAGCGTCAGGAATCCGTCGGTCCCGAGAAGATGGAGTGCTTCCGGAAATGCGCCTGATAGATCCTGATACGACTGATTCGAGGCGAAGCCTCTTTTCATAGCGGTGTGTTTAAGGAGGAAGTTTCACCACTGCCAGAAATGCTGAATCTGTAGCAAGATCATCCCAAAAGCTCCCAGAAGTCGTTTTACGTGTTTCTACATTTTTTACAACAGTATCAACAGTTATACTTTGTTAATGTTCCGTGAGCTCAACCAAATACGTAGCTGGATGCGTTCAGCTCACAAATTCCGCTTCGCACGTCCTGGTCAAAGTGCATCAAGGTGGAAGTTTCAATGGATTCTTGTGCGGGACACACTTCATATTCGCAACTCTGGCCAAGTACACTGGAGAAGCAGCAGCACGATCTGAATGCGGTTAGGTCCGAAATCCTTGTTCAGATCCGGCCAGCGATCAGTTTTCACTCATGCAGCATGCTCTTTGATTGCTATGATGATGACATTATGATACTTATTGGGATACTTATTGATACTTTATGTTTGGACGGCACAGATTGTGAGAAAACGGGAGGCCAATGAGCTCCCCTTAGGTCTTCGCGTTAATGCGCTGGAGCCTGGAGCCGTCGGGAAAGGTCAGGAAAACGAATGGTGCAGGGCCAGTCCAGGGATGTCCAGGGTCTTTGGATATCTTTGGCGTATTTTGGCGTGCCTTCAACATAGACTAGACTCAGTATGACTCAGTAGAATTTTGGCAGACGAGCGTAGACATGTCTGATGGAAAAGAAGCCAGATTAATTTAATTAGCAAGAGAGATGGTCAGAGAATTTAGGGAGCCTTGGCACAAAGGCAGCATTGCTGTATGTGCTTCTTAAGCTTCGAGATTGCATGTGGTGTAGTTTGCAAATGTTTGCAACTCCCTGGAGTGACAAAACACATGAAACTATGCATACTATGCGCGATGAGGACAAAAGGATGCGCAAAGCATCAGCATCGCCTCTGGTGGAGAAGGGCTTCGACATGGCCAATCATGGCCAGCAAATTTGGCGTGAGACGGCCAGTTGAAAAGAGCTCGAACAGGCTAGCGGCTAGCGGCGATTGACCTTCTGAAATGCATTCTGATAAAACACTGCTTCACAGAAATGAGCACGGAGTGGATTCAAGTCCTGGTATTAACATCTATCAACATCTAGACATTATTAACCACGAATCAATACTACTTGCAAAGTCTCAAGAATTTAGAGCTTCAATTTGGAAAGCAGCGATTTGGCAGGAATGTAGCAATGTAGAATTTCCAGCAGTGGCATCATGTCTAGGCAGACATCCGGTTCATCATTTCAAGCGTTGACTTCCAAATTCTGGCTCCAATAGCTAGAAATTATAGGTCGGCATTGCGGTTTAGGTGCTGCACACTGCAAAGATTGGCCTTACCTTTGCAGTTGGGCGCTTAGATGTCAGAGGAAAGCAATGTGCTTCTCTCATTTGCACCAAGAACACCCGAATTGCCAATCGAGTCACGTATGCTGTATGCTCCAGCGAAAATAAATCCGGACTGTTTGCTCACATCCAAGATTTGCAGAACAACACCAATTAGGCATTGTGACAAAGATGGAGTTCAGCATCTCATTCTGCCTTTGTTTGTCCTTCCAGCAACTGCTTGGTCATTGCGTCACTGCAGGTCGAAGCTGCTGTGTAGCTGGCGATGGCTGTAGCGGCTGGGTGCCTCAGGTTTCCTCAGGTGATGGATTGGTAGGCAGTGTGTCGGCGTCGGGTCTCCTGGGTGTTGAATGGTTCAAGAGGCATTTGTGGTGTGGTATGGTGTCGTGCAGCAGCCCAATGGAGACAGGGGGAGGGAATTGTAATATTGTACATGGCCAAGTTCCTTAAAGGTGATGAAACATCCCATCATTTTTATTGAAAAGACCAATGTCAAACTGTCAGTTTATTTTTAAACTGACTCAACATGTTCAAGAAAAGGATTGTCACGTCACGCTAACTCTCCCATTTCCATCCCCATTGAAATTTCCAAGTGACCCCAATTTTACTTGGTTTTTGTATTTTCTAGGCTTTTGACTGGGTCAGAACTTTTCTATCTAGAAAATGGGGGTCACTTGAGTGACCCCCTACAATGTCAATAGGGATCCATTTCCGTTGATCTCAATGATTCAAAACCCGCACAGGATGTGGCAGCCGATGCAGGGAAGCCTGCTGATGGTGGTGATCCGGGTGCTCATGGCTTCAGAATACATGCACTGTTATGAGAGAGAGAGAGAGACAGTGCTGCGGGCAATTGAACCATTGAACAGATGGAGACAGGAATGTCCATGCATGTCCATGCATAGCCAACAGGTGGCCAGGCCATTCGTTTCCTGTGATTACAATGTGTACTTGTTCAAGTGCTAGTGCTGTCCAGGCCATACTAAGATATACTAAGCCTGAAACCAACCATTGATGTAGAACTTGCAACTGCAAACTTAGACGAGATTGATTGATTGTAACTGTTACAAATGATGTGAGGTCATTGCCTGTATGCTGCATGCTAGTAGAACTAGTTGCGTTATTCGCCAATATTGCGGCACACCTGGTTTGATAGTGGAGAGGTTGGACCACTTTCCTGTGACGACATGCCGACATACCTGAATGATGAAACCCTTCCCGTAACCCATGATACACTGGCCTGTAAGTGTCAATGTCCAAATATGTCCAACTTCCGTTTAATGCTTCTAACACTTGCTCATTTTGTGCTGCTTAGATGCTAGGCTGTTTTTGGAGATTTTGCCAGGACGCTGGGCAAGTGAAACATGTTGTGTTTGCAGCACATGCTTCGCATTGCTTCGCTCAGAATGAATCGGATCAAATCTCTCCCCCGAATGGGGGCTTTGCAATGGCGGACAACTGCAGCCACAAAAGTGTGATTTGCAGGCTTGGCATATTTTGGCGTTATAGGATGTTATAGGATGTGGATGACGCTGGGGATGACTACATTTCCCTGTGAACGTTCCATGTTTCAAGGTTGTTCACGTTTTGCACCTCAATGGGCCGCTTTTTGTCAACTTTGGCTCCCATCTTTGTGTTGAGCATTTGTCTGTGGAGTGTTCCCAGTGGCATTGCGCGCCAATCTTTTTAAGCCTTCATCATGACATCAAGACCTGTTTGAGACTTGAGGACAACTTAATTATATAGTTGAGCGTTCCTTTCCTTTGCTGCCCCTGCAGGTTGTATTGCTACGGTTTCACTTTCAATGGACGGGGCAGAGTTAAAGGCTGAAGAAAAAGCAGATGGCGGCGCCAACGGCGACAGATTTCGTCAGGGCAGAAGGCGCGGGCAGCTATCAAATGGGCGTGTGACAAAGGCAGCATTTAGTTATTCATAATGCCCTCATTGCAACGTATGTTGCCAGGCGGATTGAATTTGGCGGGTTGGCAAAGCGGCAAATCTTTCCTAGCAACTATGTCCTGGACTCAGTCAGATCCCCTATATTTGCCTCTGAGGTTGCTTTACAGCAAGGTCTCAGGGCTCAGCAAAAGATGCAGATGCCGTATTGAATTTGATGATTTTTATGTTGATTACTTAGGTTAGGCGCCATTGTCATTGACAACTATATTAAATTATTAATATATATATATATAATATGTATATCAGAACTTAGTTTTGTTTTGTAGGCGAGAAGTGTTGGGAGCCGATGCAGACCAGAGCGTACCATGATGGGCCAAGGTGTCTACCACTCGCTATAAGTGGTGGACCATCATACCTCTGAATTTGTTCCTTGGAGTTTGGAAGATCATGACCGTTGTGAGCAGTGAGAACAGCCCTGATACTGGTACAGGTTGGCAAACTTTGCCCATGGATTGTGATTGGTGTAATTGACATTGATTGACCCAAGTGCTTTTGATTGGAGCAGGAAGTAGCGTATGCCTGCTACAGTGGTTTGGAGGGTTACGGCTTAGGAGGGTTGAAAACAACACAACACTCATTGATGCCGCCATCCAGTGGTTCAAGAAGGAAAATTTGAGACCAGTCTGCAGCTTGAGAGGTTCGAGCAGTTCCACCGGGTGGCGAACATTTGGTTCTTGATTGTCTCGGTGCTGCAGATGTTGCCCTTCAAGCGCCTTGGTTTAGCAACACTTCGGGCAGGGGCCTCGTTCAGACCCAAGCCGGAAGGTGTTGCATTTGAACGGATAGAACGACTAAGTTGGTGTCCATAAAGTTTAAAGCAGTTTGCTCAAGGCATGAGATACATTGAGATACTGCATATGCAGAGATGTTACCGGAATGACGGCATCATTTTGTATCAATGTTTGACTTTCTTTGATCTGATTTTCCAATTGATTGGCGGTCGGATTCTGTGGACTAGGTGGCCACAAGGTTCACAGTCCAGCCATGTCCAGCCTGTATGGTTTGCTCATGTTTGCTCAAGGATCTCTCCAACGACATCTTGGGCCACTCTGGTACCTTTGTGTGGTGTGCTGTTCGTGACCTTCTGCAAGGATGCTTATGAGGACTTCCCAAAGGGGCCCGTAGTTAGTGACCTCAATCTTGACCTAAAATGATATATATATATATAATATATATATACTGTATATATATATATATGTGTGTGTGTGTAAATTTATGTATATATATATATATTATATATATAAATGGATGTAAATGGCAGATGCTTGTCTTATGTGTTGACTCGATCCATGCAGATGCTGGTTTTCAATCTCCGTGCTGGGCCACACTCCACACAGGACTTGAAACGTTGGCGTGACGACTGTCGAGCAACCTGGCACGGCAAGTAGTGAGAAGCACTCAAGAAGTCATTCAGGTATCGATGGTACTCGTATCAAGAACATTGGCCGTAGTTTTTTCACCACCTCCAGCTCGCCACTGAGGTCAACAATCAAACTTGCAAAGTCTTTACAGGGGCAGAGGGACCCAATGCTTTTCGAAGCATCAAGCACCTCGGATCTTCTTTTACTCAGCTGCCGAAACTGGTTCAAATTTTCCAATCAAGAGTGAGCACAATGTAGCTGCCTTCTGAAGGTGAAGGGTGCCACAATGCACAACATCGCTGACCCTGACCCTGTTTACGTTGGTTGTGCCATGTTTTGCCATGTGAGTGCAGGTCACACTTTAAGACTCAGGCCATGAGGACCCATTGATTTATTATGATTTTTTTTTGAAGGATCCCATTTGTGGATCCCGGAGGGCCCCAATGCCATGAAACTTGTTGCCACAACAAGATTTTTCGACGCTGGTTGAGACTGAGTCGTTCCTGAGGTGGTCAGAGGTTCAAGTTGGAAATTTTGTGAAGCTGACTCGGGACCAACCGGTGCCGGCGGATCTCCTTCTGGTTTTTTCCACCCCAGGCGGGGTGCCAATCATCAAAGCAACAGATGGTACCAGTAACTCACAAATGGAGTTATATACACAAAATCCAGTGGTCAATGATCACGTTCAGCCTTCAAATTGCTTATTCAGTATGCTCTATTTAATTTGTAGGTTCCCGTGGGCTTAAACTACTATGTGAAAGAAAATTGTTTCAAGAGGATCGCAGGATCGCACTCTCAATCGCTTTTTCTACCGTTGATTCTCTGCAATTTCCATTTCAGAGAATCTGCATTTTTGATCATTTTTGCAGATAGGCAATCCAAAAGGCCATGGTTCGTTGACACAGAAGGATACCCAAGGTCCAAGAGGATATTGACTCAACTTGACTCAAGATGGTAGAGGTAGATAGAGGTAGCAGAGTCAGCAGAGGTAGAGATTGTTCCGCACAGTTGGCCTTCAAGGATCAAGACAAACCGATTCAAACAGAACGACCATAGAGAGTACGAGGAGATACGAGGAGATACGAGGAGATACGAGGAGATATAAGGAGCAAGAGTAGCACGTGGTGGTGAATGTTGATCATTGTTGATCATTGTTGATCACCGTTTTGTGTTTTTTTGGGTGTGTGTTTGTGTGTATTCCCACAGTGTCAGTGTGTGTGTGTGTGTCTGTGTGTGTGTGTCCGTTGCCCAATCTGCGAAATACCGGAACATACCGGAACCATGAGTTTCACTACAAAGATACGCCATCAACTGATTAATTTTGGCTGGCTCCGCCGTGAGCGGAAACGCCCAACTGCTCCATGTATCATTGTATATCATTGTACATCAGCATATCGCCGCATTTATTGTGCTCACATCAGAACGATTTATTTTTCTTGGGCCCAGATTTTCTTGAACATATATATATATATAATTATATATACATCTACCATTATCTATCAATCTATTCAGCATTATTCAGCCCATGGTTTATGTTTGTTTTGGATGATGGGCCGATGGGAAATGATGAGATTTCGCCAAGATGTCGTGTGTTCCCAGGGGGTGCCGCCTTCGTGGACACAGCACAGCTGGATGGGGAATCCTCCTTGAAGCCCAAACAAGCGGTGGACGAGACGCAGCACATGATCCGCAACTCCTCTGTGCACAGCGTTGAAGGCGCGGCGGCTCTTAGTCTTACTCTTTGAAGATGTTGGAACATGTTGGAGCCATAATGGGAATTGAACATGACACATTATGATGAGGAAAGATATGGAAAACATACACGGAAACTATCGTAAGATCCCAAGTGGTCAGAAGCCACCATTGAGACCCCATTTGAGACTTGACGAATTTCATGCCGAAACTGGATACGAATGGACCATCGTGCTCAGATTGATGTTGTGGAATCTGATTTGACTGTGGAACATGTTCTTTTTTGAGGTGGAAAAATGTTGTGGAAAACATGAAGATGGATGATGTCCAATTTCCATCCTGGATTACCAGAGACCGGGTATTTAAAAGAACTGGGAAATGAGGACCGTAGCGTTTCCCCATGTTTCCCCCTTTGCAGGCCATATGGAAGCAGATTTGCCGAATCAAGTCGTTGGCAAATTCGATGGCTGTATTTACTTGAAGGACTATCCCAGAGGTGTGACTGTGGACCGGGCCTCAGTTTTTTGTTTTGAAATGTGCCTATTCATGCCTATTCACTTAAGGATTCATTCAATATGTTTGTATTGGATGATATTATGATATTGGTGAATGTCGAAATCATTTGAGCTTTGAGCTTCATGCTGGTACTCGTAGGATGATCTCATTGGATCTCTGAGAGAGTTTGTTGAGTGCTGATTATGTCAGCAGCATATATAATCATCATATAATATACTGTAATTTTTGTATTGTATATATATATATGCTGATATATATATATACATATAATATATATATATATCCATGTTTCATTTTGTTTCCTTACTCCGCGTTTCATGCGGCCTAGTACGTCCCAGAACCGCCTCTCAGAACCTGAAGCATTTCTTGCTGCGTGGCTCCACGGTTCGAAATACACATCATGTGATTGGGCTTGTGGTGCACCTTGGCATACATTGGCCACATCGGTGTATCTCCCCTATTTGTGGACTTCATGGTAAACACATGCAGAACTGCACGTCTCGAACTGGGGGACCTATCTCAGACTTAGCCCAAAGATGCCCAAAGGATACATTGGATTTCAAACAGAAAAGAGGTATGAGAATCTTAGAGAAGTAAGATAAGTATGGATAAGTACAATAGTGTGCCCCTAGAGGCGAGATACTGCAGGCTTCGGCAGGCCATCGCTTATCCGCCCATGCGCGGGTCTTGGGGTGTAAGAAGGCAGGACATGGCAGCACACACTTCCCATAAAAACAGGAGATGTTCAAGTGTTCTTAGTAGCGAACTTGAACCAGCAGCTTCTGAAATGTGCTGAGGTACACTGGTGTCGACACGAAAGTGGTCAGGAATTCTTCGCGGTCTTTGACGTCCAAGAGATCTCAGGCCATTCCACTGCTGTTGTTTCTGGACTTCCCAGTCCATTCACAAGAATCTGACTGAATCAAAACTGCCAAGAGTGAGGATCCAAGAGATATTTCCTGTCAGTTGGGCGTGTGAAAGTGTTGAGGTAGAGCAGCTTTCCAACAAGCTCTTGGTCATTGTTTTCGTACTCCTCTTTGTCATATCCATTGCTTCGGCACCTTTGGTCGCAAATCGTATGCCGATGTGCTTGCTTATATATATATATATATCGATATATATATATTTTTTTTGGGTAGGTGCTTTCTCACATACTTGAAGTTTCGTGGTCAACTTGTGACTCAGGCAGTTGTTCGCGCATACCTCATCACCGATGAGGAGGGCTATCGAAATTTGTCCTGGGTTTGGCCATTGACGCGCGGCGACGATCTCCAGGACCAGTGAGCAGTCGACTTGTAAGGAGGTGCTTTCACATGAAACCGGCATACTGTTGCCCTTCAAACATAACGTTTTCCCTGGTTTTGGTGTGCTTAAAGTTTCATAGAAACCCGTGTTCAACTCCAGATATTGCAACTTCCAATGGTTGAACACCATTATAGAAGCACGGAAATTAAACACCTGGTCCAGACTGGTTCCAAGTGGATTGGCCACTTGAAGGACAATCCATACATGGCTATCCTGACCTTCCTGATCGGTTACAACAACTTGATTCCAATTAGCTTGTATATGACCACCGATTTGGTGCGGGCACTGCAAGCATTCATCATGGAATCGGACGAGAGCATGTATCACAAAGCCACAGAATCTGCGTGTAAAGTGCGGAGTTCTGGTCTATGTGAAGACTTGGGGCAGGTGGATTTTGTCCTTTCAGACAAGACTGGGACCCTCACACAAAATGAAATGTGTTTCAAAGCCTGCTACGTGGATGGGCAAACCTATGGCTACTGGTCAGAGACGGTGGACGACAGTCTGGAAGCAGATGATGATGCAAGCATGAGCTTGGGCTCTGGAATCATGGGTTATCCCAGCGACCGTGTTGAGAGACTTCCACCTCGGAGCGTGTGTTTGCCTCTAAGTGTCTCGGTCTTGAAGCTTGAGACACACGAAGGGTGCAACCCCGTGCGTTTCGGGGGTACCAGGTTTCCCCGTTGATGTTGACCAACTTGGCTGGGTTTGCGGCATCGGCTTTGTAGCAGTTTATCAAGAAAATGGCGGGGGTAATACTCGGGAAAGTCAGAAAAATGCAATTCCAAAATATATATATTAATGTCGATCGATGTATGTAAACATTCGAGACTTTCTGTTTGTGGTAAAGGGATCTGCACAGGGGGATTCTAAAACCGAAATTTAGTGTAGCTCGGTGAAAAGAACCAATTGTACTGGGGGCAGTTGGTTAGACGAGCAAAAAAGAGAAGTAGCCTTATTTACAGTTTATGCTTTCCCTGGCAAGAAAGTCTAGTACTGCAATTGTGATTCCTACAATCCCTTCTTCTCACCTTCCCGCCCCGCTGCAAACATGTCATTCTTTCTCCTCCCCTCCTTAAGTTTCTATGAAAGCACTCTTCCTAACATTCGCTCCCATTCTCTGATGTCATTCATTAAAGTGTACGATTATTGTATTTCAGAAAATGTTCATCATAATCAATTTTATTACTACTTTTTGTCAACTTGTTGTTACTATTGTTTTTTATTATCATTATTATTATCATTATTGTTTATTACTATTTTTATGTTATTACTCTTATTCTTACTACTGCCATGTTATTTTTTTATTGTTTCAATTATTATTATTTTTATGATGATCACGAAAGGTAGCCTAGGCTACCTGAGTTCTATGTACATTAGTACTAGTTCAGTACTGGGGGAGGTGGTTGGTCCATTCCTGGAAATTGACGGCTGGAAGTAAGGAATCTCCACATAAGGGCCCCCCCCACCCTTTGATTCCTCCCTGGTCCGGATTCAGCCACGCATATTGTTGGCTCCGCTGCTAGCCTCAAGTGATAAGTTTCCAGATACGGGCAAATGTATCGTCATTGCGGCTGCCAGTTGAAGCACAGTATGTTCTAGATGTGCAGTGCACAAGCAGAAAATCGCCTCGAACTCTCGGATAGCCTATTGCTTGGCCACTACTGTTGAGGGCTTCACCCAGGAGCGCCGACCCCATCTCAATGCGCAAGCATCAGCCCCTGCGAGCCCCAGTTCAAGCGTGCCCAGAGTGCTCTGAAGGTCTGCATGGGTTCAGGTTGTGCGTGCCCCGACTGAGTTGACGCGCGCGATCTTCTGCAACGACGTTCTGTCACTTTGACTAGCGCTTACTATCCGGATCGGTTGGTGCCCACACTGGCAGGCTGCGCGCTACAATCTCCTAGATATGGGTTACTGTATTGTCATTTCCTGGAAGGAAGGAAGGAAGGAAGGAAGGCAGGAAGAAAGGAAGAAAGGAAGAAAGGAAGGAAGAATGACTTGCGTGTGCAAAAGTTCTCCTATTTACTTCAACCTCTTCTGATACCCCTCAGCGCACGCGCATCCTGTTTCACCCAGCACACATGCGATTCCAATCCATGCACGTTGCGTTCTAGAGTCATCATGACAGAAGAAAGTCCATTGCAATGGCTGTTTGCACCTGCCTACTTTGATACTGTTGCCATGGCAATTTGTTTCTGCTCAATAAGAAGCAATTCGGTGCTCTACGCATTTCACAGACACGCAGCTGAGCTCCATGCTCCAACTGGAATGCTTTACCACTCAATGTTCTTCACAGGTCATGGACAATGCTCATGTTAGATAAGAAAACAATAGCAGCATGTCCCTTCGCAGCGACACTTATCCCTGAGCCACAAGCCTTTTAATAGTTCCCGCGAAACAAGGGCGGTTTCGTCTCCTGCAATTCTTGATGTTGCTTTTGCTTCAGACATCCTCATGCACTTAGTCGCATGAAGGTTACATCCCTAAAGACTTATCCCTACAAGCAAAGTGCCTCAACCGAGCGTCCATCGGTTGAGGCACCTTGGCCCCTCTAATTCACGCAGTTGACCAACAAACTGACTAACATTATCTTGCTTGTGGTTCTTATTATTGACTATGGCACAGGGTGGGTGGAATTTAGATCTTGAGACAAGATGCATGCAAGAAGTTGTTGATGCCGGGGAAGTTCGGATATTGCAACAACAAAAACGTAAGAAGTGGTGGAGAGGCCAATGGGGGAAGTCTACGTATGAAGCGAAATGGATGCAGGAAATTGAGAGGCACCTAGGGGGAACGGAAAGTTCGATATTGAAACAGGATGAGCGCAAAAAGTTGTTGAGAGATATGCCCCCACCTACCTTTCGTCCCCCCCTCTCAAGTTATGTTTATGGCTATTGTTATTGTTATTGCTACTATATATATATATGTGTGTGTGTGTAACATCTGGATAGATGTAAAACTTCCTTCTTTTTTCTTCCCTCTTCTCCCTTTTTAAATAATGCAGGGGGACACAGCATTTCACTGGGACTGTGTCCAACGAAGCTACCAGTGAAATGGGATATCCAGCTTGGCCAGCTGGACGTACCTGCATTTTTTCCGTTGCAATTTTGACTGACATGGCACGCGGCCAAGCCTAGAACCGCACAGCTGTATTTTCACTTCACGGTTGTCGCAATCTGGTACTCAATTTCTGTTATCAACATGGCGATCCTTATTTTTTGGATCTGCACGTTACAGGATTCAGTTCCTGCCGGATCATATAATGATCCATTCTTATCTAGTGTATGTAACGACGTTTAGTTAGGAAACTTCCGAGTTACGGACGCTTGTCACGGTTAGCATTCCCATCATCATGTCAACCACCCACTATCATGGGAAGTGTAACAGTTCGGACGCGTGTGAATTCACGGGTGAGAACAGTCTCGGGCGCGAAACGCTGTGTTTTTTGGGGTGGGGTCGCCAAAGTAGGATTAAAGATATAAAAAGCGTACAAAAAATCAGGGGATCGGCAGGGATCGGAGCACTTTTGGGAGATGAGGTTGGCAAAATGTGGACCAGACTGTAGCGAGAGCTCGATTTCACATAAAAATCGTAAACAAAATGGCATGCCCAGAGCACTTGGAAGATGAGGCCGTGTTGAGGCCGGGCTTCGCAAAAAAATCAAAAAATTGGCATGCTCGGAGCACTTTTGGAAGATGAAGTTGGCAAAATGCGAACGAGACTGTATGGCGAGAGTTCGGTTTCCACTTCAAATCCCAGAAAGCTGTTGGGATCTGGGAAGGGGTTTGCATAATTCATTGGTTCATTGGCTGTTTGGTTCATTGATGCAATGATTCATTGATTCCTTGATTCGTTCGTTCATCCATCCGTTCATTCAGTCAGCCAGTCAGTCAGTCAGTCAGTCATTCATGTGGGTTGTTTCGTTGATTCATTGACCCAGTGGCGCACTGAATTGTTGAACCACTGGTTCATTGAATCATTGGTTCGTTGATTCATTATTTCATTGGCTCACTGAACCGTTGAACCGTTGATTCATGGCATTGCTTCATTGAATTGTTGAATCAGTGGTTCATTGGTTCATTGATTCTGTGATTCACTGATTCATTGATTTGCTGATAATTTGTGATATGATATATGCTGATTTCTTGTTTCATTGATCCACTGATTCCTGGATTAATTGAATCCTTGATTCATTCGTTCACTCGGTATCATTCAGTGAGCTGTGCATGGATTCTTTCATTTCATTGTCATCTCAACAACCACTTGCTCATTCGCTGATGCGCCCCACAACTTCAACACTTCATTCTTCTGGATCGCAAACAAAGCCTTTCCTATAGGCCATTGATTTCCTATAGCCACTTCCTATTTCGAAACTTCCGCCCCGGCACGTGCCGGGCGTTATTTGGTGTATGCATGCAATTGCATGCATGTATATATATATATATAATATGTTGATATATATATATATCTATCTATCTATCTATCTATCTGTCTGTCTATCTATCTATCTATCTATCCATCCCTGAAAGTCCAATGTTATAATGTTTACCTACGCATTTCATTAATGTCGAAGTTTACCTGCGCATTTGTGTAATGTCGATGTTTACTCATCAATGTCGATGTTTACCCTTGAGACATGAGGTGCAAAAAAATTATCAACCTTTATTGTGCTGCTGCCAGATCTTTATCTTGGACATGCTTCATTAGTCAAATTCATGCGATATCACTTTGAATCACATTTGACACGGATTTTCCCAAAGGATTTTGTTTTGTTTTCACTCAGCGATACATATATGTTTGCATGAGAGCGGGTGTTCTGCCCTAGAGGTGCTTTAAACAAAGGCCAGTCAAGGAATTTGGATGCGGTTGGCATCCGGATGACCAGACTGGTTAAACAAACAAGAAAGAAACGCAAACACACATTATATTCTAGGGATGGCATGGGGTTACTCTTTTCCTCGGGTAAACATCGCATTTCACCGGTGAACAGCGCATGTCACGCAAACTTCACGGGTACTTCACGCTATTTCACGCTAAGGATTTTTGGGGGCTTCGGTGGCCAAACTGAGTTCCCGATTTCTTTGGGCATTAGTTCATATCAATCTGTGACATGAGCTTCTGGGAGGGGCAAATTTCCAAACCGTTTAAGGTCCCATGTTTTGTCCGTGAACTCTGACAGTAAAAATGCAAATAATTGCAAATATGGTTCCTTGATCTGTTTCCTGCCTGGAAATTCAATACTTGTAGGATCTTGTAGGTTTCAAATTCAGTTCCAAGCGCACTTACACGTTGGGAAATTGGAATGATGAATATATGTATGATGGTTTTGCACTTCATTACGCTTCCAAGATCCATAGATTTCTTCACAGGGGTTAAATATCAACTTTGCAAATGTCGATGTGTAACCCACCCAAACATCAACATTGCCCACGTAGAAGGTAAACTTCAACATGACCGCCCAGGGTATATTATTATATAATGTATATATACATATTTTATATTATATATATATACTAAATATCTTTTTTTGTCTTATATATATACATTTGTATATTACCTATATTATTTACATAATATATTATATTTGTATATATATAATATATTAAATATCATATATAGATATATACGTTAAGTAAATGATATATATAATATTTTTTATTATATATTATATATTATATATATTGTTTATATTGTATATCTTATTTTTTGTTTATATAATATATATATAATATATAAATATATTTTTTGTTTTTGATAATTTATATTTATTATATTATAAATATTATTTATTATATATTTTAAATATTTTTGATATATTATAAATATTTTCAATAATATATATTTTAATATATAATATATATTATTTATAGTTTATATACTATGTATATTATATATATATTATATTTTTTTTAACAAATTATATTTATATATTTGCTATGTTTTTTAATTATATATATTGTAATTTATATATATATTATATTTATTTAAAATATATATATATATATTTGTATTATATATTATATATTATATATTTTTATCTATTTATATATGTATTATATATTATATATTTATTTTATTATATATATATTATATTATATATATTATATATATTATATATATTATATTAAATTAAATATATTATATATATTTTATATATTATATATATTAAATATATATATGTTTTATAATACATATGAAAATATTTTCAATATATAATATATAATATATATATATATTATATTTTATTTATTATATATATTGTATATATTATTTATATTAGCTATTTTGTATAGATTATATAATATATATATTTTTTAGGTATGTTATATATATTATGTATTTTTATATTATATATATATTATATAGGTTTTTTTTTGATATATTATATTTTTTTATATATCTTATACTTTTTCTTTTTATAAAAAATATATATTTGATTTAATATAATATGTATAATATTTATAATATATATATACTTTATTTATATATTATATATATATTATATATACATTATATATATTATATATATTATTTATATTATATATATGTTTTATAATACATATGAAAATATTTTCAATATATAATATAATATATATATATATATTATATTTTATATATTTTATATATTGCAATATTATTTATATTAGCTATTTTGTATATATTATATAATATATATATATATATTTTTTAGGTATGTTATATATATTATGTTTTTTTTATATTATATATATATATATTACATAGGTTATTTTTTTGATATATTATATTTTTTTATATATCTTATACTTTATCTTTTTATATAAAATATATTTGATTTGATTTTATATAATATGTATAATATTTATAATATATATACTTTATTGATATATATAATATATATATCTTATATATATTTTTTATATATATATTATATATATTATATATATATATATTATAATTCTATATATTATATATATTATATATATTATATATATTTTATATATATATTATATATATTTGATTTATTATATATATATTGTACTATATTTTGTGTATTTTCTATTTTTTTTATGTATCAAATAATTTATATATATAGTATATTTTGAATATATTTGAAATGTTTTTTATTATATATATATTGGTTATTTTATATTTTTTTATATTGCATATTATATTTGTTATCTAATTTTTATATATATATGTATTATTTTAAATATATTAGATATATTTTTTATGTATTATAATATATATATATATATATTATTTTGTATATATATATGATATTTTTATATATTTTATATATTTTTTATTTTTATACTGTATATTATGTATTTATATATTTTATTTTTTTAAATAGTAATAGTTTTTTATATTACATATTATATATGTTTTATAAATTATTCATATATATATATGATCTTTACTGTTTAAAGGCCATTTGTTATGACCTGACCTGGACGTCGATGGATGGCAACAACCCCGCCCTTCGGTCGCACGTTTCGCATTTCCAAGGTCAACAGCTCTGGACTGCGCCTGTGGACCCGGAGCCTGCAGAGAAAAGTTTGATTTTGCAGAATTTTTTCCTGTCCCTCGGCCAGGGTTTCAAGTCACATCCACAGTATTTGGAAATTTCGGCCAAAGATTTGGTCTCTTTAACTACTTTGACCTTTGACATCCTTTGACTATTTTTTGGCACCCCTTGAAACCACTGCCCGCCTGATCGGTTCTACGAAGTGCAGCGCTGCATGTGAGTTAAGTTGATTGGCTTCCCGATGACCAAAAAAAATGTGCACAGAACATTTTTCTGCAATAGTGTCTAGGAATGATTTTTTTGCGGAGACCAAAGCTGCAGCAACAAGGTGTTTGGCCACTTGTCACACAGCCATGCCAGAGAGACAAGGAGCTGTCACACCAACCAATACCAAGAGGAGCGTTGTGGGTGGCCGTTTTTTCATCAAAACGGTTTGAATTCATTCTAGTGTTGCGACAAGACTACCAACATGAAAACAAGAGTCGAATTCTGTATGTGTTTTATGCAGTGATCAAATCACGGAAGATCAAATTCGGACCGTTTTACTGTGAACTGAGCGGTCAGAATCGATCAGATTCATTTCTCGTTGCTGCAGGACTTCAAGGTCGTCTGAAGTTCCAGTGGTAATGCAAGATCCAGAAGCGGTGCCTCGAAACATCATATCATATGTTTGAATTTGTTTGGTACTTTTGTCCAACAAAGTCTACCAGAATGTTCAGTTTAGATTACTCAACGAAGGACAGGCCAACCATGGCCAACCTAAATTCAAGCTGTTGAATGTCATAGCCAAAGAAAGATAAGAGAATTCCTGTGAAGTCCTTTGAAAATTGGACAAACCTTGGAGCAACCAGCCAGGTGCGTGCCAACGACCCTGGGATGCAAGACCTGCACCTCGAGTGCGACATCCAGCAGCGCATGGCATTGCTGGAAGAAGCTGAGAGCCACTGGGCATGTGGCGATGGCGAGATGGCCATGGATGCCATGGATGCCATGGACCGGGGAATGTCAATTTGGATTTAGTTTGGACCACTGATTCAGCTGTTGATTTATGAGATGACTATGCGGAGGGAGATGTGATTTCTTAGATTTCAAGTCGCTGGCCAATACCCCTAGTCAATCGGGGCTTATGAATGCGGGATTGGCTACACTATCTCTAAGCAGCAATTATATATATATATGAAAATGAGATAAAATGGGAACTACATGGAATTACATGAAACTACCAATCTTTCACATCTCTTGTGCTTACGGGAAAACCATTTGATCCTGTTGTGTGGGTGTTTTAGGACCTCGATATTGCATCCAATTGCTGGGAATACGCACCAGAGATCGTTCAACCGCCATCCAGTCATACGTCGTAATTGGACTGTGGGCTTTACATATAAGTCTGTAATTGCACTCCACCATAAACCCTATGTAAACTAGTATGCATTACAGCATTGCGGCTCAGGAGAAAAAGCGCTGGGCTGCTAGCTTAACGGTTGTATTGTTTTGCCCCATAGGTTTATGAGTCTATTTGGGATTATAACATAACCCCAGCTGAAACCTGAAAATACAGGTTATCAGCCGTAGTCTCTAAAGCCATGGACAAAACGCATGACGCTACAGGTGGAGGTGCCCTTGTCCCTTCGACTGGAACAATAGCTGCATCAACTGGTTCACAACAGAGCTTGCCGGCTGGGACAAACCCCACGCCCATGTCAGTGGATGAAGGTTTCTTCACACAGCCCGTGCAAGCCTATTTCCAGTTCGTGCAAAACAATCTTACCTACATCAACGAAGGTAACATTGATGCTTTCAGGCAAGAGGCAGAGGAGAGGCACACACATCTCATGGAACAAAAGGTCCAGCAACTGTACCAAGAGTTTGAGGGAATTTGCCTTAGCGAAATCGCCCATCAACGTGCAGAAGCTGATCGCAGACATGAACACCTAGTGTCAGAGTATTCAATGTCCCAAACGGCAACTGAGCATGAGGTAGCAAAACTGAGACAGGAACTTAGCGATGCAAACGCAAAGCTGAAAAATGCTGCAAATGCAGTTGCACTGGAAGCTGAACAAAGAGCCAACCAAAAGGTAGCCCACGTTACAGCCCAGTACGAACAAAGGTTTTCTGAACTCAGAGGTAGCCTCGAGGCAGACTGTAAACGAATCGTGGATGAAACAGTAGAGTATGCAAAGAATGGCATGGAAGGTTTCAAGAAGGAGGAACAAGCTGTAATCCAGGAGATTAGAGAGGAATGCAGTAGGCAGGAAAACCAAGCTGCTGAACTCAACTTCCAATTGCAGGGACAAGTGGAGGATTTGATGGAGAAGCTCAACAAGTATAGCGCTCCGGAAATCAATGTCGACAGAGCCGTTGAAGTTGATGATTCACAAGGCGGGAACAATGTCGATTTGTACATGACCCCAAAATCAGCGGTCGGTACTAAGGCTGGAGCAGAACCCATGCCAAACACTGGTATGAGTAGCTTAGCCATGGACGCCAAGGAAAGGTTGAGCAACCTGTTCTCAACAACCCCTGCCGGATCTGCAGCCCCTCCAAAACTGCCACCATTGCCAGTTCAAAGACAAAACGATGATGATGCAAACCAAGAACATAGTGTGCCCAGTCCTACAGTAATAGCAAGCGACCCTGGCAAGAAAGCAGCTGAAGCAGGCTTAGGTCTTTCAGGTCAACAATTGCTAGATCTCATCACTAGACTGACTTCAAAGGATTCAGATGGTGAAAAGCCCCGAACAAAAGAGGCAGAGACTATCAAACTGAACGACATGCCTGCCCCAGAAGCGTATCGTCACTGGCGTAATCATGTCAGGGATGAAGTGAAGTCGTGCTCCGACAAACCCGATGAGGCTTGGCTTTGGCTCAATGAAGTCTTTGACAACAAAACCCCTAGGGAAAAGTTGGAGGAAAAGCTGCAGGAACCTGGGAAGTTTATCACACTTGACACCAAATTGTCGGCAGCGTTAACTCGCTCGGCCAAAGGTGATTTAGCAACAAAGATCCATAACTTCAAAGATGAGAAGTCAAAGAAAGGGATCCAAGTCAGAGGTAGGAGAGTCCTTTTGATGTTTGAAGATTACTTCAGGACGTCTGAGGAAGCTGGCAGTCTCTACCGCGTCGAGGACCTACTTGGAGTCGTTCGCACTGGAGAATCTGTGGAGGACCTTAGAAGGTTTTTGAACCGATGGGACGCCACAATTGCCGGCATGGAAACCCCGCCAGATGATTTGGTTCTCAGAGACATCTTACTCAGACAAATCCGAAAATGTCAATTGATGAAGTATGACATTGAAGCATTTGACAGAGCTCCTGAAAAGTCAGAACAAAAGTCTTATGCATTCTTGTTGAGAAACATTCGTGATCTTTTGGATAGAGAAAGACTCCGTTCAAACAGAAACAGAATCGTTGAAAAGAACAAGCAGACCGAAAAGCCTCAGCCCGCTGCACCCGCTCAGGGGGGCAAAGATCGCGGCAAAGGAAAGGGCGACCGAGGTCGAACCCGTGGTCGTAGCCAGAGTGGAAAAGGGGATAAAATATGCTACAAATTCAGGGATGGCAAGTGCGAAAAGGGTAAAGATTGTCCCTACAAGCATGTTAAAGACTCCTCAAGATCTGGCACCCCCAAAAGGAAGGGTAAGGGCAAAGGTGGTAGCAGAAGTGGTTCCCCCAACAGAAAGTCGAAGGAAGAGATGGCCAAGATCCCATGCACTTACTTTCAACAGGGCAAATGTCGTCGTGGTGACAAGTGTTTTTACAAACATGAAGTTGCAGCTGCACCCACAAAGGATCCAAAACGCACCAATAGCCCTGCACCAAAGAAGAAGGCCAGTGCAAAAGCTGCGCCATGCATTACTCAAAGGTATGCATGCATAGCAAAGGGAAAAGGGTTGCCGAAAGCTACAAAGGCCATGAAAGAACAATGCCATAGAGCTATTGTGTTTTCATCAAAAGTGGAATACATCAAAGTCCCAGCAACAGGTGAACAGAGGAAGGTAGTGCACAAACCCCGAATCTATGAGAAGACGTTCCCTGATTCAGAGTCAGTGCCAAAACCCGACAAACTCGTGGCTCACCGTGCTCAGGTTTCGGCCCGACAGTTGCAGGAACTTGTGAAGCTCTTCGGCAGTGAGACGCAGCCCAAATGCCGATTCCGATGCAATGACCCAGAAGGGGGAGTATCATGCAACCACTGTAGAGCAATGATTGGTCCCAAAAACAAAGTCAGTAACACTCATTTGCCCACTGTTGCTACACCGGCATCAAAAGATGGATGTGTTTGGTTGGTTGACACGGGCAGTGAACAGGATTTGATTAGTGAGGGTATGCTGAAGACTGCAAAGGCGACAAACCGCCGTGTCAGCGACACTCCGATCAGCCTTGCTACAGCAAACGGTTCGACACGAGCGGATGAGGTGGCCGACGTAAAGGTCGATGCCCTACATCAGTCGTTTTCACCATACATTCTCGAGGAAACTCCTGCTGTTCTTTCGGTTGGGGTCAGGTGTATGGAACAGGGTTACAGTTTCGTGTGGCCAGCTGATGGTAGGCCTTACTTCATTCGTCCGGACATGGGAGTCATCGAGCTTAATGTAGACGGCCGGTGCCGGTTATTGATAGCTCTTGTCGTGTTTTGAACAGTGGACAGTTCAAGAAAGATTGTGATCTGTTACGTCTTTTTGCAATGGTTGCTGCAAAAGCAGAAGGTGCCGATGAAGAAGGCGTGGATGAGGGAGTAGCTCATGATAGCGAAACCGAGTACGTCAGGTCTAGAAAGGCATCTGACCTTGAGCAAGAGGCATGCAGCAAATCTCACCAGTTTTGCCATTACCCCAAGAATCCATTTTGCAAAATCTGTCAGAAGGCGCGCATGATGGCGCCACCCGCAAAGAAGAAAGGGGGACAGAAAAGGTTGGAAACCAAAAGTTTTGGGGATCACATTGTCGCTGACCATACTGTAATCAAATCCAATGTGGAAGAAGGCGTCAAAGGTGAAACAGTGGCATTGGTGATGAAGGACATTCACACTCAGTTCAGGCACGTCTATCCCAGACAGTCGAGACAAAATCGAGTGAGTCATGTGTTAATGCTTTCAACCACTTCTTATCTCACAAGGATGAAGTTGGGGCAGTTTACACTGACAATTCACGAGAACTTATTGCTACGATTTCAGAGTTGGGGTACAGACATCAAACATCAACAGAGTACGTGGACAGTTCAAAGTCGTTTGTGGAGAGGGAGATCAGGCACATGCTTGAAGGCACACGCACAAACCTCGTGCAGTCAGGTCTTCCATTGCAGTATTGGCCAATGGCTATGCAGCATTTCTCCATGGCAGTGAATGCAACGCCACAGCTCAACGGTGATGATGCCCCATGGAAACTCAGATTCGAAGAAGATTTTCCAGGTCAGTTGATTCCTTTCGGTGCAAAGATACTGTTTTGGAACAATCCAAAAAGGGTTGACAACACATCTGGAAAGACATCACCAACAGCAAATGATGGAATCTTTTTGGGATACCACATCCAACCTGGTTTTGCATGGAAAGGTGAGTATCTTGTTGCCAAGTTAGAAGCATTGGATTACCATGCAGAAACGGGCAGCATCACAGTGCAGCGAGCACGACGTGTTGAGCTCATCGCGGGAGGTTTTGTCTTCCCACTCCGTGCATTGAAAGAGGCCAAAGAGCCCAAGCCGGACCGCCTTGCTGACAATGTCATTGCTGATCCTCGTCCGATTCCGTTTCAATCCGAACTGCAAACAGAGGAACATGCAGAAGCAAGTGAAGAAGCAATTGACAAGTCAACGGAGGCAGTGCTTGACGCACTTGCCAGTGATGAAAGGCCGGCTGAAGAACCAGTTTTTCCTGATATCAAGTACACTCCAACTGGAACACCAATCCCGGATGGTTATCATTGGGACGGCACACGCCTTGTGAAAACGTACAAAGGGTCAAAACGCCCTGAGTCGATCCCATCGGATTTTTGGAAAATGCTTAGTCCGAAGGATAGGCAAAAGCTCGTTGAGGAGGAGGCTGAAAAGATGGCTGTTGGCAGCGGCGGTGCTGCATCAAGCTCAGCATCAAAGGGTCCGAAGAAGAAGAAAGGTGCGGTTGCGACTGCAAGAAAGCTTCGGGTAAACCCTAGTACCTCAGGTGAGCCTAGTGTGTCAAGATGGGAGGTCATTCCAAAGGATAGACCGAAGTTTTGTGTCCCTGCTATGCCGAAAGCGGTTCCAGCAAAAGCTGAACTGCATCGCCCGGAATTGAGAGAGATGATCAAGAATAAGATCGCAGAGTTGGAATTCAAAGTGGCTCTTGAATTGTTTTCTGCTGTTGCACGTTTGGTTCCCAAAGATGAGGTTAGGAAAAACCCCAAAGCAAAGGCTGCCTTAGATAAGGAGTGGGAGAACCTCAGGACAAAAGGAGTATGGGACGAATCCAGAGTCAAGGAATGTAAAAGCATTGTTGAGGAAGCCCGCAAGAAAGGGGAAACTGTACATCTTGGTCGTATTTTTGAAGCCTGCTACGAAAAGGGGTCGGAACTTCCAGCTGATGATCCTCGTAGGAAATTCAAGGGCCGTACAGTCTTCCAGGGTAACAATGTCCGCGACCAGGATTCTGACCACGCGTTGTTTGCCGAGTTAGGTAGCAGTCCTGCTTCGATGGAAGCTGCAAAGCTTCTTGACGCGTTTGGTTCTCAGCCCGGATTTTCAAAAGCTCAGGCAGACGCCATTCAAGCTTATATCCAGGCCCTCTTCACTGGGGTGCCCACATGGCTATCATTGCCACGGAACAGATGGCCAGAACACTGGGAAAAGCAATTTTGGCAACCCATGGTTCCATTGGTATTAGCTTTGTACGGGCATCCAGACAGTGGTGGTATTTGGGAAAACCATCTCAACAGCAGAATCGGAAAAGAAGGTTGGAAACAAATTCTCCCTGATGTATGGCAAAGTATTTTCTATCATGCCGAGTACAATTGCATGTTGGTTGTTTACGTGGATGATTTCAAACTCGCAGGTCCCACTGAGAACATGGACAAAGCATGGGCAAGTATCAAACGAGCAGTCAACATTGGTGACCCCGAACCCTATGATCGATATTTCGGTTGTCAACATGTGGAGTTTAACCACGTTACACTACCACGAAAAGCTCATCCTTTTGCACATGTTTTTGATTCTCAAGCGGCTGCTGCGGCACGTACACAACACCGAACAAATGATTTTTGGCAACATGACCCCTTCAACAAAACTTGGACAAGGTATCATCTCCAGCCACGGAAGAAGTTGTTCGAGCCTGGCGATGAAGGGGGGGAGTTTGTCAAGTCTTTACATTCAGAACGGGTTACCATGTTCGACAAAAATGTTGAATTTAAAGGTCTCCCAGTTCTCAACATGCATATGTCAGATGAAAGTTCAGCTATTGTTGAAGATGACATGACAGTGGATCAAAAGATTCAGACAAAGGACTTCTGGACAGGAAGAACAATCTTCAGGTATGGTGACGAGTATGGCAACACTAATCAGTTTGCCCTCCCATCAAAGAACAGACCCGGTCCGCACAGAGACAAAAGGGAAGCCAAGAATGAGAAGAAATCTCAACGGTTCAAAAGCATTGAGAGTGTCGTTACAAACAAGTCCGGTTGCATGAACAAACCTGTAAACCTGGTAAGGTACGACATGTCTTCTTTCATGGAATCATGCGTAGATGCATACTGTGAACTGGCAAAGGTTCAGAAAGATGATTTGCCAGTGGTTGCAACGCCGTTCACAGAAGCGGGAATAGCCCGGCCAACTCTCGATGAGAAGGAGAAGCCAGGGAGGTTGCAGCCGATCGCATCAAAGGTCCTGATGAAGATTCTCTTTGCGGCCCGTATGGCACGCCCAGATCTCTTAAGAGCTACTCAAAGCTTGGCATCTAGGGTGACGAAATGGTCCATTGAGTGTGATATTGCATTGCACAGATTGGTATCATACATCAAGTCAACTACAGATGTTTTTATGGAGGGTTTTGTGGGAGACTCGTTTGAGGATTGTCAACTGTGGCTATTTGCTGACGCTGATCATGCGGGGGAACATGATTCAAAATCAACTTCAGGTTGTGCAATGTTTCTTGTGGGGCCAAACACCTATTTCCCATTAAACGCATTCAGCAAGAAGCAGACAGTTGTAGCAAACTCGTCCACGGAAGCCGAAGTCGTGTCAGCAAATCACGCACTCAGAGCAGAAGGGATTCCGATGTTAGCGTTGTTGGAGCAATTGGGCATTTTCAAGAAATTGTCGCAGAAGGCTGGGTCAAACCCCAAGCCAAACATCCCTGAACAAAATGATCCTGTTTTTACTCGTATCGATAAAGAGATCGATGAAATCAGGTATGGCAATGTTGAGGGGGGCCTTTCTGCGGCAAACATCAATGGATTGAAGGCCCATTTTCCGGAGTTCTATCAAGTGAAGTTCATGGAAGATAATCAGGCTTCTATAACTGTGATGGGCACCGGTAATTCCTCCACCATGCGGTACGCCAACAAAACTCAGAACATCTGTTTTAAATGGATGAAACAGCAGTTTGAGGAGGAACAATTTGACCTCATTAATGTTGGCACCAATTGGCAAACAGCTGACATCCTTACAAAACCTTTTACTTCCCCAACTAAATGGGAACATGCTTTGAGGTTGATGGCCATTGGAAAGACTTGGATCGACGCCGACAAGCCCAAGGTGCGCCAAGTAGACTCCAAGCCTGCGTGTCCAGCTAATGTCGATGATCAGGGGGACGTGATGGTTCAAATTCTTTCCAAAGGATGTTGATTGAGTTTTGCTGTTCATCCGATTCGAAGCTATGCACTCCACGGCAAGCCAGTAAAGGGTGTAGACTTATCCGAGTAACTGAAAACGAGGATGGCACCACCCAAGGCTGCCGTAAATGGCTAGCCCAAGAAGTCCAGTCTTTCAGGGAGAGTAATCCAGAGGGTGAGATTTTGCTTTATGCTTCCTTGCCATGTGTGGGCGGCAGTCCATGGGGTTACATCAACAGTTTGACTGACAAAGGGGCTGAACGAATCGAACAGCAACAAAAGGAATTTACAAAACTTTTCAAATCACTTCAAAAGATTATCAGTGAAATCGATGGGCCACATTTTTCAATTGCATTTGAACTCTCAAAGAACTGCAAGTATTGGAAATGGCCAATGGTCCAATCGTTTTTGAAGAGACAAGAGTTGAAATTGTATCCATTCCACGGTTGCCAGTTTGGGGTTATTGACTTGGACGGGAATCCCATGAAAAAGGGTTGGATGATTGCAACAAACATGGAAGAGTTGTCAAGTCTTTCGGAATACGTTTGTGATGGTTCCCACACTCATGGCCAAAGCCGGGGTACTGCATTGAAGCTTGCAGAGAACTACACATTCAAGTTGACTGACTTCATCCATGATTGTTTTCGTTCCAGAGCTAACCAGGCACAAACCGCCAAGAACAGGAAAAGGTTAGCTTTGCCCGCCATGAGCCGCCGTTCTGATGATTCAAATTTGTCGATCACTGACAAGATGAACGTGCGGGCTCTCAAGTCGGCCGGTTTAAAGACCGTGCCCCAACAGAGCAACATGTCGGAGTGGCTTGCTTTTCGGAAGTGCCTTGATGTTCAGGGGGATAGGCACGCAGGGTGGGAGGACATCTTTTCCACGGTCCTCGCTTCGTCAACCATCCTGGCACAGGGCAACAGAACAGAAGACCTTGAGTTGGCCGCAGGATTCATGCAGTGTTTTACTGCGCAGTCCATGTCAACTGACGCCCTGACGAACGTGCCGTGGGCAAAGGAGATCCGCCATCTGTCCGAGTTGGAACATGACTCACTGTGGGATCTGAGCTTGCCTACTGAGTACGTCCCTGGGACATCAAGGCCGGCGGTAGACGTTGTGCCCACCATCTATGTGGTGACTTCCGATTCAACTTTGGCTCTGATCACTGGAAAGGGTAAGACTTTGAAGAAGTACACCTTGAAGGAGGATCTGGGATTGCGAAAGTCAGACATGGTTCTCGAAATCGGTCATGACATGCTCTGGGGTAAGGATTTGCAACAGCTCTGCAAAGCAAATGTTTCCATGATCAAGGAGCTGATGGCGAAATATTCTTCTCATGGATCAGCCATCAGGGTTATTTCGGTAATCTTTTGGTCTGGGAATGAAATGTGTGGGGAATATGGTGTTGAACCCCTTCCCATTTGGGGGCAGAGGGAACCACAGGGTGACTGGAATGCCATCATGGACAGGGTCAAAGGCAACATCGTGTGGTGGAACAATCAGCTCAAGGAGTTGGGAGTGGATCAGGCCGCCCTAATCGGCGAGCCCGACCCGCTCACTTATGGACTGAGTCTCATCTTCACCACGTTTGTTGATCGACTGAAGGAATGGTTCCACAAGGAGATTGCCAGTGACAACGATCGGATTCGGTGGATTCAGAATGACATGCTTCCACCGAGGCTTGAGCTCAGGGACTACTTTCACGCATTCGAGACCGAGCTCAACCGAAGTGAAATGATCGGATATGTCATGGCAACTCTCCACATGTTGCACATGACGGACATCTTGATTCCTCAGTACAACCTGTCTTTGTACAAGCGTAGGCGCCCTGCAGGAGAGGCTACAATGCGTGATGTCACACCAAAGATGGAGCACCTCCCAGTCAGGTTTGTGCAGGTCCTCAACGCTCTCCGTGAGAAGACGAACAAATCTGCACCGAGCGTCTCGACCCCAGAAAGCTTCACAGCAGAGGAGTTGAGAGCTCGCCCGACCGATGCTGGTGTCGCCGAAGATGATGATGAAGAAGGCGACCCATGGGATGCTCTGGATCCCGACGAGCATGAGGGCCCATCGGTTGGCAAGGCCAAGGCCAGCCACGCAGCTCCACCTGACCCCAAGGCGAAAGCTCCAGCGACACAGGAGGATTCAACTCAGGCCACCTCAGCTGGTGAGCCCCTGCAAGAAAACGAAACATGCACTTGGACACCTTGACAAATATCGTATCACTTTGGACGAAAACATCAATGCAGAAGTAGTTGAACATTGTGTCGTTGATGCCCATCCCTACGAATTGATCGTCAAAACCTGTTGGGAGAT